CAATATCCCGCAATGCGCGGATAATTTCCTGTGCAAAGGCGGCATCAATGCGATTCTCAGGAGCCTTGCAAAGAGTAATCAGATATATTTGGGGGTCACCCGTTGCTGTCGCCGCTGTCGCCGCTGTCGATGGTTGGTTCGGGATCCGGGACAGCGTGAGATTTTGATACGTCATCATGTATTTTGTTTGTGGAAATCAACGGCAGGGAATATTTTGGTAAGGAAGTTGCAAACTATTAAACAGAATCCGGGGGGAACCAATGGATATATCAATGTATTGAAGATATCATCATGTCGTCGAGGTTGGTTTATTTACCACAGTGAGACAACGGAAGTGGTCAAGTTTGGGGGAGGTTGGAGAGCGCATTTTATTCGAAGTTGCTTTGGACCTCGGCATAACCAGTTAGACCATGCCCGTATCTTCGGCGACGAGGCGTGTGCCGAAGGCATCACCTTTCACCCCCCCAATCCCCGGACTTCAACCTCCGCAGCTGGAAAACTTACATGCCAGCCTCTCTCTACAACAACATAGAAGATATGCTACTCAATATAAATCATCATTTCCCCACAGCTCATCACCCTTCAAGCGATTTACTGTCACTGCCAACTAGGATAAACAATTTGGTATTTGGCACTCATAGTTACTTAACAGAAACCACCTAAGGCAAAAATTACAGAGAACGGACGGTAAACCCTGGCATTGTCAGGAATGATGGGACTGCGATGTAGGAAACCGCACGCCAAATCACCCTGGTATTTCAACTCTAGTCTCTGACGCAGTATCCACAGGGGATTTCAAAAGCTTCGGCTTAGCTGCTTTCTCATCACACCGACCGCCTGGCTGCTCATCGAAAATTTCTAGCTGATCGTGTCCGGGGAACGGGCTCGAAGGGACAGGCTTCCCAAGGAATTCGCACAGCGGGCCCCACCCTTCCTTGATATCATATATCAGCAGCTGTTGTTTTGGTACGAGCTCACGGATCTTGTTGAACTGGGCCCTGAATGCCGACCTCCCATTATTTATGAAATCTCCGTTGAAGAAAGCGGACAATATTTTATATCGTAGCTCTCTTGCAGCCAATTTTTGTGGATCGTCGATACCAAGGTTCCCTTCGTGTTCTTGAGCCGCGTTTGACTGGCTGAGCCTAATCCAGGAACTTGACATCACAGGAATCAGTGAACGCCTCGTGTCAACTGAAGAAACAAACCGCCAGAACGGCTACAACAAAAACGCTGCTCGATCACCTACAGAAACCATTCGTCAATGTCACGTGTATTTAAAATAACTTTTGCGTCCGGGTATGCTTTAATTAACTGGGGTGCAAATGCGCAACACGGGCGTCCAACAACGGCCTGTCAACAAAACAGTCATCAATCAGCTCGGTATCTGGCCGGGGGAAAGCAGGGCAAATTTTCTACTCGCCTGGCAATCTGCAAATAAGCGATCACAGTCCGCCTTTTCAAAATTTCCCTTCCCTTCAAACACGGCGTTAAATGCATCCAACCATATTTGCGTGTCTTGTGGTCGGGCATGGACTGAGGATGGGAAATGGTATGTCCCCTGATATCCCAATTGACCCAGAGCTGTTTGTATGGCTTCATAGAAAATGGGCCCGTCAGCCAATAGAAATCACAGATAACGACGACTGTCTACCTACAGTTTGATCCTGTTCTTGGGGGCCCGAGGGCAAGCACTTTCACGGGCGCGACTCGGATACTGCTAGAGCTTCCTGTGGATGGAACCTGGCCCTCCATCACGTTCTTTGTTATCATGCCTAAATGGTTGACCGATGGATATCCAGAAAGCCTCTTCTGTGATCCTTATTATCGATCTATTTCTAGGCAAGTTTCTGAGTCTATGATTTCGAGACAAGATTTTGTCACCTTATTAGAGGGGAACTGCTAGCCCAGCTATATATTCTCTAATATATATATATATATATTTCAGATTTGGGAGGGTGGGCTTATGCTTCTATCATATATCGCTTGCTTGTTCTAGACACACTGTTAGTGGGCCCATGATAGTTTGCCTACCTGCTGCAATAATGTCACCAGCTAACTGGGGTTCCATTTTTGATGTGAAAAAATATACTTGTCCGGCGGTAAGTCGGTGCGGAGATAGGACAAACCTTGCTTCATTGGATCAACTTCATCCCATGAGCCACACCAAGTTCCGTGTTGAAATCCGTGTTCTACATCAGGGAAAGCCAATTGCCAACCTGATCCTAGGGGCACTGAAGGGGTTAACAGTACAGGAGGTGCTTATACATCTGCCTACTCATGTGGTCTACCTTGCTTGATTATACCCCAATTTTTTTCTTGATTGAATTATCTCTTCCTCTTTTCACAGTTTTTTGAAGAATGCTTGAAAATGCATAGAATATTCCATCATATCAACCAGGTTTCTGGAGTATTTGCCAATGCCGTTTGACAAATAAGAGCCACGTTGCACATCACAAGGTGCAGACGACTGAGTGCATGAGTGTTCTTCGTTTTCTTAATTTTCAACTTGGGTTTCTACCAAACCGCTTCTTATCCACGACTTCCATTATGCAGATCCCGTCTCTACCTTGTCTTAACTTGAACTGGTCACGTAAACTGATGTCATGGAACTTGTGCTCCTCAATTGAAGGGAAGGAGAGCAGAGGAAATTGACGAAGCTCCACAACACGACAATCTTCTTAAACACGGAGACCTTGGCAGCGCACTGCCAGGGTTTTGGTCCATTGTGTCGCGCGAAGAACAATCATCCCGGGATCGGTGCAATTGGAAGGCAAATTCGTCAAGAAGTGGGGACTCGCGGCAATCGGCTTGCTATGGCCGTCTCTCCCTGTCAGAAAGGGTTCCTTTTTTTAGGTCTCCATCCTATATGAACCTAGTCTTCCAGGTTTAGAATACCACCTGAGAATATCTCTTGTAACTCTGAGGCATGCTTAGCGTCTTCGCTTCAGTGGCTCGATGTTGAATGGCGGAAAATCCCACTTAAGAGGTCACCCAGACGAGGTCCTGGCCACTGGAAGCAAGGATGTGTTCGATTTTCGACGGCTGCTAGATGAAAACAAAAAAATATCCAAATGTTATTGCGGTCTATACCAATATTTATTATTGCTTACCATCCGCCGAGTAACGACTATTTGGTGTCACACTTCCCGATTTTTCAAAAACAAGTTCAGCTGGTTTTGAACTGCAGATCCCGACTAGTTAAGCATGTAAGCTTCCGAATTGCTACATTAGTTACTAAGGACTTCCAGCGGACTGCTCACTTTCGTCTTCATTTTACATCTTGGTTTGTTACTCATCCATCCTCTGACTGTATGTATTCTTACACTTATCGCAATGAGAAAAATACAAGATGACACTAAGAGTAAGAGAGCGAGCAGGAGAGCATGGTAAGCATGAATTCATACTCTGTTCATGGCATAGTGCCGGACACCGTCAAAGCTTGTCTCTCAAGTTAATTATCATTCGCACAATTAGGCGAAATATGTTGGGTATAGAAATTTCTTCCCGAGATCAAAGCGCAAAGCGTTGACCACTAAGACCAAACAATCACCGCCCGCCATGTCTTATTCTCATATATCAAGTCAACAATGATTGAGATTCTGATGCTTTCAGAGTCGTTTATCCCGTTGGAGAACTAACTCACACGTCGAAATCCATTCTGGGAGAACCATCCGCATCATTAGCAACGACCCTCCCCTCACTCGCTCACATGCTGCGCTATTTAATCAATTTCACAACTGATCTTCGACCATCCCACCTATTTTCAAGAGTTCTTTAGCACTCGGGATTATATCCCTGCGTTCTTGAAATAAAAATACCACTTAAGATTTCGACTTCAGCCTTGATATCATCGGAATTCTAAACGACATCACATCAGAGCCTACCAAAAGGTTTGAATTTCTAAGCTGAGTAGTTTCCCACCAAACAGTATAGCCAGATTTTCCCCCAAAGGTAAATAGCTAACTGCTTATGAATCGATATATTTAAGATACCGAGTACATGACTCGGGGTATTACCAGCTCTCTTGAAGGTTAACCGACCTCCTTATCTGTATGGAGGATACTAATAGCCGAGGGATGTTAGAGTTGACTGGGGATGCTACAGTTAACTGCCCGTCGGTGAGCAGAAATCGAGTATAGAGGGGAAGTGAAACCCAATGCGCATCGATCAAGACATCACGTAAATAAGTCCAGACCAGAAATCTCATAGCATGCAAGATCTCGAAGTTGATGATGCCATCTGTATAACTACTGAAACGGTCCCAACCCATAACACAGAAAACGGCTTCTGCGCAGGTAACTTGCCGAAGACCCACAACGACAGAAAATATAGAAACACAGATAAATAAGCGCATTGAAACAGTCATCCGTTCCACACCCGCATACATAGCTGCGATGTTGACAGCTGTATATCCGCGCGAAGACTGACGTGTTACCTGGAACGAACCGAAAGCGATGAATTTACTTATGCAATCGCAGCATGTGCTTTGGATGACCAGCAGTGCTGTGTTAAATATGCCCGCCAAGTTGGTGGATACCCAACAGCTTCGGCGGCGCGCAGCACACACCATGAGTGAGTGATGCTGTCCACTCAAGCATACAGTCGTGTGTGCGATTTCCATGTCAACCCATTTGCTCTGATGTGATCTCATTTCTGAATCTGCTGCAGCTAGATAACAACTGAGCTCTTACTCCACCCGCTTATAAGCCTACCTAAATAACTGCAGTCCCCGTGAGTGACTTTTTCGGGCCATTTGCAGATGCCTATGCAAGAGCACCAGTATGCCCTGAGTGAAAATGACAGGAGTAAAGCATTTATTTGGTACCTATTCATCCATCAGTTAGCAGGGATAACGATAGATGAGGCAGCCAAGATTATAGCGCCAGTAAGTTCTCGAACTCTCTTCCTACCTACCGCCTGCATTACGTACAGCTTCTGATGCAGGTCCAGTGCACCTTTCAAAACAGCCCTTTGCCTCCTAATATTACGGTTTTTAGTACTTTCAAATTTTTGTGACCGTTGTCCCGAGGATCTTTGGTGTTAAACAATGCACGGCCATCATCGGAATCTGTGGTCGAGTGTTTTGTCGAAGATTTGGATATATGATGAAGCATAGACCCAATTCAACGATTGTGAGCCATTTCTCTAGTACTGCATCTTTTTATGTTTCTTTTTTTTTAGATTCATGTTGAGAGTTATGAGGGATACCGCAGGCCTCCTGCTTGCAGCGCCATGCTGAGCTCGTCCAACTTAACGATCAGAGACCTTAACACACAGCCATCTGTTCGGTGAGCATGATTACCAATATTAATTATGTACTTCTGTAAGCTGTGACCATGGTGCCCAAAGACTTTTTCGAGTCTCTCTTGCGTGCCTTGCACGTTCCCGCAGGGTGCAAGAAATTTTGGTCAGTCATTTTCAACTGCAGCCTCCCGTGTCCAACGTTATCAGACAAAATTTCGACCGCCTTTTTGAATCAAGGTTCGATCCAGCTGGGCGGAGCCGAGATTGACAACTGGAAAATATCAGCCTGCTTAAAAAATCAAGTTTTTTTTTTCAGACGACTAATTGAGCAAATGAAGCATTCTTCCTTCGACCACGGTGTGTGTTTTGTCAAGCCCATTCCAATTACCCCCAGACACATCGTCAGCTCCCTGTGGCTTCCCGCCGGACAACTCTACCATTGCTGCCGTGAATTCAAAAAGCAGACCAGCACAGCTTCGGTCTCGTTGGCATCTACAACAATCTAGGTTGTGGCTTACTGTCAAAAGAGAGCGCTGTGCCTCTCTTTTCTTTTCTTTTCTTTTCTTTTTTTTTCAACAATTTTCTCTTCATGTCTTTTCAGATTTGCTTCGCAGTCTCGAGACATTTATCGAATCACTCCAATGCCCTCGTGAGTGGTGAAACAATCTTAACGATATCAGCAGCGTATTCCTATGAATCACGGAATTTGAAAGGATTTGGCTGCTGACGTCTGTCAGAAACTTGAAGCTGCATATACTGTTCCGGTCACGACCTCTACCGTCTCCAGTTGTGGGAAGATCTTTTTATGTATCTTTCTCTTTTCTCCATTTTGGCCATGGTGGTGTAGCGTTACTCACTCCGCATCCCTACCGCGACATAGACAACATAAACAACGGCGAATAACTTACAAGTACGGAGCGGGTTCTTCTGTGCAACCGTCAGTATACACGAATGAGAGGATCCTTCAAGACAGATTCAGGGTTATCAGCTATGTCAAGATATCAAGAGCAATGACTACGGGCATATAGCTTCGCAAGCGCCCTCCTAGTCAGGTCGTTAAGTAATGCCAATCATCCACACAAGTGCCGACGGGAGCTTGACAAGCCGTTCGGCGACAGCACTCCCAGCAATTCTCCGTGCTCGAGGTTGAGCTGGTGGTATTTCAAAAATATATTTTGTGCGAGCGTTTTCTGCCAACAGCATATGCAGTTATCATCGAATGAAACTGAGCATCTGCTATACAGATAACCAGGTGGAGGTAGGATTTCAATCCGTGCGCTGAGCCAGTGCTCCCTCTCCCAGCTACAATGTGAACAGCGATTGATATTTATGGCAAGGTTAGCATACAGGCTTGTGTAGCCATACCGCGATCAATTGGAAATATTAAGGAGTCATTCTGCCAGCACATCGCTTGGCGTTCGCCGTTTTGATATTCCTGGACAAGCTGCATAACCTTGCACAGTTGTTTTCGTGTAACAATTCGACGGTTCCAAGTCGCACAATCTGAACAATTTGTTCATTGAAACCCTCCGCAGTTCATTTTTCTTGATGTTGTTATTGTTGATGTTTCTTGTTGGTTACATGTGCAATTCCGGAATGGCCCGTTCCCATTTGATAAAACTAGCTTCCGAAATTTAGTCTGCGGATCCCACCGCGGCCCACGGTTCACTTCCGCCTTCCAGATAACCTTAATATATCGTCTTTCCTACATTATTATGGAGAAGGATCTCTATTGCGTCTTCGATGTGCGTGGTCCGCTTTGGTTTCCGCAAACCCTTATTCATGTCCCCAGATCTAGAGCTGGAGGAGAAGGGTAAAAGTGAGAGGAGCAGCCACACCCTGTGGCTTAGCTCAGACATTCAAGGCGGGGTCGGGTGATCTGAAGCCCGATCAAATTACCCTGATGCACTTCGCTACAATGGATATTTGCCGCCAATGCTCTTCCCGAAAGGGTTGATATAGGCTGGTACAAGCGATTGTTTTACATTCCACAATCCTCAAATTGCTGATTTTCTCAGGGTGAGATTCGATCGATCTCGGCTCCGAAAGCGGGAAATAACTCAAATCATAATCACTGGTTCAGCTTGATATGACAGACACAAGAACAGAAGATATATTGGTATGGCTCCCTTTGAGTCTCTCTGATTATAGCTAGTGTTTCTCAGAAAAGTGCGAGGGTCAGCGAGGGTCAGCGAGGGTCAGCGAGGGTCAGCGAAGGTCAGGCGAGGACCTGGTGCGGCCCTGTTTACTCTATCAGTAACGCATAACTACCTCCCCACCCTCAAAACCGTCCCAATAATTCCGCACCCTTTTCCCCCAACATCATCATCAGCAGCAGCAGCAGCGTGCTAAGCCTCTTCCGCCCACCACAACACCAACGGACCCTCCGTTCCATAAACGGGATCTGCTTCTGGCATTTCCACCGCAGAAGTCTCTTTGCGTACCGCAACTAGATCGATAGGCTCTTTGCCGAATTCATTGCGCCAGTGGGGGAGCTTTCTGTAGAGAGCAGCTTAGCTGGATTGGAAATAGCCTTTATATGTAGTGTGCTGTACATGTTATATAACGCACTCGGATGTACCCAAAAACAGTATCAACGCACCTTTGGATAAAGGCCCACGTAGCGGTAATCTATACTGTCGACGCAGCTATGCGTTATTCCTGCCGGGAGGACTATGACGTCACCGGCTGTGACGGGGATAAGGATGCCTGCGCTGTGGCTGTCGTGTTTTCCTTTGCCAATGCGCAGCGTGGACGAACCTTGGAATATCCCTATTTTGATATGATTAATTTCTGTTAGCTACCATTCGTTTGTTGGAGTTGGTTGCGTTGTGTTGTCCTTCAAGGCCACACTCTGTTCACTTCTCATGCGTAGATTGCAGTGCAGAACCATGCGGAGTAGTAGTTAGTTGCCTGGGATCAGCACCCAACAGATCAGATTTCAGCGCCTACCGTAGCACTCATGTGTATTCGGATGGAAATGGGGTGTTGGGATGTGGCCAAATGTTCCCTATAGAAGGAAAATTCAGTGCATTAATATTACCAAATCAGTTGCATATTGATTATTTATAGATATCCTTTCATCCCAGGGACGGGTTGAATGAGATAGAACAGATGCTTGTCTCTCTACTATGAATGGATAAGAAACATACCCTCCTCTCCCAGTTATTCCCCTCCAAGAACTCCGTAGTTGTACTCTCTGAATGCGGCTGAGGAAGCACGTTCCGATATACAAGGACTGGTAGCGGGCTGTTGGGTGAGTAGGTGGTTGGTTGCAAGTAGAATCTTTCTACAGGTTGTGTGGCTGTGGAAGACATGATGAGAGGTTTCTGGTAGATGTTATACGGCATATGATAAATATTGGATATATATATATATATATATATATATGCATGACCCTCCCCATTGACTGTTAACATTAACTGTTGATTGCTTGGTGGTAAAATTCCACAGCCAGGCGGATTAGTCAAATAGTTATGAGGCATTCCCGATCTCCAGAGATGGCACTCGAAAACCTTTTTTAATGGTTCCCCGCAGAACATCTGCTGGACAATTTGTTGCTTTCCTTTTTGTAGGGGATAAAACCCACAACCATTCCACTCGTGGATTAAATCGAAACCACTTCTTTTTCTACTTGTCGTTTGGAGCTTTGGTACACAATTCGGCGGTTGTGACTTTGGATAAAATGCCACCTCTAGAACCTGCCCACCGCGTAAATCCACCACATCCAACCAACTGAGCTATCATTCCACTAATACTAATACGCTTGTCATTCTATTTACGTGCTTGTAGGCCCGGGTGTACTACGGCTGCCACAGCTTTTTTGGCATGATTTCAGACGCTCTAGCCTGAGTTCTAGTCTTCAAAGCGGTAGCCTCATGAAGAGGATGCTTAATTCTTCAACGTTACCAAACTTGTTATCGAGGTAAGATTGAACTTTCTTCTTAACTTTTAAGCTAGAGAAGATCTCTCCTTGACTAGAAAACTTCTAATGCAGGCTTTTAGGATGTTTGCTAAGTACAAGTCTTTAATAGTCATAGTAATCCTTGAAAAGCCTTCTGACTTTAGATCAACATTTATCAGATTTTAACAGCTTTAGTATCTTATATATATATGTCAGACGTTTGAAGAGATAGTAAGGAGTTTACTATATTAAGTTTAATGAGATTTATATATATAAAGCTTTGGAGCTATTGAATTCAAATTTACGAGAATTTTAATATATTAGCAAAGTGTTGAAATATTAATTTCACTGCTTTTATTAATTTTTTTTTTTTGTTTAATTTAACGACTTCAAATATGTTTTAACTTTTTACTAGTAATCTAATATAGTAAATCTTTATAAATGAAAATATAAGTTAATTTTATATTTACAATAATAAAAATATTAAATATTAATTAAATATTGATAGAAAGATTATTATATATAATAAAACTAATTGACATGACTCAGTCTACGAGCAACTGAATAAAGAGATCGGAGCGGATCAACTTTTCGGAGCGGAGTGGATCAACCTTAATCCATATACCAAGCACGCTGCGCCGTTAACATCTTCCTCTGACATCTTAAAGTATCAATTCAATAAGATCAAGCAGTATCAAGCATCATATACAGAGAGCTCTTCTAGTCCAATCAATTAAGCCATAGATTAATTGATTTAAGGGTATCAGCTAGCTATGCATAATCCCACTCTTTTGACATTTTGACAGAAACAAAACCCTATTTGTTGCAAATGAAAAAGCAATATTGCAAGTGAGAACAGAGATATATTTATATAGCTTAGGAGGAAGCAGAGAAAGAATTAGCTAGAGCTCAAGCTCCTCAACAAACTGTGCAGAATGAAGTGAAAAATCCAAAATCATTCTGTCAAAAAAGCAAGCATTAATGAAATGTAGTATATGTGGTCAAACAGAACAACACATGCCGTAGGATTAAGAAATTAGCAGTTTACTCTTTGTCTAGATATTTTTATTCAACCTCAGAATTCAGAAGATTATTTCTTAAACGATGGTATAGTTATGCAAGCAGGGACAGGCTTTTGAAATCTCCATTCAATATTTACTCACCTAGGAATTCTCTATGTTCAGGGCTTAATCTTTGCTGAAAGACATGACTGGCAGACTTGATTATTGAAATTAGCTATTCCGCCACAGAGGGTGTGCTTCTAGAGATGTTAATTGCTGTTGCTGCTGCCCGTACAGAGAAATAAAGACCATTTTCCAGGCTGCCAAGGGCTAATTGAATAGAATCTTCACATTGAAAGTCCATTTTATACAATTGGTTTGAATCTGGTTGATTTTACCCGGTGGGCGGATCGTAAGCGGTAGTATCTTATGTCCAGTTCCAAGGGGCATTGGGAATCCCCACCCACAGCAACTAGACACGGGAAAGCCTTGGGCGATAGTACAGTCATGAAATAGAGGAACTGATGAGAATGTATCCAAAATGGAGAATAAATATTTGGCGTATTTTAGAGTGGAGTTCACAATCTAGGCTCTATCGAACTTCGTCAACACCGATATGACATACAACATCCAGCCGTGAATGAGAACGTAGAGTAGAGTATAAAAGAGTAAAGAAATGAAAAAGAAAATAAAATAAAATAAAAAGAAAGAAAGAATTGAGTAACACATCAACATTTAACCAGAATCGAAAACTGGAGGCAAAGATATATATGAAGAGGCGAGATGAGCAGCTATGCGTATATATTGAGAGACATACATACAAATCATGAGAAAGGACCTAGGCTAAACACCAGTCCTGATATCACGAATGAAGTAGAGTATAAAACATCTCATGAAAGAGAAGAATGAGGTGAAGTCTCACAAAATAACCAGCCAGATAAAATGAAGCGGGTTCGCTAGAACAGAGAAAAAAATATATAAACCGTAAATCAGACCTTTTTGCACATTAAGCGCAAATAAATCAAAATCCCCCACCATTCATCACCGCAAATCATATCATGAATATGAGCAGAAATGCCCAGGGAGATATATAACAAAGAAGTAAACAATATGAAAAAAAAAAAGTGAAAAAATGTTCAATAATATTAAGCCTTGCCGGCTGACTCCTTCATCTCCATCTGAATCTCCATAATGGGAGGTTCTCGTCAATAAAGGGGAAATCAAAATTGAACAAAAAAGGTAAACTGGATCTAAGCCAGCCAGATTTAATAAAAGGAAATTGTGAAACTAAAACATGAAGAGGGAAATAAATTAAACGGTCAGGTAAAGCGCCGATCGCAGCGGAGGAACCAAAGGAAAGAGAAGGAAAAGAAAACACCAGAGGCAGATCCAAGCAGCTCCTAAAATTTGAAGGATTGCAGTACATTGTTTTTCTCGTGGGTAAAAAGAACTACTCTTTGAGTGCGTGATATATTGCGCGGTATATGCATGAGGATTGCTCAAAGATCCAACTGTGCAGTTAGGGCCCATACCTAGACGGAAGGAAGGAGTGAATTGACGAATCAATCGATGACAGGAGGAACAGTTGGGAAAATATCATGGAGATGAACAGCAAGGGTACGGCAGAGTATCACATTTCATTGGTCCACAAAAACCGCACCATTACCTCACACCTCGCGGATGGGCCACAGATATTCATTCATTGCCAAAGATGAAAAAGTCCGTTGCTGCCGCCAGCACCACCACCACCGCCGCCGCCAGCGGAGAGGCCCCTCCGACCGCTTCCCCTCCTCGACACCGCCGTCCCAGTGCCCGGTTCCGAAGAATCAGCACCGCTCACACTCCCCCTGGCTCCGCCATCCAGACTCCCCCGTGCAATCCCAAAGTCACTCATGGTAAACAGCAACGGCTCATCCTCTTCGAAATTGCTTGAGGATGGCCCACCACCAACACCATGGTGGCGGTTGAAGCTGTGTCGTTGACCCACACCGCCGCTGCCAAAGGGCCGGCGGTGGGTGTCGGTATTCGTCGACATCCCACTGTTGCTGCCGCTGCCTTGGTAGCCGTCGTGGTGGGAAGAGGGAAGGGCGTTGCCGCGACCTAGGCTGCTGGATGCGGAGCTGTGGGAGTTTGGGTGTCCAGTTGAGCCTCTGCCACGGTGGTGCGAGAAGCGCGGTTGATACGGGTGGTTGGAAGAAATCGTGGTAGCGCGGTATTGGGTGGATGTGGCGGGGTTGTTTGAGTTATTGTCTGCCAGCTGGGGCTGGTTGGTTGGTAGCATATCGACTGCGGGAGCTTCATTGTCCAGCTCCTGCTGACGCACTATTGCGTTGAGGCTCAGAAGTGATCTATCTTCAGCTCCTAGGCTTAGACTTCGCATACCGAAGGGGAGGAATTCGGCCGTTTCATAATCAATGGTTGTGCTCGGCCTTCGATGAGCGGCAGAGCTTGAACGTCGATAGCTAGGGATGAATGGACGTGGGGAGGTAGGAATGTCGATTGCATTGGCGTTAGAGTTGTGGGCAGCAGGTTCCATTGCCGTCTCTTGACTGGGTGTTTCCTCGAGAAGAGAGCCGTGGGATTCATGTGAGAGGTGGTGGCGTCGATTGTCCGTGCGGTCGAGGTGGGAGTAGTCGATGATACTGTTCGAGCTGAGGCGGGAGGGGATGGCGGGGGTATGGGGAGTATGAGGTGAAATTGGTTTGCCTGGAGATGAAGAGGTGGAAATCGACGTGCCGGCAATCATGGGAGGAACGCTAGGGAGCTGTCTACTTGACGAAGTAGATGAACGATGGAGAACTAGTGAAGAGGTCATAGAATCCGACAGGGCAGCATTTGATTCTTTCATCTTTTGAAAACGCGTGAGGGCAACAGCAGTCCTCCGGGTTTGTGCATACAAACTGGCAGAATCAGAAGGATTCAGCAGATCTTTTCGCATGTCAAGCATTTTGAGAAACTCTCCAATATTTGCTTCATCTCCCTGTAATGAGCTGGAACTGGTGCCTGGCTCCGCAATTATTCCAGAGCTAGGGTGGGCTGTGGAGGATGCAGCACTCGCTTTCCCGCTAGAGGTGTAATCATCATCTGTTTTGCTGGCTCCACCCGATGACAATCTCCCTCTTCGATGAGTGAAGGAACTGGTATACTTTACAATCGGAGCAGGTCTAGGAGAGCCAGAACCTGATGACGCGATGGCGTTTTCTGGTGAAGCATATGTGGATTTTCGAGAGACAGCAGCAGCACTCGCAGGCGGTGGCATGGTCTTGCTATCTGATGGCACATTAACCGGTCCCGTTCGACAAGGTGCAATTCGGGGAGAAGATACAATGGGAGAATCCACCAAAGACGGGGACGCTGAGAGGGGAGGCGCCTTGAAAGGTGGGAATGAAATCGAAGGTTTTCGCTGGGCGGAGTGGACACCATCGCGGGAGAAAAGACCCGGTCTTGAGCCATGTCCAGGTTTAGGTGAGGGTGGTGATACGGGGGAGCTGGACGAACCAGTCCCAAATTCCCTTGCGGCTCGAAGGGCAGATAATGGACTGACGCCCGTCGCAGGAACTGCATGATGGAAAGTCGATAAACTACCATAGGCCTGGGCATTGTGGGGTTGATCACGGCCTCGTCTAGCCACTGGCAAGGACCCAATTTCTTGTGCTCCACCGGGGAAATGATCTTCTGAGGGAAGAGATGGCCGAAAGTAGGCATCATCCGCACCCATAAACCTTGAACTCAATAATGCTTCAGAGTCATCCACTCTAAAGTCACAGTTCATTCGATAGGTTACCTGCACGGAAAAAGGGCCGGCGGGAGACTCAATAACGCCAAAAGAGAAAGTCTCTATAGTTTTACCACCATCATCGTAGAACGGGATGCTCAAAGGGTCGAGTGCCTGTGGTGTGCCTGCACTGGTTCCATTGTATATTCTGTAGCGAATAGGTAGGGTCGGGTTGGACCGCATAGTTGTCTGGCGTTTGGAAAACTTCCAAGCAGGGAGGAACCGGGAATGCGTAAAGAGAGATCTAAACAGAACGATGCTTTTCTTGTAGAGAGTGGGTAGTATGGAGGCGAGATCGGCGGGCAGATCTCTTGACGCATCCCCAAGTTCAACCTTCCAGCGCTCCAGAATGACTCTACTATATCTAGTATCCTGAGGCCCTTTGTAAGAAAACAAGGAATTAAGAGCTTCGAGAACGTCCCAGCGCTTCCCATGTTCATCAAGAATCACAAGGCTCTGGTTATGTGTCAACTCATCCGGATCGAGATAGGTTTCGATAATCATGGGCGGTGGACGGCGATCAGTTGTATCACAACTCTTCCAGGTTCGTAAGTCGTCTTTGAGCACATCGGTTTCGTCGAGTTCAACATTAAACTATACCAACAGAATCCAACCGTTACTCTTAGGTTCAAAAATAGAGGAACAAAATGTGTCCCTGTCCAAACCAAACGTACCCATCGGTTCACCCTTTTCACATCCGAGTCTTTGTTATACGCAAGGGGCAACTCGACTCGAGATTGCAATATTATTAGAGCGGCTTTCGTATGGTATTGCTACGCAGGAATAACTTCAGTATATATACGGTAAATTTTCGAGGAGCGCCAAAAAAAAAAAAATTAAAAAATAAAAAAAAAAACCAAAAAGGCTCACCTGAACGATCTGATTTAGCTTGGCAATGATATCTCTAGTAGGAGCAACATTTGACGGGCCCTGCGTGAACATTTTCAGCTTTGGTCAATCCCAAGTCCTCTTGTTGATGTATCGGGTATACCAACCTCAGCAGATGATGCAGCGTCAGACTCTACAGCACTGCGATCTCGAGGGTTGTTGGTGCGAGCTGGATTAGTCCTGGGAGAGTTTGCGGGAGACGCCGTTGCCGGCGGAGGTCGAGGATGTTGATGCATCTCTGGCAGCTAACTATCGGAAGATTTGGGGGAAGTGAACTCAGCCAAAGGTTGCCAAAAAAAAAAAAAAAAAAAATTTGAGCCGCGAAGGTCCTCGGGCACAACAGGAGAGGGTTTTCGGGCCGGGTTTGTTACTTGTGATATGTATAATGGAATAATGGACCGAAAATCGGCGGTATCCGTGACAGACAGCCACGGAGAGTATGATTCAGTCGTTCGAGACAATATACGCCAAGTAACGTCGACGAACGGGATATGTAACGAGAAGCAAGATATGTGATATCAGACAGGAGGAAAAAGGATATCGGACTGATGCAGCGTTCGATAGCTGTCCATGTTAGCTAAGGCGTGGGGAGAAATGCAGCGGCGGCGGCACCTAGGCCGTTCGGGGGGTCATTGGATTGGATTGGTTCAGGGTGTAACTGAAAGGGTTTACCACAGGGTGGCAAGAAGCGAGAGATGATGGGACGGAGAGCCTTATAGTGCGTCGACGATGCTGGGGGGAACGGGAATCGACAAGTGGAAAACCGCAACGGTTACCGGGGACATTATTATAGGTCTTGCAGGCGAAGAGCTTAGGCAACAGGCAAGCGGGGGAGAGATAGAAGGGAATAGGTTGTCGAAAGCTGTGGTGATATAAAAGGGAGCGGGAGCTAGCACTGAGTCTTCCTTAGAGCTTTGTTTCTCTGCTGTCCGCAGGTTTTTGAGACGAAAAGACCAGGCAAGCCGGAAACCGAGCGGCGGCGGATTCCTCCCGAGAAGGGGGAACAGCACTTTAGTGGCACATCTTCCGTGGTTCTGCCACTTGGTTGGAAACGGGGAAGAAGATGGGGAGAAAGGAGGTACAGAGAGAGGGGCTGTTGGTAAGGTGTGGGTGTGGGTGTGGGAGGTAGGGAGGGAGTAAGAAAAAAGTTGACGTGAGGGTTGTAAGTTTGAGGTCGAAGTTAGTTAGGGTTGAAGTCGGGGCGAGTCGAAGAGAACTTAATAATAACATACGGACACAGGCACAAAACAGCGAAGTGACAAGTGACGCACAACAGCTGACTCGGACAGCCCGCCAAGCAGCAACCGTGACTAGACTATACTTTGGCCAGAATAAATAAATGTGAAACCAGGAGGAAGAGAGGACCGGTTGACAAGGGGGAAGTCAGTCAACTGCTTGGAACAGAACAACTTGGCCGGTTTGTTCTGATCGAGAAGGGGGAGAAGGAGAAGAGATGGAGACAATAAGACAATGCTTAAGAACATTTGTCGTCTGTGGTGCATCGCTTGCCTCAGCCAACAACCATCGTTGAATCTGTCTGCGGGAGTCACTCCAACAATCTCATTGCATCAAAGGGTACCCTCCCTCCTCTCTTCCGGTCGAGTCATTCATACCAAAAGGAGCTTAAGGAGCTTGCTGCAGTATGGTATGGTCCTGTCCTGTAAAGCAATACGCTAGACAATACATACCACCGCTCGTGGCTTGCATAAACCTTATTACCATCAATGGGACGTTCTGATTTCCATGTGTGTCACAATACCTCTGCCGCGTACTGTAATGGGTATACAACGGCGGCGGGTTGGTATCTGGACCTCCATGTAACTTGCTATGCTGCTGTTGCTGTTGCTGATGCTGATGCTGATGCTGATGCTGACGCCATCTCCAAGGCATCTAGCATCAATAGAACACAAAACAAACAAACAAAAAAAAAAAAAAAAAGAAAAAGAAAAAGAAAAAAGAAAAAAGAAAAAAAAAAAAAGAAAGAAAAGAAAGAAAAAGAAAGAGGGAAAGAGGGAAAGAAAGAAATCCACGAAACATCCTCCTGGTCTAGGCTAGGCAAAATGCCACACCGACCTCCGCAGGAACTACATCGATATTTTGCGGATATTGCTCTCTAGCAATCCCATATGCCAACATATCACAAAACAGTTTCCCGCATCAGCGTCGTACTCCAGCAAACATAACCCCTCAGAACCATCCCGTCGATAAACGCTGCAGTTAGACGAGGCAGATATCTAGACTGCGTTTGGCACTGGCTGCCTCGCCATGCAGCCCATGAATCCCAAGCCACTTCCTTGGCCCACAAAAACAAACCGTCGCGGCGCTCATCACACCAATCAGCTACAGTAGTCCCCGATTCCCCCAAACAGTCCTTGGGGCGTGACAGAGCGTGGATGGCGCCCCTCCCATTCGTCCCCCATCGCTCTATTACCAGCAGCTGCAGATCCTCATCCTCATTGCTCTGTTCCAGAGTCCAGAGCACAGAGACTTTTTCCGAAGTGCTCTCCGCTGCGAAGTCTATATTGCCTGACTGCAAGGACCCTAACTGCTTATGTCAAATCTTGTTCGGACTGAGCGTCTGCGCAGATGGCAAATGTAAGGGGAAGCAACTCCGTACGCAGTAGCTAGCTCAAAGACTCGGGAACTTTTTCCCTTGGCTCCAGAGGACACTGGCGTTCCATATTATTATTATTATTATTATTATTATTATTATTATTATTATTATTATTATTATTATTATTATTATCAACCCTGGACTCCTTTCATAATGAACTAAATATTATTCCCCCCCACCTCTGTGTTAGTGGTGAATGAAGCATGGCGTTAGGCATTGGAGAAGTTGAGGTTAATGATTTCTACAACCCGTCCTCAAAATCCAGAGTCGAGAGGGTTTCAACACGTCAAACCCAGGTCTTTGTTAATAGCGTAAATAGTCGATCCTGCAACGCTCCAGTTCCCCCCCCCCGCGGACGAATAACCCATCAATCATCCAAACCCGCAGATGCAGACGTGTCTAATGATCAGTGACCAGTAATTCGGAGATTCGTGCGCGTCTTTATACGGCGAACTCATGATTCCTGTTTGGTCATCGCCTGTCAAATGATGAGTTGACTAATGGAATGGATGGAATAACTAACTAACTGGTTACAGCGATGTACTCCGTTATTACTGTATGAAATGTCTTACAATGATTCCTGTCATATTATTACTCTCCCCCATTCCGTGCCTCTGCATCAAATCTTCCTGGGTTCTCCTTGGTTTCACCAGTCACGGAGCGTTAGATGGCTGCCCGTAATGACCACCTACCACCGCGGCAGCCGCCTGACCGACTGACAGGTCCCGTGAGGAGGGCCTGTATCCAGAAATCAGGATATTTTCATTTCCTTTTCTCCTGAGCAATTCACAATCTGTCATGCCTGCTTTGCTCTGCTACTGTGTTTTCCCTCTCTCTTCTGCCTATTTCCAAGATAGGGCAGAGGTAATATATTCCACGTCAACAAACTCTACAAACTCTAGCGACTGAATACAACCAAGGCCTTGTTAGGATCGATCCTGGTCAGTGTCACCTCAATGATCAAAGATCGCTTGCGAGCCAACATTGGAAGCGCCAGGGGGCACGGGCCCTTTCTTTTCTTTTCTTTCCTTCCCTTCATTTTTTCCCTTCTCTTTTTTCTTCTCCTCTCTTGCTTGACTCTCTTGACCTGGATAGAGGCCTGACGGATGCGCTTGAGCCTCAATCAACCAGCCAACCATAATCGCAACCTGCAATATGATAGCGACAGGAAGAAACCTCTTCTTGTTATAAATACCCGACGACCGGTGATGGTTGCTTGAGTCGACAAGTCGACAAGCCGAAAAGGCATCGAGTTTTCTTTCCAAATAGGTTTGCCGACGATTTTCGAAATGCTGCCTGTCTGTGTGCCATGACATGGCGCATTTTGCTGTTGGTCGGTATTCCGTGCAGGCAGTTGCCTAGAAGCTAATGGCCTACAGATGCAGACTTTCCACGCACGACTGGGGCCAATCAAATCAACCTATGTTTGCTTTGGGCATTGATTTACTCGAAAATTTCATTTGATCAGGTAAATGCGTTTCGGAAGTAGAGTAGGGGTTTGAGATATATTGTCTTCTAGGAATAAGAATATGCCTGAGCCATCCTGAGCGAGCATTGAGTATCCTAGCCTCTGGGCCTTTGAGGGACAAAGCAACGAAAGGGTTGCCGTGCTGATACAGAGAGAGCTTTTCGACGATGAAAAGTTGATCTTCACTTCAACAACTCCGCCCATGATTAATTTCATTGTCCACAGGGCTACTACATTTTTCCTAAATGGAGTTATTGAATGTCGCTCATATAATGTGAGCCATCCACATGCACTCTGCCACTCCTATCAACATCTAGTTGCTCCCTAAGGTCGCATTATAACATGGAGTATTCAACCATATACTCCGTACGCGAGAAGAATACCTTTTTCAACTGCTCTACTTGTTAGCTGCTAGATACACATCAAAATAGGTGCTGTTAATAATAGATTCTTCGTATGAATTTACTCATAGATCTAATTCTTGCTGCTGGTACTTTGTGCCCAGCCGTCAATTTCAGCCTCTCACCTGTTCTCATGTGCTGTCCGCGTCGTGTGATTGGCCGAGCCCCAATATCATCCATCAATATTCAAACAGATTGAACCAACTTAAAAAAACGATTCATCTCCCTACTTAACAACCGTTTTCCCTCTGCATCATCCCCTCCCCGCTCAACTCCTAGGCCAACATTGCATCTCCAGTCACAATTACATTTGTCTGCTCTAAGCGCCAGTTCAGGTCTTTTCCGTTAAAGCTCGATTTGCTACAGAGTGGCTGATTGTTGTTGCTTGTTGCGCTGACAACCACGGACTCCTTCCGAACGCCACCTTCTCTGCTGCGAAATCTCGACACACACACTCCGATTGAGACGAAACGGAAATTTGTATATTTATCGAAGCGTGCAACCGTCTATCGGCGAGCAATTTTCGGCTACTATTTCGCCTTCATTCCTCGCGCACTATTCAATTTCTCCACCACGTTGACACCTAACACTCCGTCGAGGCGACAGCGACCTTTCAGTCCTACTCCGGGGATTTGCAAACAAGGGGGTCTTCTATTCGGGGATCCTGCCAGCACCCTACGCAGTGGCACATGAGTAGCAAACTCTGGCAGTATTTTCTCCAAGATGACGTCGAAAGCTTCAAGCGGTTTCTGGCAGAGGCCTCTGGTTCCCGGACACATTGGAAATCTACAACGCCCACCTCTTCCGCTTTCGCATCCACAGGGACTGCCGCTCTGGGAGTTTCTCCAGGCTCATCCTTGAAGAATCGCCCACCTACCTCACCGTCCCCAAAGCAGCTGCCGGATAAGCACCCTTCCTCGTCAACGCGGAATGCGCCAATTGCATTAACCCGTGCTGATGTAAATGCCAAGGACCAATATGGTCGCTCGCTGTTGCACCTTATAGCCTCGTCGCAGAAGGAGCATGCGATTGACTTTGCGATGGCGTTGCTGGAGGTGCCGTACGTCGATATATATGCGCAGGATTTGGAGAGTGGATGGACTGCGCTGCACCGAGCATTATATGCCGGGAATGTGACCATCGCACACGCGCTAATCGTCAGGGATATTCGCGATGCTACTGGCTTTAGGATGCCTGGTGGAGTTCACCATCCCTCCGGGGGCCTTATTAAGATCAAGGACCGCGAAGGGAACAGTCCCTTTGATGTCTTTGGGGCAACCATTTTACCCCGTGATATCGTCAACCGGTCTTCGGAACGTGAATACACATCAGACGAGAGATATTCCGTGTCAACCGCTTCTTCTGTCGCATCCGAATCTGATCACGATATTGGGGGAGGCAGAGCAAGACCTGCAGTAAATTTGTGTGGTGACGAGGTGTTCACTTTTGGTAGCAATAAAAATCTGAACCTTGGACTGGGAGATGAAGGCGATCGCCAGTTTCCGGAACGAATCTCTTTGACTCGTCCGGACCATTTGCTATACACGTTCCACCGCGAATATGAAGCTATTCGTGCCGCGCGTACGGGATCGGATCCCGGCTCTGTGCAGCCTGATATAAGCTCTGTGACAGAGATACCCACCTTGGTACGGGCCCGGCCTATTAGCTTCAGACAGATTGTAATGTCTAAACTACACACCGGAATACTTACGAATGACCCAGTGTCAAATTTGTTTGTTTGCGGTTTTGGCCCAGGAGGGAGATTGGGGACTGGAGACGAAAATACAAGGTTCAGTTTCGTTTGTATCGAGGGAGGCGGCCTTGCGGGAAAGAAGGTCGTTGCATTGGCTTTGGGACAGGACCATTCCATCGCCATCAGCGAACAGGGAGAAGTGTTCTCATGGGGAAGTAATAAATATGGCCAGCTGGGCTACACTCTTCCCCAGACGAACAAAAAGAACGATGTTCCTATACAAACCACCCCACGACAAATCTTCAACCCTCTCAAGAAAGAAGCCATTATCGGCGCTGCAGCATCATCTATCCATTCCGTTGTGTTTACCCCCACAAGTTTATACACTTTTGGTAAAAACGAAGGCCAGCTAGGCCTTATTGATGCTGATGCCCGCTCCCTCGAGTCGCAAACCATTCCTCGACGAGTAGGGGCATCGCTTTTCAGCTCTCCCGTTGTCATGGCTTCAGCCATCGACCGAGCCACGAGCTGCCTGCTCGAAAACCACGAGGTCTGGGTCTTTACGCACTATGGTTATTCAAAAATAGTGTTTCCACTCGACGGGACCTCGAGCTTCATAAGAGACAGCTTCATGTCGACCAGATACGGCTCATCGACCAATTACATATCCAAAATTACATCTGGTGGCAATACTATATGTGCCATGTCGAGTTTTGGTGAGGTTTACACAGTTGACGTTAGCCGCAAGCCTGATATCAGTTCTACGGCCTCATCTACAACCAACCCAGCCAAGATTCGTAACTCACTACCCCAACCGTCTCGTGTGTGGTCTATCAAAAAGGCCCACATGGCCGTCCGAGATGTTGACGTTGGTCAAGATGGGTCGATCATCATATGTACCGAATCCGGATTCGCCTGGAGGAAGGAGAAACTTGCAAAGATCAAGGATGCCGACAGTAAAAAAATGTCAGGAGAGACTCGGTTGAAGGATTACAAATTTGTTCGGGTTCCGGGCCTTTCCCGCGTCGTGGCTGTTAGGAGTAATGCGTTTGGAGCGTTTGCAGCTGTCCAGCGTGGGTGCAATGTGGCAAGAGAGCAAATCTGCGTTGACACCTGCATGCTATGGCGTGATCTAAGGCCCCTTTCGCCGTTTGAGGGTATATTGAAGCAGGGAGATTCCGACAGCCGTACGTCAATGTCTATGGATGTTATGATCGGGGACAAATACATCAAACCGTGCAACCTTGAGTCGGCGATTAAGTCTACCTTGGACGACGCTGCTCGCTCCAACCATTTCCTCAATTCGATCGTTTGGGTATCCACGACATCTTCAGATGTACGAATTCCCGTGCACGAGTTTATGCTGGCTGCTCGTAGCTCGGTTTTGAGGCGAGCATTCGCTGAGTTCCGCAGGTCGTATTATTATTCAATCCCGGACGTCTTCGGCATTGAGTACGACAAGAACGGACATATCACGATCAAATTCAATGACGTCGATTTTCTATCCATATTCAATTTGGCTCTTTTCTTGTATACTGAGGAGATCTACGATGTCTGGACGATGGCACGACAGTCGCCATCACAGGCTGCTGAGTACAAACGAGTTCGAATCGAAGTCTTAAAGCTATCTACGGTGCTTGAGCTTCAGGCTCTTGAGCGTGCATCGCGGTTAATGACGTTACCGCATAAGCGTTTAAATTTAGATATGGAGCGAGCGTTTAAGGATCCTAATTTCTTCGAAAATTCCGATGTTATTATTGAACTTGATGGCGGTGATATGAAAGCGCACAGCCAGATTTTATGCAAACGCTGCCCCTTTTTTGATGGTTTGTTCTACGGCAGAGCTAGTGGCCGCTGGTTGGCTGGCAGGCGCGCTGGCTCGCCCGATTCCATAGATCCTCTTCGGATTGATTTGAAGCACATCAGTCATGACATCTTCAAGTTCGTGATGCGTTACATATACGCAGATACGGATGATGAACTTTTCGAAGATGTTAAGTTGAATGACTTGGCAGACCTGATTGATTTGGTCATTGATGTTATGGCCGTTGCGAATGAGTTAATGCTGGACCGTCTCGCACAGATATGCCAAAAGTTACTGGGCCGTTTTGGTAGATATCCTTTGTCCCTATCTGCTCGAGGGGGACATGCTAACTTCTTCAGTTAACAATCGGAATGCATGCCACTACTTAAATGCGGTTGCACCCTGTTCGGTGACGGCATTCAAGAAAGCTGCGTTGGAATATGTTTGTTTGAATCTTGAAACCATTCTGGAAAATAGGTATGTACCAAATTTCACTACGTGAGTGTCATTTCGACTCATACGTTGGCTTATTCCCATTTAGACTTCTCGACGATCTGGATGACGAGCTCTTCCGTGAACTCGATGAAGTTTGCCGAGCAAACCAACTAAATTGCCAGCCGATATCCAGAGGTCGGAATTCCGAGGACTACGTCGCAGAAAGGTATCCCGAGATTGTCCCCTTCGTGGGACAGGATAGACAGCGACGGATTGATTCAATGAGACTTCGGACCCGTCGGCACGAGGACGAATTGCGGGAGGGGAAATTCCGCCCGGGTTCAATGGAGAAGGGCATTCCATCTTCACCACTTGCTCGTAAGGCTATCGCGCCTGAACCAGCGCGTAAGGGGGCAGAGCCAAATGTTGAGGAAAACACTGTCCTGAAGTCGAAACAATCTACAGGTGACTTGATTTTCCAAATGGATGACGAAAATTTGCCCCCTGATGATCAGCTAGAGGGGAAATCCCCTTCTAGGATTGGTATTTCCCAGCAATTACAAGGAAATTTTGATCATGGCGATTCCAGAAGACATCCATTGCATGCTGTTGAAAAAGCAAACGATCCCGGATCAGAAGCGTACGCCCCGTCGCCGACTCAAATTGGTGCATCTATACCTATGGCAAAATCTCAAGAAAGAGCGTCTATAGGAGCCCCTTGGAGTTCTGTTGGACCTTCAGGTTCCAAGGCTGGCTTGAAGGATATCATGGCAGAAGCCTTGGGATCCCATCCGTCGGGCACAGGCTTGAATAAATCGTCCCGATGGGATGTGCCCGAAAGTAAACTCTCTGCATCAAAGCTCTCGCAGAGAGAACGCAAGAAGCTCCAGTATCAGCAAGCGCAGGAATTGTTTGCAGAACAAGAGGCATCTAGATCAACGCCCGCATCGCCCTGGCAAACTGTCAACATCAAATCGAATTCATCACTAGAAACACAAACAGAAAGCCACTGTCCGCAAAATGTCTCCGTGCCTACTCGCACTCCCTCCAAGGTACCGATGACATTGCGGCAAACCGTTTCAGGCGCCCCGTCACCGCAAAGCAGCACACCAACACCCTCTAAACAGAAACAACATGCACAAAGCCCTGAAATAGTGCCCTCTTCATTAACCAAAGCCTCACCCCGCCCCATCTCCAAGCCAGATTTCGTCCCACGGAGTTCCCTTGGAGCTATGTCAACCCACGCAACAACGCTAATCCAACCCACACCACGATCACTCACCTACAATATCACCCCTCGGAACAAACCCGACCAACAACAACAACAACAACAACAACAACGATACAATTACTCCTCCCCCTCCCCCTCTACCAGCCAACTCTCCCTCGCCTATATCCTCAAAGAGCAGCAAAGCGAGAAAGATGAGCTCCGCGAATCAGTCACTGCCAAGCACAAATTGCAGGATATCCAGCTTGAGCAGGAGTTTCAGGAATGGTGGGATCAGGAAAGTAAGCGGGTGCGGGAGGAGGCGGAGAGGGCGGAATTAGCAGCGAAAAAGGCTACGAGGACGGAAGTGGGGAGGGGAAAAGGACGATGGAGAGGTTGTGATAGAAGTGGTGGGGGTGGAAGTCGAAATAGATCCACGGGGCGTGGACCTGAGTCTGGGCCTGTGAAGAGCAAGGGTCCAGGTCAAGCCCGCTCTGACCGGGAACGAAGGGGCGGTGGTGGTAGCGTAGGAAATATTCCCGATACCTTAGCCCCGGCGGCGAGCATTGAAAAAGGGCCTTCTGCTTCTCTAACCCAGAATACTGCGAACCAGGATAGTAGGAGATCCTTTCCTGATCGTGGACGTGGAGGTAGGGTTAAGGGCCATGGTCATGGTCATGGGCCCTCTATAGGGGGAACGAGAAGCGGCCTTGGGAACGGGAAAGAGAAGGAGAGGGTAGTGTCATCGTCCTAGGATCTGTGACGGTGTTGTTTTTCCTAATTTCAATTCTTACTGTGTGTCGCTACGCGATCCTTCTTTCATTTCCATTTTTGTGTATATTGATTGCCTATATTTTTACTGTCAATTTGGTCCGGGTTGGGTTATTACATTCAGTTATATATGACGGGAACATATTGGGTAGTGTGTATTGTTAACAATAAAGAGGGTTCATTGACCAACAATGACGCAGGACAATCTCAATTTGTCAGGTTGTGATCAGCAAGTTGATGGCATGATAGTTCATATTAGCCATGATTGTGGTCTTATTATATCACTAAAGAGTAAGTGGGGACGGGATTGTGGATGAACAGCTTACCAGTTCTACTCCGTGCAGATTGTCAAAAATAAAGTGAACACATGCAATGGATAGCGGAAATGGGATCAAGGGTCGGGCAAGGGGATTTACCAACTAAAACAGATACAGAACCATATTCACAACTCAGAGGGGAAAAACGCTACACTGTCAACGATCTCCACCCCACCCTGTTACCTGATTAATTTCCATCCCCACTTCCGCGACGCCCCTTACTACGCCCACCAACGAGTCTGCCCAACCCCCCTGACCCCGCTGCACCCTTTCCCTCCTCTCCCTCTCCGCCTCAGACTCCAATCTCTGCCCTTCACCCCTAGCCACAATACTCGCTTCCTCCCTTGCACTCTTGGCCTCCTCTAATCCCACAACCTCCCCATCCCGAGCCCTCCCCAACACCGACCTCTTGATAACAGGGGTGAAAAACTCTAGCCATGCTGTCTCACTAAGCCCACAGGCGTACTCTTCGTCATACCGCGCATACCAGATGGCTGTGATAGGCTCATAGCGTTTCTCGAGCAGCCAGAGAAGCGGCCAGGTAATTATCCAGAGTTGAAGGAGCACGCAGGCCCACCAGACGAGGCTGTGTGTGCGCAGTTTGTTAAGGAGCGAGGGTGAATAGACGGTTAAGTGAGCGTTGTGTGTATGAATTTCTATGCAGATGTGACCGCGGTAATTGAGGGAGCGGATCAGGGTTGTGATGCCCTTGTGGAGCACGGGGTGGTTCCAGACTTCCAGAGCGCGGTGAAAGGTGAAGCTGAATTGGAGCGTTTAGTTTGGGGTGTTTTGTGAGTATTTTCACGCCCTTTCTTCCGTGCTTCTCATAGATATTCTATCATGCCACATAACGGGAACGGAAAACTTACGACTTGACTCCCGCCTTATCATTGCAGAATCGTCTGCACCATTCCTCCAAATCTGGTCCGTCACTCCCCGCCATCAACCCCTGGCCCTCCTCAAGATCTGCGTTCGTACCAGTACCAGCAACACGGTCCTGCTTCTTATTTTTGCTCCCACCTTTGCTCTTTAACCTCCCTCCCCTGTATTTCTTCCTTCCATCGTTATCTTGCACAACCTCCACAAACCGACACCGATCCCCCAGCTGATCAACATCCGGCAACACAGAGCCGACGCAATTAATGCGAAAATCAAAATCGACCACAGTATCCTTGCTGGATCCCTTGTTCGACCCAGAATTCTTGTTCGTGACCGTATGCGTGCCCTTAACGACTATAATGGGCACAGGCGGACGGTTTGCTTGAAATGTAACCAGAGAACAGAGCGCCTTAGGATTCTGGGAAAATTGCGGCTCGAGGGTCACCGTGTATGTCTTCTTGGCGGGCGAGGAGGATATCATACGCCCTCCAGGGATGTCGTAAGGGCTCACCAGGCGCCCTACGGACGAGAGATTGTTGGTGTTTATGGGGGAGCGGGATTGGGGGATTGTCAGAGTATCATCATCTGTGTAAGTAGGTGGGTTTTCTTCCGGCTCCACGTCCTGATATGTCTGGAGGGAATGGGCCGAGGCCGAAGATGGGAGAGGCGAGTCGTCCCTGAACGGACGGTTGGGTTTGGGCAGGCCCATTGGTTTTTTGTGTGAAGATGAAAAATATCGTTGGATATCTCCGGAGACGCCAAAACACGTATGCTCTTCAAAAGCAAACGTTCGCTCTCTGTGGTAGACAGAGAGCCGGGTAAGCGATCCAACTAAATTCCAGGCAACCCAATTCCTGAAAGAGCAGTGTATATAAAGGTCTAAGAATATAGCGTAATTGTATCCAAACCGAACAAACGCAAGTTCGTCGTAGAGGCACAACTGCAAAACTGCAGGAAAAAAAAAAATAGATGTATCCCCCACGCAGTATCAACACCCGACGGATACAGCGTCAAAATGAGTATAATATCCTAGATGTGTGGACAGTAAGAAACAGGCACCCATCGCGACTTTATAGGAGGACGAGCCTCTCGCCCCCTTTACAGTCCTCGGCAGAGCTGGCAAGCCTGCATCTAGGCATGAGACTATCCACTTATTCGCCCATCTTCGAGTGACAGAGCCTCATTGCGGGGCACGGGGATGGGGTGTTCGTTAACTAGTTAGTCGCTGATTAGTGCTAGGATTGATTCAGGGGCAGTGGTGAGGTTTCACTGCGATGCCAGACTATTTTATATCTGTCAGCACCATGTAAAAAACGGATCCTCGGCTATTCTTAACAAGTCAGTGAAATTGTTTTTGCCCCCTCTGACATTCCTCCTATCCGCGATCACGGAGTATGGGAGAAAGGTGGCGCTGCTACAGGATCGAGAGCAAGAAATAAATACAAAATTTTGAACCTAGAAAACACATCACTTAAGTACATCCTTATGCATTTCAGTTGCCAATTGTCTGGACAACTTTGTGTGTTAAAAATCACTAATTTGCATGCAGAATGTGCATTAATCTAGGCTTCGACATATTAATGAAGAGCTAACTAGTACAGAGGGATATAACTAAGTCTTTGCAGTGATAATTTCCCTGATAGGATTTGAGCATATTGACAATACTATTGATCACAGTATTGTTGAAATGAATCAACTCTTCAATAGCACCTGTTCAAATGATTAAACAATAAATATATATCTCATTCTTACAGGGGTAAATAAGAGGTAATTAATTATTCTTGTGCCAACTCAGCAACAATAGCTCCCTAGGTAAACACCGTTCCAAGGAAAGATAAGGAGTTAAAAAGCCATAGAAACCAAAACAAGCCAGGCAAGGCTGGGCAGGTAAGAAACAGCTCCCGGGAAATAGGAAAGCCAGAAAAGGGGAAGTTGGGAAAAGAGAACGCCACCCTGTACAAATTCAATAAGAAAAGGAGCGCGAAGGTTGCAGCATGTCATGTAAAAATGCGTAGGAAGCAAGGGGGTACACCAAGAACAGCCGCTGGAGGCAAAAGGAGCTATCATCGAGCAAGCTCATGTGACATATACATTGATTGAAAAGAGATAGGGAAGGGCCAAAAGTGCAGAGTGTAGCAGGAACACGAAATGGAATAAATGACAAAAGGCAGAAACTCCGCCACCAATCAATCATCTGCAACGGCAGGCTCACGGCTATCCCACATCCGCCTAATCAGCAGCTCGACATCACTGGGTCGATATGCGCCCTGTCCAACACCACCAGCGCCGCCAGTATCATCATCAATCTGATCCTCATACATATTGCCATCCGCAAGGACAACGGCGACAGAATTATGCCGCTGTGGTTGATTCTCTATATCGAATCGGTCACCCGGTTCATCGGAGTCGCCGGTGCGGCCTGAATCCTCTGACCTGCGGAGTCGTAGCTGGCTGGTTGACTTGGGCACTTTGCTTAGAAACTGGCTGTTGACGGTGGGGTCACTGTCGATGATCCGTGAGGATGAAGGGGGACGTGAGATGTTCCCGTTATTAGTGACGAGGTTCGCACCGGTTGATTGGCCTTGAGGTGTATTATTGGTTTTCCCGTTGGTCCCGGCCAATTTCTCAAGTCTAAGGAAGCTCTCTACGACAGGCTCTCTGAAACGGCGTACTACTGAATATTCCATTGTATATTTGTCATATGTCTTACGGGTTCGTTTCGCTTCGTTATCCGTATTTATTCCTGAGACTCCACCCGTTCCCATCATTCCCCTGCGGCCGTCTCTGGCACGGGAGTTGGATGGTCGGGATTGTGTAGCCGCCATAAAAGCCGGCTCCAATATAGATGATGGCGTTGTAGGGGAAGGGCCGGATATAGAAGGATCCGGCAACGAGGTAGTAAGAGCCGCAGTTCGCTGGAGCCATAGTTTCTGCTGTGTACGCGACGGAGGCTCTGGTTGGCGTCCGCGAGAGCTTGGACGTGTGGAACTCGTTGTAGTCTCCGGAGACGGTGGCGTGTTGGGGCAGTAATGAGGGTGGAAAGATAATGGGGTGTTGAGGTCAGAATCGGGGGTGGCTCCAACATTGGCATTAGAGCCATTGATGATGAATCTGGATACACCTCCTTCAATCGATGATGACGTTCCATGTGGATTAATAGATGAGCTGCTCCCAACTGTTGACCATTGTCCGGACAGCTCAGAATTGCGGACATGGCTTGAAGGAAGGGCTGATGGAGGACGGGCAGTACGGACTGCTGCTGGCGGCGTTGCGGTAGCTGAGACGGATGATATGGCAGGCGGAACTTTGGAGGAATGTGGGTGATGGAGGAGACGAGAAGCGATATCGTCCTGGTCAAGTGCAGTGGGTTCCCGAGAAACCCCAGGATCGGAGCCGCTAATATGACCTGACGTCTGCTGATGGCCTGGAGTCTCATCTGCTTCGTCTGTAGTATCGGTGGTTTCTACTTGAGTAAGGGGAGACTTTGTCGCAGGGAGCGTAGAATTGAGACTATTATCAGTGCTCATCTTGTTCGCGACCACCGAATTGTGTCTTGTGCTTTCCGGAGAATGAGAGCTAGTGTTATCTTCCCACTCGTCGTCGTCGTCATCCGAAGCCGCAAGCTCAAAACCAACAGTCTTTTTCTGTCCAGCCCTGTTGCCTGCTCCTGCTGCTGCTGCTGCTGCTCCCGCCTTTGTTATCGTATGGGGTTTCTTCAAGAGAATCCCCGAAGCAATCCGCAATGCGGGCGTGGAGAGGTTCTTGCGTATTGCGGGATTCGTGGCGTGGCCAGCTAGCGAAACTATCGAGCCATTCCAGCGTACGTTTTGATTGCTAACTCGCGGGCTCGTCGCAGGAGAAGCGGATGCCGACTTTTTGTGTTGGTGATGTCTCAGCGCAGGTCCAACTTGGGTGTCACCTTCCCCTGACGAAGTGTGCGCAGCAGCGAGTCTCTGAAGTCTGTTAATGTTCTTCAGCGACAGATTGCGCACATGCATATGCGGCCGGTGTGAAACAACTACATGCGGCCGGTGAGGTTTGTGAGTAGAAGCTTTATTGGTGTTATGGAGGTGCGGGGGGCCAGCTTCGGGTTGAGGTGTCTCTCGAGGTGGCACGGACGAATCTGGTGAGGCTTGTTGCTGGAAGGGTACGGAACGCTTATTTGAGGACGTCAGACTATTCTTTGACGGCATGGTGGGGCGGCAAAGTGGGAGAATCAGGGGTGGTTATTTGCTGTACAAACGCTCAGCCGTTTATTCTAGGCAACCTGCAGCGTCATAAATGTCGCCACAGCTGGGTTATTTTCGGTCGTGCTACAGGCTGTAGGAACAATGCGACTCGATTAATGATGTTTTTGGATATTCCACTCGCAACGGACACGGCTTAAAGGCAAGTAATTGGGTGGTGATGGAGGCGATTGTGCAATTATGGCCGAGACGATCAGTAAGTAGGTGCTGCAGCAGGCAATCTCCAAATCGCGCAAAGGCTCTCTAAGTAGCAGACTGGTATTTCACCATCAGCAATTCGAACCACAACATGGAATGGGCGGAAGGGAGGAACTGGCTGGGACTGGTTTGGAATTCACCGGACAGGGGAGGATACAATCCGAAGAGCACAACAATTCCAGACCTGGAGGTTGATGTCAAAAGGCCGATGCCATGACAAAGCAACGCCCGTAACTTCAACTCACCAGTTTGACTGGCGAGCGGGAGGCGGTGAGGGGCATCACGTGGGTGACTGGAAGGGCCCAGGGGATTGCCTAGCTACAGTGAAAAGCTTAGTTAAAAGTTAGTCAAGAGCTTAATTAAACTTAGTTAAAGACTTAGTTAAAGGACGCCTGAAAAGTATGCCTATGATAAAAGTAGCCAATATGAAATTAAATCACCTGCTGTACAGAGTACACCGATTGCCAACACTAACTTATTCTATTCTTTAGCAGAGGTACTCGATTTAAATGATATTTTTCAACGATATCTTGTTATGAACGCATTAAAACAGGGCTGCTTCCTATATAATTGAGACAGGTTAGAATCCTGTGTGTGCCATTGCATAACTGGCCCTGGAGCCATTAAATTGTTTCTCAACTATTAACACTTCATTCACCTCAATAAGCCTATCTTAGTATACCTTTTCTACTACATCAATACATCCAGATAGCCAAACCATGCCATAGATACATACTTACAATACCAACCAACAAAATAAATAAGTAAATGAATAAATAATAATGGAAATTGCATTTGGCCACATTTCGAAGAAAACCCATAAGTGCAAAAAGGAGACAACAGCAGAAAGATCGTAAGCTTCAGGGCAAATGGGAAGCACAGGAGACATATTAATTTGTGCATGGAAAATGGTAATTCACATTTGGCTCCATATCGCGGGAGGCAGCGGGAAACCACATTGGGTATCAAAAAGGGGGGGGGGGGGGGGGGGGGGAGAATAGATGGGGAAGGAGGGAGAAACAATGGGCTAAAAGTACAGCCAACGCCGCATGTGTCTCACAGGTCAATCAATCTGGGCTCTTCAACCGGCTTTGGGGTAACTTGCTGCTGTTGCTGTTGCATCTGCTGCGGCGGCTGTTGGGATAGGTATGACGGGTCTCCATCTGTAGACACGGGGGCAGTGGTGATATACGATTCATTTGCAACCGGTGGCATGTATTGCGGATTCGTTCCCAGTTCAGGTTGGGGCCAAGTAATGTAGGGATTGGGCAATTGAGCTATGCTTTGCGTAGGAGTTTCATAGGACTGGGACTGGGGCTGGGACTGGGTTGCTTGGAGCTGAGGATGGAATTGTGCGGGGGGAGGGACATCCTGTGACGGGGGGAGGCTTTGGTGTGGCGGATTCGCTAGTGGGACTGTTTGCGATGGCTGGAATTGAGAGTCTTTTCGCATTATGGGAGATGAGGGTTGATACGGGTGACCGGATCCAGGAACGTATTGCCCTGGAGCTGTTGGGGGCTCCTGGCCGACCGGAATAGTGACCGGTTGTGCGAAATAGTAACCAGTGGGCCCAGGTTGGCCGCTAATTTCAGCTTGTCCAGGCGGTACAGGGTGTCCCTGAGGCATGGAATGGTTCTGGTATTGAACTACAGGATTTGTAGGTGGCGGAGAGGTGTACGGTTGGTATTCGTTTTGACGGTCCCATCGATCATTTTGCGGGGGATTAAAAGGCGTTATTTGTGAGTGAGGAGCACCAGAACGCGGATCATACCCGGAGCTCACTGACGATTGACGCTCAGGAGGACGATACTGGCTAAGAGGAACGGCTTTTTCTATAGGCGCTGAACCAAAGTAAAAGTTCTCCGCACCCCCCCTGGCATCGGTAAGATTTGGTGAGATGGATGGATATGCCGTTGAAGCAGGCTGGCTAGGTGGTAGATACTTGTAAGCGCCTAGGGTATGTTGTGCGTATGTGTTGGATAAACGGTCCTCGAGCATGCGATCGTAGTACCGTACAACCGTTGATAACTTGGCATGAAGATCAAGAAGGGTATCTAGGTTAAATTAGAACGAGGCTTGCAGATGGGACATTCAACCGACGTACCGTGTTTACTCATTGTTTCCCCATAAGTGCGTGCCAATTTCGGTCTTAGAGCGCCTATGCTTTCATACAGTTCCTGAATTTGTGGTTCTCGAAGGATCGTACCTGGTGGCTGGTGTTGCAACCGATCAACAAGCGTCGCGAATAAATTAATATTTTCCGCTTCCACTGCGCTAAGCTCATAGTCTTTCTTTGGCATGAGAGCAGCTGTGACTGCAGGTGTGGATGAATTTGCAGCGGTCGTGCTCTTTAACGCTGCTGCGTGTTTTTCCTTCTGTTCTTCCATGTCCCTCAATGACGCCTCGATGGCAGCTCGCAGATCTTGATCCTCATCTTCGTCTTTAGAAACACCGTTCGATCCAGCCATTTTTGGCTCCGCTACAGCGGGCTTGGGTTGGGGAACATATCCAACGCCATCATGAGCCTTTACGTCCTCAAGGCTCATCTGAAGTGCACGCTTGAGGTCCTCATCAAAGTCTGACTCAGCTCTGGCACTACGGGGTTCCATTGGAGGAGCAGTGGGCCTGAAGCTGGAGCCAGATTTATGATTCCCGGATTGGTTTGATGAATTCGAGGGGTTGAAAGATTTAGATGTTAATTTGGCGTAGCATCCGTCATCGACTCTTACAGCCTGCATGATACCCAGATGGGGAAGGGGAATGGTTTTGCTTGAACATTGCGCATCAAAGACATTACCGCAGTTCCTGCAGTGATGTTTCCGATTCGTGAATGTAAAAGCAGTTCGACATCGCATACAGACATCCGAATCTATCCATTCGGGAGGCTTTGGATTGGTTGGTTAGAAGAGATACATCCATAGAATCCTAATCGCCAAGGGGTTGTACACTTACAGCGCTGCTGTCAAGCATGCTGCTTGCAATGTCAGTTTTCGGTGGAAACTGATAACCTTCCCTCTGCAGACCCCGATAGGTTTCTCCAATGTACGATAAGTCACTTCGTGTTTGAGTCGCCAACGCCCATGTCTGAATGACCTCTAGTATTTTCATCTTCACTTCGCCATTGAGAGTCGCAGGTCCGGAAGCTCTAAGCAACGAAACGAGATTATCCATGAATTCGCGGGAGGCGATTTCCGCGAGAAAATGTTTCCCTCCATTTTTGACACATGTATCCGTCAACTGGCAATCGATTGGAGGTAAGCATGAAAGTAAAAAGACACTGGGAAAAGTGGGTTAGGGAAATTCAAGATATCGATCGAACCTTTAGAGTAGCTAGCTGTATATTCGGGTTCCTGCTCTCCAACCTTCTTTTCAGCGATCGCATAGCATCTCTGGGCTGTACACGTTTTGAGCGAATGATATCTGAAATTTCCAGGTTTGCTGCAATATCCTCTCTTTTGCTTTTGTTAGCAGGCTCCGTCACCATAATATAAATAAATAATCAGCAGGAGATTATGGCACATACAAGGAGGAGGAAGTTGCCTTTTCTACCTGTTCATCGAACGGAGAGGTAGAGCTAAACCAGCCCGCCATGATGGCGGTAGTCTATTAAAATTGTAGCTGCAGAAGCTCTCCAGGAGGCGGTGGACGGCGGTGGAGAGTGGAAAACTATCGCGGTGCGTGGTGGTGGATTGATAGGCAGAACGAGAACGCAACGAGTTGTGGGCCGAGGATGGTGAGAACCGTGGGGAAAGCGTAAGCTCAAACGGAAGCGTTGGAGTGACGTCGTTCAGGATACGAGCAGACCTTGAGTTCCTCTCTGTAACTGACCTGTGGAATGTGAAACTAAGTGGTGTAATTAGGTCCGTTAAGGCGGTCTTGGTCCTCGGTGTGGATTATTTTGTCAACGAAGGGGATTTGTTTCTGATATGGGGTTATTTATGATGTTTAGTTATAGGTAGTTACTGAGTTGTGGCAGTTGATGTCAGCTTTGTTCGGCTGAGGCTTCTTTTTTTCGCCGCTGCCTTGAGAAAGGGAAGTTGTCATATTTGCACTTGTACTGTACTGCACTGTACCATACACTCAAATACTTGTACCTATGATACGATTTTGGCAACAACTGGCGAACAACGTGCAAACAAACGCAGGTGCTAATGGTAGGTAACCGATATGTCACCGTATGGTCAGAGTACAGCCAGGACGTCATAAATTACCTCCTGTATGTATTTGTCCGCATCCGACAAGAAACCATTCTACAAGGCCTCTATACCTTTACATTCTCATCAACCAGATATTAACTACAGTCGTTTAGCCCATTCCGATCGCTATCCTCCGTCGCTTTGCGCCTCTGCTGCCTCTGCTCTGACTCTCTCGGACTCGCTCTCTTTTGGAGAAAGACCACGAACCGTTTTTGCACAGTCCACCGCCCGCTGTCCAACCTCCCTAAACGATAACCTTCCGAGAATGCGACTCTGCTGTAGTTATAGGCGGATATTGTAATATATCTAATGCCGTGTGGCCTCCCATGCTCCGGGAACTCGCCAGGAAACACCCTCAACCGTTCCCCGAAGCGCCAGTATCATGTGGGGACAGGGCAATTTCCACGGGGAGCTGCCCTATCGAAGTAACGAGTGTCCTTACCCTGGCTCGGAACCTGCCTATGGATTGGGTAACATGGATGCGTCTTTAAATATTGATGAAGGGGCATCTGTAAGTTGTGCCTAATGGACTGGTGGTTGGGTAATCCGTGTTGAAGTGCGAGATCTATCCGGATGACCTGCGGCTGACAATCTGTTCATCCAGCTGAATGAACTCCTCCGTATATCAGAAAATTGCATCCAGAGTTCAAGGATATCTCTTGGGAAAGGCCAGTTAGTTGTGGCTTTCAATAATTATCTTCGCGCTTCAGAGATCACCGTCAACGCCATTCCAAAACATCCAGATTATGAATACATGAAGAGACAACATCCTGGGTGGAATGACCGCTTTATAAAGCTAATGGCTGTAAGTCCAAAGAGGGCATGAGGGGTCTGGGCTGCCAGTGTCTGCAAAATAGATGCTAATGTTTGTAGTCTGTCCGATCACAAGATGAGGCAATGGTGAGCGTGAAGCAGAAAATTGATCAAGACAAAAAATCCCTAAACAATAACAATCAACAAACCACCTCATCACTGCCGAGAACACAATGTCATACACCTCCCATAGACCCGGAAACCAACAATAGCTTATCTCCCACAGCTTCCTACCACACACAAACACCACACGGACCAACACTTCGCATGTCCAGTCCCACCAGCTTCCAAGCGAAGCAACTCAACTCCCTTACGCTGCCACCAAGTCTGTCCATAGGTCAGCCAAAGCCCGACCCCAGATCTAAATCAGAGATTCCTTCTCGAAAACCAGTTTGTTCGACGTCAAGTGTTACAGATCCTCTTGCCCAAAGATTTGCGGAATTGAGAAACTTGCGTCAAAATCGAAACTCAATGTCTTCTGATCAGAACGGTGACCCTCCCACCACGTCTTTCGCATCTTCTCCTGTGGAACGCCCAGGATCGCGAAGCAACAGCATGACAACACTAAGCCACCCAAGCGCGAGGCCTCTTGGGCCCCGTGAGATGAACCCATCTCAAGGGGTCCTTACCATTCCACCAAAAGTTCCCTTGAATCACCCAGATACTTCACTCCCCCGCGTCCCAAGTCCGGCCTACAGCCCAGCCTGGACAGTTCCTTCACAACTACCTTTAAACCCGCCCAGGACTTCAACTGATAATGGCCGCTCTGCTTCGTCTTTTCGCGTGTCAGCTTTGAATGGTCCCAACGGCAAAGCCAGTGTATTTGTCAACACAGGTAATTTAAGTCGGTCTCAGACTCCAAATGGCGCCTACTACAAGGCAGATGCACCAAGCCGCTCCGTGGACATTCCATCACAACCCACCATACAACCAGAAAAGCTATATGAATATCTCCAGAAATACGAAGTACTACTCATCGATGTCCGTCCCCGCGACCGCTTTGACGGTGGCCACATATACTCCAAGTCCATTCTCTGTATAGAGCCTGTTGCGCTTAAAGAGAATGTGTCCGCAGAAGAACTCGAAGATCGACTTGTTCTGTCTCCGGACGGAGAACAATCCCTTTTCAGCAGACGTAACGAGTTTGACTTGGTTGTCTACTACGATCACAACACACGGGAAGCGTCTTACCTTGTTGGTTCTCCTGCGGGGAGCAGCAGACCACATCTAAGGGCCTTATATGACACCTTGTACGAATTCAATGTGTATAAACCACTTAAAGAGGGGCGACAACCAGCCCTTTTAATTGGCGGCCTCGACGCCTGGGTCGATCTGCTTGGGCCTCACTCCCTAGCCACTTCTCAAACCGCAGCTGTCATGAGTTCAATCCACGCTCGGGGTAGACCCCAGGCCGCTCCTCGACCCCTACGACGCGCCCCTACTGCAAGTGCCAATTCCAGCTGGGAGGTGAGGAAACGCAGATTGCGAGACTATACACCACTCAATTCCGAGGAAGAGCGAGTGTGGCTTGAGAAAGCCAAAAATGAGGAGATCGACCCCTCCACCTATACCACGGAAGATGGGACTATCACTGAGGAACCTGAAAACCTTGACGAACAAAAGCCGCATAGCCCCTTCGTACATGATTATGACGATTTCTTCAGAAGATTCCCTGAACCTCATGATATACGGCAATCTATGATGGGCATAGGGCCTGGAAACATCTCCGAAGTCCCCTTACCTGACACTCTACCACTACCTCTGTCTCTTCCTCGTCCAACTCCAGCGGTTCCTCGACCTATCTACAGTGGTGTCTCTGAGGGCAGAAATGCTCAACTTCCTCTTGCCCGTCAATCATCGGCGTCCAAAACTGCACTGTACGCTGCTAGTTCACCAATTGACCGCATGAAACTACCACGCACCGGTCTCGTCAATATGGGATCGACGTGTTACATGAACTCCATAATCCAGTGCTTGAGCGCTACTACTCAGCTAACCAAGTTCTTCATTGACAACCGGTACCATACTCAAGTCCAGAAAAACTGGAAAGGTTCACAGGGCATTCTGCCCGGCCTATTCGCGAACCTCGTACGATCATTATGGAAAAACGACGTTGAGGTCATCCGCCCGACCTCGTTTCGGAATTTTATCGGGCGATTGAACCCTGAATGGGCCGGTAGCAGACAGCAGGATGCGAAGGAATTCTTTGACGTACTTCTCGACTGCCTCCATGAAGACCTGAATATAAACTGGGACCGAACACCGCTCCGCCCGCTGACGACTGAACAAGAACTGCGTCGCGAACAGATGCCAATCGAGCAAGTTTCCACAATCGAATGGAACCGCTACTGCCACCGCGAATACTCATTCATCTCCTCACTATTCGCCGGCCAACACGCCAGCAGACTGCGTTGTAAAACCTGCAGTCGCACCTCAACCACCTACGAAGCCTTTTTCAGCATCAGCGTAGAGATTCCCTCATCCCCCAAATCCGGTAGAGGTGACCTGTACAACTGCTTCACCAGCTACTGTCAGGAGGAAATGCTGAGCGGCGACGAAGTCTGGAAATGCCCCCACTGCCGTCGCGAACGCGAAGCCACAAAACAAATCATCCTCACACGTGCCCCGCGCCTCCTCGTCATTCACTTCAAACGCTTCTCCCTCTCCCGCTTCCAGCAAACACGCAAAATAAACACCCCAATCAGCTTCCCCATCACCGGCCTAGACCTCACTCCCTTTATGGTGCGGCCGGACCGCTCTCCATCCCCCGATAGCAACGCTGATGAGACCACGAGTACTAACATGACGAACTCAGCCTTTTCAACCACCCCTCCCTACATCTATAACGCCTATGGCATTGTCCGCCATATCGGCTCTTCAAGCACCGAAGGACACTATGTGTCCCTTGTTAGAGACGACCGACGTGGATGCTGGCGTAAGTTTGACGATCAGAGAGTAACCGATTTCAATCCTGTGGGATTAAAGCCGGCTGATGGCCTGCAGAATGACCAGGCGTATCTGGTGTTTTATGAGCGAGTTCTAACGAGCTAGACATGATTCTTCATTTGCGATTTTGTTTCATATTTTTTTTTCCTTGCTTGTCTTCTCGCTCTGTGTGTGTGTGTGTGTGTGTGTGTGAATTGGGAAGGGTAGGTAGGATAGGAGAAATGAATGAGATTGCATTGTCATATTGTGTAATTTTCTTACCCTTTTCTTCCTGGTTTGTATTCCAGTTTGTGTGATTCCCAAGACCTGTTTTTGATATGCGGATTAAGAACCTGGGCCACCCGTATTTTATGCCACTCTTTCTTTGGGCTTCGTTGGTCAATCATGGTCAATTCAACCTGTGGGGTTCAAAGCCAAATTGATAAACGCCCTCTTCATCTTATCTACCTATATCCCATGTATACTGAAGGGTGTCTCTAACGTCATTTTACGATTCTCATATTTCGTCATTGCTTCTATCGATACCACTTCCTTAAGCTCAATTTCATTTTTACCCCATCGCATGGCCAACAAATTTTGCCCGAGCATGTCATAATTGAGAAGTTTTGATTCCCAGATTCCCAACAGAACTCCTCTCTGCGTTTTTGCTTTTCGAGGCTATTATCTGTGAGAATGTAGAGAATGCAGAGTCTTGCTACAGTGGTTATAGAGCAGCGATACCCACTTGTGGTATATCATCTGTGCGGCTGCTGCAAAGGTAGCACACATTTGTATTTGTATTTCAGAAGAGAGATTCGGACAAGAGATGAGAGAGTGAAAGATTATGAGCTGATTGAATTACTAAATATTTGATACACTATCAACCACAGTATATCTATGAAGTATGCTAAATGAGTCAAAAACGAGGTCTTTAAAGCACCTTCAAGAGCGTAATGAAAAAACCTGCTGCGCTTTTATAGGTAGGTGATGGGATCAAATTACAGAAAAAAGAAACGATCCTGATTGGTTTGCATATTTCTCAATCAAGAGCTCAATGAATAAATAATACATGTCTTTTTATTTCTTTCCCTTCCCTCCCCTTTCGTCACTCACATGTACACAACAACTTCACTACAGAAGGAAAAGAGAAGGAGAAAAAAAAAAAAAAAGAAAAAAATCAAAGAGTTCTAACTCCATATGCCCACATCCTTTATGTTTTAGAAAAACGTTTTACAGTTCATCATGTCCGCTGGGTTCATCGTCATCACCACCAGGTGCCCCACCTGCACCACTGCCGTACAACTTGCTAGTAATTGGATATGCAACGTTGGACAGTTTCTCCTTCTGCTCCTCGAAGTCCTCAGTCGTGGCTTTCGCGGCGTTCTCCTCAAGCCAGTCAGTGGTTTCCTTGACAGCTTCCAAGATCTATACCACAAAGCAACATACGTTAGTCAAAAATTCAGTTGATATTTATGAAGAAGGACGGTTCGAGTCTTAAAATGGGGGAACAAAACATACCGTCTCCTTATCTTCTTTATCGATCTTCCCACCAAGTCCCTCCTCATCCTGCACCTGATTCTTAAGGCTGAAGGCATAATTCTCCAGCGTATTTCGTGCGTCAATCTTCGCCTTCATCGCCTTATCCTCCTCAGCAAATTCAGCCGCCTCAGCGACCATACGGTCAATCTCTTCTTGCGACAAGCGGCCCTTGTCGTTAGTGATGGTAATAGACTCCGCTTTGCCGGTGCCCTTATCACCCGCGGTTACCTTGAGGATGCCGTTGGCGTCAAGTTCAAAGGAGACTTCAATTTGGGGAACGCCGCGGGGAGCGGGTGGGATGCCAGTCAACTCGAATTTGCCGAGAAGGTTGTTGTCTTTGGTCAATGGGCGTTCGCCCTCGTCTGGTAATTGTTAGTGGGTTTCCAATGGGAAGATAGGGGATTAGATTGGAAGGGGGTGGATTATCACGTACAAACTTGGATAAGGACTACAGGCTGGTTATCAGCGGCGGTTGAGAAGATCTGAGACTTGCGGGTTGGGATGACGGTGTTGCGGGGAATTAGCTTGGTCATGATGCCACCGGTGGTTTCGATGCCGAGAGTCAATGGGTTAACGTCCATGAGGACGATCTCGGAGGCCCCTTCGTCTCCAGAGAGAACACCACCCTGAATAGCAGCGCCAAAGGCAACAGCTTCATCCGGGTTGATACCCTTGCTGGCCTTCTTGCCACCAAAGAACTCCTCGAGGAGGGCCTGGACCTTGGGGATACGGGTTGAGCCACCAACGAGAACGATATCGTGGATCTCAGACTTCTTGACTTTAGCGTCCTTGAGCACCTGCTCGACGGGTCGGAGGGTCTTCTTGAACAGATCCATGTTCAATTCTTCAAATTTGGCACGGGTCAGGGTCTCTGAGAAGTCCTTGCCATCATGGAAGGCTTCAATTTCAATGCGGGTGGACATCTGGGAGGACAAAGTGCGCTTGGCCTTCTCAACTTCGCGCTTCAGTTTGCCCATGGTCTTGAGATCCTTGGTAATATCAACGTTGTGTTTCTTGTTGTACTGCTTCACGAAGTGGTTGATGACACGTTGGTCGAAATCTTCACCACCCAAGTGGGTGTCACCGGCTGTAGCCAGGACCTCGAAGGCGCCGTTGTCGATGGACAGAAGAGAAACGTCAAAGGTACCTCCACCGAGATCATAGACGATGATCTGGCGCTCGTCCCCGGTCTTATCCAGACCGTATGCGATAGCGGCGGCGGTGGGTTCGTTGACGACACGGAGAACGTTGAGGCCAGCAATGGTGCCGGCATCCTTGGTAGCCTGTCTCTGGTTATCGTTGAAGTAGGCGGGAACAGTAACGACGGCGTTGGTGACGGTCTTTCCGAGGTAGTTCTCAGCGACCTCTTTCATTTTGCCCAGTATCATGGCGGAGACTTCCTCTGGGGTGAAGGTCTTGTCCTTGCCGTTAACCTCTACCTTAACCTGCGGTTTGCCATCTTTGTTGACAACTCGGAAGGGGAAATGCTTAATGTCCTTTTGGGCATCTTGGTCGTCAAATTTCCGGCCGATCAAACGTCTAAATCATGGGAGGGACAACAACGGTCAGTGAACATATTGCTAAAATAAGAGTGTGAACGAGTAGCGGACATGTGCACATACTTGATATCAAAAATGGTCCTTTGGGGATTCGCAGCATACTGGTTCTTCGCCGCGTCACCAACCAACCTCTCATCATCGGTAAAGGCCACGTATGACGGAGTGATTCTGTTTCCCTGGTCATTCACGAAGATCTCCACTTTACCATTTTGCATCGCTCCGACGCAAGAATATGTAGTTCCCAAATCGATACCAATTACTGCAGTGAGATTACCAAAGAAAGGAAAGAAGTCAGTAAACTAATCTCTACTCATCTTTCCTCTTTAATTGCATGCGGTTCAAGAATTTTTTTGAACGAAAACATACCGGTTCCATAATCCTCTTTCAACGGAGCTTGATCGCCTTCTGCATGTGCAGTTCCCAGCAGAGCCAGAGGGGCAATGAAGACGAGAAGGAGGTAGAGTACAGTTGTCCAAGCGAAGGGCGAGGACGAGGCATCACGCCTCGACATTCGAGACATGGTGTATGTGTGTAGAACGTATGGGCCGACAGGGAAGATGATCTCAGCTGGTTTGTTTCAAGAGAAACCGCTGTCAGAGGATGTTGAGACTCTAGGACTCTCCTATTCTGTCTATTTCAACTGTGGCAATGGGAGAAAGAAAGGCGAAAACTAGGGTATCTAATTGCAATGCAAATGAATGATTGTATGTTTCCTCCTCTAGCTAGGTCGTCAGCATAGATATCGGGGAGACAACGGGTGAGAGAAGAAAGGGGAAGGTAGAGCGCCAATATTATAAAAGAAGAAGAAGAGGAGGATTGAGGAGTGAGGAGTGAGGAGTGAGGAGTGAGGAGTGAGGAGTGAGGAAGAAGTTGAAGGTGAGGATATATAAAAGAAGTTCGAAGGTGGTTATATATTCCATTGCCATAGTTAACTAAGCAGAAGAAGGAAACATCTGGCGCCTTTTTTTTTCCACGGTCCCTCGTTCCTGTCGCAGTTGGACAGTTGGCCTTTTCGAAGGTGGCCCTTTCTTCGAGCCACACACGCTATACCCAATAGGGACTAGTGTCTCTCTCTCCAAAGCTCGCTGCGGGTGGCAATTGGCTGCCAGCGAGCATTTAAGGTTATTCTGCAGACTCCGATTGGCTGAGGAGCATGACTCAGCGTGTTGCTGGAGGTTTCTGGATTTTTTCTTCTCACCAAGCTAACCTGGAATGGACTAGCCCTCTTTCCTAGTTCACGTGACCAGTGAGTAAAACCAACCTGGCCTCAAGCCCAACTGCGATCGATCTTTGGCTGAAACTCGTTATCCTCCTCCGTTCCCTTATTCGTTTCAACGGGTAGCTAATATAAACGCTCTTCATCTCGTGCCCGAAAGGTGACACCATCGAACGCCCTTTGGCAACACAACCCCATCTCCCACCACCAGTGCCACCACCTTCCGCAGCGGGCGGGCCCAGGGAGCAGGCCCAACGAGCAGATCGGCGCGGTCACACTTCATGCTGGAGATGGCCAGACCGTCCACTAGCTTTCTCGACGATGTTTGAGACTCGAGCCTACAACTTGTAGAATGATTTTCCAAAGCTCGTTCCCTGCGCATGTGCAGACGGGGAAGCTTGTCAGGTAAGTCAGGATCCCCCTCACCTTCGAGCGTTAGATGAACCATTATATATATATATATATCTCTGGCGTGCGTAGAGCGATATCGCCCCTTTCTTTCACGAATCGCATTGAGGGCCGCTGGCTGGAGGTCATCTTGTATCAACCAAGTTGCCTCAATACTTCCCTTGATGATGAGATCCCATATGCTCTTGCGCCTGAGACGTGAACAGTATATTTATTACGTTTTGAAATGACATTTGCATGTCTGATAAATAATACATTATATGGAAACAAAGCTTACTTCTCTACGTGGCTTGCTTTGTTAAAGTACCAGTAAGACAGCAAGTCAACGAGTGATAACGAGCAAATACCGATGTAGTCTGCATCGATAAACATCGAAAATTTGACAACGAATGGTTAGGCTGGTAGAAACTAGCCGCTGATATCCCTTTGCACCGAACCGGTGCTGAGTAATTCTTCTGGTGTTAACTAACTAACTAGTCAATGAGGCGCGCTGCTGGAATCTCCTGAAGATGTTAATGCAATGGACTTCACTGACCTCGGATAGAACTGCTTGAACTAGTTAAGTTGACACCGTGGCTACAATGGACCGGACAAGCTGGCCATGGCCAACTTGTCATCTCGTTATTCCTTGGTTGATAGTAAGCTAGCGATGCTTTGTGTTAAGCTTGTGTTTTGGCATCAAGGGCCAAGATTCATATCCTACCATGTCAACCCGAGATCTCAAATAGATCCCCATTTTGTAATCTCGAAAATAAAAATTATATGTATATATATATTTCCATATCCCATCCTAACAAACCCCCTCTATCATTCATATATAAAACCTAGATACGGAATATGTAAAATGTCATGTAAGATTAAACAACCCAATCCCCGAAAATCCATATACCTTTTCATACTCACCCCTCCAACAAACCCGCCGCAACCGTCTCTCCACCAGCCCTCAACACAACCCTACCCGGCGCCTCCAACGGAATTGCCCGCTCCATCTCAACAACAATCCTCGCCACATTCCCCGGCCCCACGATCTTCGGTTTCTTGCGCACCGCACCCCCACTCCCCTTGTCCAACAAAGCCACAAGCCGACTTATGCGCCCGGGGACATGCAACCGCCCCCGATGCACATCAATATGCATGGGCGTCAGATGATCAAACGCAAGCACCTTCGCTGTAAAAGACGTGATGTTCTTCACGGGACTGGTAGGACTGCAGAGTACATCTCCGCTGCGCACATGCGCGCTGTCAATGTTTGTCAGGTGTAATACTACATTCTGGCCTGCTACAGCCCAATCGCTCGGTTCCCGATCAACCTCCACGCCCTTGATGGTACATCGTTCCCCACTGGGCATGGTGACCAGTTGATCGCCCACCTGCAAGTGCCCAGAATCCAACCGGCCAGATATCGAGAGCGGATTCAGTACACCGCCGCGGAAGACATCTGCTATCGTCATCCGCAGCGGCTTGTCGAGCGCATACGTGTATGGTTCCGACGTATCCAGCTCCTCCACCAGTGTCTTCCCCGTATACCACGCAGCGTTTTTATCATCTGGCCGCGCCACAACATTATCACCCCGCAGCCCCGAGCAGGGGATAAATGATATATTCTTTGACTGAAATCCCGCCGTCATTAGGAACGAGGAGATCTGCTGCTCCATCTCATCGAAGCGGGACTGGGACCAGTCTGCTGCATCCATCTTGTTAACAGCCACAACTATCTTCTGAACACCCATGCTTCGAACCAGTAGAGCATGCTCCTTCGTCTGTCCTCTAAGCCCGGATTCGAAGTTTCCCGTCGTTGCATCAAGAACCAACACAGCAAAGTCAGCTTGGCTGGCTCCAGCGATCATGTTGGGGACGAAGTCACGATGACCTGGTGCGTCTAAAACAGTGAAGTTGGTATTTTCCGTCGTGAATTGGTTGGTGGCAATGTCGATTGTTACACCACGCGCACGTTCTTCGGAACCCTGATCAAGTACCCATGCAAGCGCGAATGAGCCCTTACCGATCTTATCGGCATCCCTTCGATATTTGTCGATGGTTCGCTGATCAACGGCTTTAAGTTCGTATAGTAACCTTCCCATTAATGTACTTTTCCCAGCATCAACATGGCCTGTACAAAGAAATGAAGTTAGAGAAACCCCGACCAGAAACACTCATTTTCAAACTTTCATACCGATAACGACAAAGTTCGCCGCCTTCTTCCTCTCAGTCTTGCGATACTCCGCCAACACATCCAAATTCTTGCTCTTAACCTTCACAGTCTCTTGGACAGATACCTGCTTAACGCCATCTGTCACGTCAGCCGGAAGGGTTCTACTCGAGGCAGCACCCGTCCCCTTCGCTGCTGCTGCTGCTGCAGTTCGTTTCGCTTTAGCACCTGTAAAAACCACAAAACAATGGCAAAAGACACCAACGGTTAAAACACATCATATTTTGAAATTTTAATATCACTTGACATTTTGCTCGGTGAACAGCAGACAAACCTTTAGCAGACTCTCGTGCATTGATGACAATATCATCTGGACTGGGCTCTGCAAAGTCAAACGCTTCAGTAAGATCTTGACCAAAAAACTTCATGACGTCAATGTTATGTGTGATAGGTTTGGGCGGTGGTGAAGCTCTATGATCATCTCCAACTCCAACTCCAATCCCTCGCATTCCAATAAGGACCATAGCAAACGCCGAGGGTTCCGCGCGTAGGTCGGGTAACTTTGAAGGACGGCCTTCTGTCGTCTCTATGGAAATCGCTGCCGCTTTCCTCTTTCCAATCATGGGCTCAGCTGTACAGTTTATAGGTGGTTGTTCTGTCGTGGCAGTAGAACTGAGTGGCGAAACCGGCTGCTTGGGTTTATTGTTTAATAGTGGACCCTTCCCACTCCGCAATGGGAGACGTATCGGCCTAGCTGGCACCGCCGCAGTTCCCTGAGATTTCCCATTCACCGCGAGCCTCTCTAGTAGCGACATAGGAGCACTCCGCTGGTCATCCGATGAGAGTGAACACGCCTCACTGGCAGTTTCGCTGCCACTGCCAGCTACACTCGCAGCCTTATGATGTTCATTGTCTTTTCTTTTCCGCGCAGCCAGCGCAGCAAGTTTAGACACCTTCCCTGATGCCTCAGGTGCACCGCCCAACAGCCCCAATGGAGGATAGAGAGGCTCGATTAGAATATCAGCTTTGCACTGGGCAGGAATATTCAGCCAAGGAGAATCTTTGAAGAAATCTGCGGTGGAGAAGGGCTGCGGACATTCCGGAATTAGATATGGAGATGGAGATGGATGGGTTCCTGGAGTAGCGCGAATTAGATACGAAACTTTTGTTTTTTGATCTCTTTTTGCTTGTTCTTCATCTCTTGAGAAAACAAAATACACTGTTTGCCATCTTGCATCAGTTGGTTGGGAGCGGGAAAAAAAAATGGACAGCGCGAAGGAGAGGGTGATTAGGAGAACACACCATTTGCTTGTGGTAGCTGTGGGATAAACGTCCATCATCCTCATATAACTAGCATCCTAGCCACCCAGGCCTCCGATAGCCTCAAAATACACACCTCACCCTCACACACCATGATAGGAATGTAGATTCTCACGCGGGGAAAGAGGGGAAATAGCTTCATATGAAAGAATTCGACTCACCCTTCGCTTTCGCTTTAGCCTTCGGTGTCTTTGGTGTATATTTCCCTGTAACAACCCATCAGTAAACGCGAGAAAGAAACTCAAAAAAGGAAAAGAAGAAGAAAAAGGAAAAAGGAAATATATACTTCTCAACCACCCAACCGCCTTCTCAATATCAAAATAATAATACCAAAGCGCCTCCCAAATCTCCTCGTCAGACGCAGGGACGGGCGGTATGTCTGCATCCAGTAGTTCACGCACAAGTACCGTGCACTGGCGCATCTCTTCGCGATCTTCGGGTGTCATGTCATTGTGGCCTGGGCCTGTGCCCGGGGCCGTACTGTAATCATCGTAGTCGTAGTCATCAGAGGCGCAGTCATCGTCGTCGTAGGCAATGTTTTTGACGCGGTTACGGGACATGATATGTCGTGCGGGTTGGGCTGGGGAGACAGGGAGAGAGCAGGATGGAAAAAAGGAGGTATAGTGTGGAGAAGCGGAGGTATGTAGCTGTGTCGGTAGAAGTCAACAGTTACCTGCTGTCCGGAATCGCGACTCTGCGTGCGGCCTGTTTGCGGGACAGGTTGGGAGGATTTGATTCTGTTGGGTTGTCATGTATGTGATCTCCTGGATAACTCTATCAATGTCGACCCAGGAGGAAGTTATGGTGATGTATTTATTCTGAAGGTGACATGATGTGGTGGGTGAACTCGAAGCTGAAGTTGAAGATGAAGATGAGGTCAACAGCTGGTGCGCCAAGTCACCGCTAGTTAAATACCGTGCTTTACAAGCGAAACCCTCACCAAACGACATATCTTCATACTTTAAGCACGCTGCATATTTACTGGCATATCGTGGACTGGCGTATAGTCGGCAAGAAACACAATACGCTTTAAGATGGATTTCATTTCATCTCATCTCCATACTCCAGGTGGCGGTGGAGTGATAGTATATATTTGGATGAAGGCTAGCAAGAAGTCGATGATTCTTCATTCTACAGGTCAGACCAGTTTATCTTCGAGTTCCGCTGTTGGTTGTCTACATGCAGCTGCGTGTAATGACACGGCATGTGGCATTGAGCTTCTCTGTTACAATAGGATCATGATTGGGATTTATGGATCTTCCTCAGAAGTTACTTTTCGGGGTGTTGAGAGCCAGAGAAAAGCTTCATTCTAAAATAAAATGGAGCCAACCAATTGGAATGATTCGAAATGAAAAACGCAGATCATAACAATTCTTTTTTTGTCAAGAGGAAGAATAACTTGAACAATTAAAATATTCAACTCAATGCACACGTTATTATTCATCTATCCCACCTCTCATTCAATTTAAATCCCATTGAAATAGGCATATCTGCAACAAAGTAGTATAGACAAGGATTTTCACACTACGCCCTCTTTGGCGGCTTTTGCTTCCCGAATTAGAAAACAAAAAAACAATGGCGGATGCATGATAAGAGGAATTAATTATCTATATTCAAGGATAAAGAACAATGATGGAATAAATAGACGAGAAGACAAGCAGGACACAAAAAAGGTAGCAAAGGAGCAAAGGCATAACAAGGTGGGTTTATTTATAAGAAAAGGATAGGAAGCAGAAAATAGTAAGAAAGAGAAAAGTGTAGTCTCAACGGAACAGGGGGCATAAAAACAGAAGATAGTCCAAAAAAAAAATATACATATGACAATTCTTTAAGAACCTTGTTTTTTCCCTTTGTCTTTCACATTTGCCAGTATATATTTTCTGTTTTGTTCTTTCATTCCATTTCCTCCCATACCTTCCTTTGTGTGTAATTCAAACTAATAAACCATGAACAAAACCATTCATCCCTTATCTTCCGAATACGAACAAAATCAAACCCAACAAGGAAATACATGTCACTCTATGCCTTAACAGCACCATTCTCTTGCAAGTATTGGAATGCGCTGTAACCAATGGCGCCCAGGAGGATGAGGATGGCATACACGCCGATGCCGAAGCCGGTGCTACCTGACGAAGTGGTGCTGGAGGAAGAAGTGGATTGATATTGTGGTTTGGCAACTGGATCTCCAGGCTGTAGTTAATGTTAGCCTTTCTGTTTCGTTTCATGTTTTTGTTTCGTCGGTGAATATGCGATAGTCTTGGTAGTGGGATATTGTAGATGGACATGATATTGGAAGCTAAAAAGGAGAAAAGAAATTTTTCTTTTTCTTTGTCAAAACATACTAATCTCTTCAGCGATCCGACGAGCATGCCCTGAAGAATCTCACGAGCCTCGTCGCTGTGGCCTACATCTTCGAAGGCTTCAGTAGCATCTTGGCCGCCGACATCGAGGAGAACTTCTTCGCCACCACTGTGATAGGGATGAGTTGGTTATTATGGACTTTTCTCCTTCTTTTTCTCAACAGGGATATGGGGACGAGGGGATTGCGAAGGGGAGAACGGGTATGGCAATTGCATGTGCCGTTCGAGATATCAGAGGACGTACGGATGCTCATCGACGAAGGTGGAGACGTTGTAGACCTTGTCGTGGATGGTGACATAGAGATCTTTCTTTGTATTGTGTTCGGACACCTCTCTGATGGTGAATTCTTTGGAGCCCGACATGGTGGCTTAGATTTTGGAGGTTTGTTGTGGACGGGGTTGGGTGGTGTTTAGAGGGGATGGGATGCGCGATGTTGAGTGAGATGCGGTCAGTAAATGAGTGACGGGAAGTTTGGCTTGGGGTGGGTGTGGTAAGAGAGAGAAGAGCGGAAGATGGAATAAGTTTGACGAAATGCCAATTTATTTGATGAATGAACAAAAGCTGACAGCGAGCTAACTAATAAAAATAGGAATAGTTAATGCTAGTTAAAAATCACTTGGTACCAGCTTAAAGCGCGAGAAACCCAGTGAGAAAATCCTCTGCCTAGCAACCTCAGAGCAAGAACTTCAGTACTTTTCCCCCCTAACTCTAACTCGTTATATTTAATCAACTTCTCCCGGGATAAACAGCACCTCTTAGGTCCAATCTAGCCCGCAGCCGGCGACATACTCAACTAGCCGACTAAGCCTCTTAAGGCCTTACAAGCCCAAGGGATTCAGGGCGGAATTAGTTGCTGTTGGCTACAATTGTGTCCGTTTTGGCGTTCCAACCTTTGCAGGGTTTCAACAATGTCAGCGCTCAAGCACCTATATCAGTCAGAGTCTCGTTTTCTAGGGAGACTGGAGCAGCGGCTGACACCTGAGGCAGGCCCTCTATGAGATTACGAATTATGGACTGTAGATAACTATTTCTCCAGCCCTCTTCTGCTGAACACTGATTTGGGGAACTGATTACGGATAGCCTTTCTCGGGAAGTTTGGACGGTTATTTGCATAGGCAATTCGAAATCGAACATGTGGCTAGATTAACTATCCCTTTTGCCCTATTGCTCCGTAGTTTTGCCTTCAATGTTGCCTAGGCAGCTGAGAGTCCTTTCCACTTCTTACAGCGGGTTCCAGCGGCCAATATACATTCATCCTCATCTTTATCTCATCTGTATTCCCATCCTTATTCCCATCCTCATTCCTCCCTTTCATCATTTTTCTCTTTGTTGGATTTCTTCACAAGCCAATCGTTTTCTGCTGATTCAGTGCCAAGAGCGATGGCCGGATAATATCGATTCCGGGAAATTTTTACGTCTTTGGCCTGGATCATACCTCACGTGACGTTAGCTCCATCAACATTTATTATTATCTTTAATCCATTCAATCCAACATCCTCCTGAAATTGAGCATGTTGGGAGTATAAATGGGCCTCTCTGCCATAATCCTTGGCAATCTTGTCGCCGAACTACCAAGGTTGCGAGAATTAGTCTCTTGCTGGGCTGACATTGCGCCAGGTTTGTGGGCTTTCTCGACATCAATGTTGCCGGTGTATTCAAAATGCGGCATTTCGAGAGATTCTACGACGTCGTTGAACCCGTTGAGGAGTTGGAGGCTATCATCCGAAACACCTCCGCGAAGTATTCAACCAGAGGTACGAGGTTATTAGAAAGTTGGCATTTGGCCGGTCGCATTGAGGATGCTGAAAGCAGATGCTTCCAGAAACACTAAAGAGCTTGCTATGCTTCTTAAATTGTCTGTTCCGGGCCTAGATCATCATCCTGGCAAAGAATATGTTATAGAACTGCAGAATCATTTTGAGCATGATGGCCCATATGGGACACACTTGTGTCTTGTCTTTCCTGCAATGATATCCGATGGTGAACTAATGACTGCCACCGGAAAGCTACACCAGGCAACCTACGTGCGAGCTATTTCCAAACAGCTCTTGTTGGGACTCGACTTCCTTCATAACTAGGCATTATTCATTGCCGTGTGTCAGCGCCTGAGGCACGAAAATTCATCCATATATTGTACCCTGACTTAAGGAAGAATTACAACCTGCAAATGTTATGTTTTCTATTGCTGGGACTGTGCTCGACGAGGCCTTTTTGCTGCACCTGAGTTCAGTCCTGTTAGGTGGCTGGCTGGAAGGGACGAAAGTAGATAATCGTGCGCCAGAATATTTTAATGGTTACGCAAAGGGGCCAACAACGAACTGGATGATGCGGACCTCACCATGATCTTGGTTAGGATTGGTGATTTGGGTGGAGGTATGATGCGCCTTCTCCACTCGAATTCTTCGATTCCTGCGATGGGAGGGCAAATGTCGAGACCGGGAGCAACCGACGGTTTTATTGCAATCCAAAAGCGTGGGTAGAAACCAGCAGGCTCCCAGTCAAGAATCCCTAAGATAGATCGATCCTTGGACACCATAATATTTCCTGAACCAATATCTGCACGATATAGATAGAAAACCTTTACGATTTCGGGACATATGCCGAGATCTGGAACAGTAAAATATTCCAAAATTCTCAATTGATGTGAGAGGTCCCACGGAGCCATTTCTTGAAGCATTCAGGCAAGGGACTTCCAGATACACTTTGAAGTTTTGTTGAAGTCTTCAAAGCAAGAAGGTCACATATTGTTGCAATCTTTGCAAGGAAGAAAATGACAACTATGCATCTCTCAATGTCTGACCTTGAACTCTCTTGATGATCAGGAGTGCCCGATCTTTCTCAATCCAGGAATATAAAGACACTGCCGGTGCCGGGATTTGGGTACGTGTTCCCTAATAAAGGTGATTGCCTCAGACTCAAGCTCCATCCCACGACGCCGGGATTTGACCTTGCAAATGGTGCCCGTTGAATTGCCCACACTGCCGAAGAGTGGTCATCCTCATGTACCAGGTGGACTTCCTGCCCTTGAGACTCAGGTTGGTCGAGCCTGTGTTTCGATTTATTTGCATTTGATACGTGATCTGAGATGCCATTGTTTTGAAGAATGCTGGAGAACTGATTGATTGACTGGTTGTTTTATCTTCTTGTGCAGAAAACCCCTTCATTGCAGGAGAAGGGTTTCAGTGTAACAGCTCGGTAGTAGGATACATAGTAATAGTTGCCTAGAATTTTTTTAAGGGTTGAAGAGAATATATGAGACCGACCCTTTGTTATGGGATCTGTTGGCTGGCTGGAGATAAGGGTAACTCTTCCATCAACTAGTCATGAGAAAAGCATATTTACGCAGTCCCAAATCCCAAGAAATAGACTGAAAAGAAATAAAGGGTATAAGAATTTTTAAAGTCCATCTACGTATGTAATATAATAAACTGGTATAATCTTCTACATAATCTAAATGGTGAAAAATAAAAAGGAACAGGAAACACGTAGATTAAAATTACAGACAAAACCCAGATCAGATGCGATCAAATCACAATCTTTCCCCGAAAGGTTACATGAATAACAAACATAAAATATAAATTCTACATTACCTCACAGGAAATGCCCTAGTTAAATTGCCTTTGAAAATCCAATCTCCACTAGCCTATCAACAGGAACCTTGAGCCGCGACAGCTTTGTCCGTTGCTGATTCTTCACAGCAACAAACACCGCCAGCATTGCGCGGCGTACGAAATTCGATTCCTCCTTGATATAGAGCTTGTCTCTACCAATTATGTATGTCATGGGCTTTTCAGCTATGGATTCTAGGTCGGCGGGGGTGATTTGGTGATGTTGATGTTTATGGTTATGGTGCTTAGTGTGGGATAATATGGTCGACATGGGAATGTCACCAGATGAAGAGGCGTCGGGGAGAGAAAGAGATGGGCGTCGGAGTGGTTTGCCTTGAGATGGGTCGATGTAGGTGTCTCTGTCAGTTCTAGTGGGAGTGGAATTGGGAGTGGAAGTGGGAGTGTTTGATATGAGAACTCCCAGCTCGTGGATTAATGATTGCTCGAATGAGTGCCAGAATAGGGTGTCGCCGTAACCTAGATGGAGAGTGACGCGGTATAAACTGCGGATCCCGGTGTCGGAAATCCGGAACCGGTCTTCGGGTCGAATCTGTATTATTTGGAGGAAAACAAATGGTTAATTCTGCTGGGAGTTTGGAGAGACCAATATCAACAGCCGCAAGTTGGACGTACATGGTACTTGGGGATGTGGTTGATATGGAGGAGAACTGTTATTTCGTGGGAGGCTTCGAATTTCCTTAAGAAATGGTCGAAGACAGGGTTGGAGTTTAAGCTGGTCTCAACGAGGAAGATCCCGATTCCTAGAGTCAACAATGTGACGTCAGTCAGGTGAGTACATCAAGTTGTAATATATAGCAGAATATGATAATACCTCGAATTATCTTGACCGCGAGATGTTTATCTCCTTGACGTATAAATAACATTCCATCCTCGTTGGCAAAAACTCTTGATCGTGATAGCGAGGAGTCATCTCTATCAGCTTCCAGTTGGCATTCCTCACCGTAATTCCAGATGAGCAAGATGCTAGAGAGAATTACGGCCACAACAATCGTAAACCAGCCGCCGGATGGAACTTTGTACAGTGCGGATGACACAAACAGGCCATCAATAAACACGAAGAACAGAAATATCGGCATGACAATGGCGACGTGGACGTTCCAGATAATCGTCGATACGAGTGCGACGAGCCAGGTGGTAATAAAACCGACCCCGACGACACATGTCCCGTAGGCATGGCCCAGTTTCGTGGTCTTTACTAGAGCAATTAGTGAAGGAAAAGTGCAACTTGTGCAAGTTGCTGAGGCGACCCACTGTTTTAAAAACCCCAGTGACGACAAGAGCTGCAAACATCATAAGCCAGTTCGCCCAGGGGATGTAAATCTGACTTGGGATGCGTTTCGAGGTATGTACCGCTCGGATCTTGGGGAGATATCCCATGCGAATTGCCTGTGACATCAGCTGAAACGTCCCAGTAAGCATGGCCTGCGACGCGACAATCGAAGTCAATATCGACAGCAGAAATATAGGCCAATACATTCCCGGAGGTGCTGATTTGAATAGCGGGTTCATGACGGCGTCGGGATGGCTGCTTATGAAGGCCGCTTGCCCGCAATATGTAAGGATCAGGCAAGGAAAGGCAAAGAAGAGCCACGAGACACGTATAGCCCTGGGGAAAATCTTTTTAGCACTCATCTTTTGCAAATATGTATGGGGCTCTTAGAATCGGGCAGGAACTTACTTGACGGAGAATGCGCCTAGGTCGGCAAATAGAGCTTCAACTCCTGTCACATTGTTAATCAATGTACCTTGATTATAAGTGGAAAGGAGGCTGCAATTACCAGTGAAGCAAAGGAGGACGCCTCCGAGCGATTTCCATCCTTCAAGTTTTCTTCGGAGGAGATAGTGCATCCCTAACCAGGGAGAAAAGGCACGAAGGACGGTATAATCATAGGCGAGGAGGTTCTTTGAAAGTCAGATTAGTTTGTATATTCAGCAGCCCAGATGTTGGAAACATACATATCCGGCTGAGATGACGTTGAAAATCAGCCATATGATAACAACGGGTGCGAAGAAACTGCTGAGTTTAGATATACCGAATGGCTGCAAGCAGAAGAGCAAAACAATCAAGACACAAGCAATGGCAACAACAGTATGGGTTGCAGTATTCGGGGCAGCGATTTTGATTCCTTTGGATATGAATTAGTGAATATCATCAATACACACCTAAGGAATTGTCCCATGACATACATACCTTGAACAGCACCAAGGATAGATTGTGCGGGAGTCAAAACGCCATCTGCAAAATGATATTAGCCTGACGGTCTGTCTCGATAAAGGAAAACAAGGCATGTCAAGAAGCTACCTGACATCACCATACACACTCCAAGGACTGCAAAAATTTTGACAGCCTTCTTTGCCACCAAACTGCCTTTCAATATGCTCATAGCTTTCAAATTAAACGGCCGTAAACGCATCTCCTCACCGTCTACAAGCTGGCCGAAGTTCTGGTTGTCGATGTCGACCTATCGTGGTAGATGTCGTGCAGATATTTATGTCAGTTGGATATCCGGTTTCCGTCTAGGGCACATACATCCACCTAAAACAAGACTGACATAACGTTTGATCAATGAGAAGAGAGCAAACGAGCCGCCTTCGCCCTTATCGTTCGCGCATAAAACGACCCCAACATATTTAATCGTCGCAATGAGTATCAACGCCCATATAATTAGGGATAGCACGCCTACTAGATCCTCGAATATGGGGGCCGTCGGAAATGTCGAGGAGAAAACATATAACGGACTGGTCCCGATGTCACCGTAGATAGCTCCAATGGACTGATATGCCAGCCTTGATAGACAAAAATCAGATCTCAACATCGCAACATCGCGATTTTTATACAAAGAGAAAAACTGATGATGCATGTACGAACCACATCCACGCCCAGCCACTGATCTCCTGTAGAAGACGCATAATGAGCATGCTTTTAAGTTTGCAGAAACAAAAAACATATCTGAGCAAGGCATCATTCGCATACCGTCTTTCCATGCTCGAGTAACTGGTCGCCGCTATGGACAGCAAAGCCCGCAATTCTAGAGTCTAAGCCGCAATAGTCCCGATTGAACCGAATGCTATTCCGAAAAGAATTATCCTCATTATCGCATTGTCCGTTCACAATATCACCATCTCTGTCTTCGTCCGCACCGTTGTCAACACCATGTCCTGCCGTCTTGTCGAAGCTGTCGTCCTCATAGCTGTCGTCACCGTCGTGAATGCGGAAATAGCCTTCTGGCATACCTTACCCTGCCACCAATGATACTTAGATGAGTTTCAACACTATTCTTTTGATTCTGGGGAGCCTGCTTCCAATGCGATCTTTCACTGAAGGCTGCGTCGAAGAAAGATTTAGTGCTGCCTCCTATCGATGGGAAATTAATTACACGTGGTTTGGCCATGGTTCGGAGCTCGGGCTCGGGCTTGGCTCGTTCATGAAAAGTATTTTATTATTTTGTATCAAAATTAAAATTTCCTACGGGTCTCGGGGATGTAGTGGGGGCATGAATGTGTATTTAAACACCAGGGTAAATTATTCTAAGATGTTGCTAAGATGTTCCGTTACCGCGGTTTCAAGCTTGCGGCCCTCTATGAGAAATTATATGGCTACGTTGCTGGACTAAAAATGCTAGCTCAATAGCTAAAGCTGGTACTACAGTACAGAATACACTGCATTGAGGTGCATCAATCTTCAATAAACTTCCTGTTGAGATATCAAGGGCTGTTGTCTGTTCACATTCATGACTAATATTTCTCATCTCCTTCAGGCTTCATTTATGCATTGAGCACTCCTCAACCATGCGAAAAGTAAAACCTCTCAGGGGTCCCAAGGCTTCAATTCAGATTCAATGCACCTATGGGAACTTAGGGCGTATAGAGGCGCGCAATTTCCACACTGTCAAGTGGCGGTAAGTAAATACTCGCGATAAACTCGAAGAACGCAGATACTATGGTATGCGTAGTTCCTGGCTTGTGACGATCGAACGGTCCCAAGTATGGCACGATTTCTGCGCAGGGTTCTCTCAACCTGCATGGAATGGTTCGATAATCTCGATAATCTCGATAATTGTACTTTCGAATTCCATGATGACAGCATTTCAATCTTCATCTATTTCGTCAAGTAAATTCCACACCGACCTAGCCTCTTCAATCACTTCCTCATCTCCATTCGTAGTCTGATTTGCCTTAGCCACACTCGAAGGCCTCGACCTAGTCCCAGTCCCAGTAAGTTGAGCAGCTACATTTGACCCCTCCGCCTCCAGTCTCTCAAGAAACCCATGAACCTTCTCTTTAACCCTATCCATCTCCCGTATTTCTTCTTTGGTCTTCTCCAGTTGCTCCTCCATCATCATGATCAGTGACTCTCGGGCCTGATGTGGTCGATACAAATTTAGAAGGTGGTGGGCATTGATAAATAGATTTCGGATGTCCTGAACTTTGGATTCAAAACGTCCTGGACATAGCGCAAGCACGCCAACAAATTCGAGGAAGTTGAGGAGGAGAGATTTGCTAATTTTTAGCAAGTAGAAGCGGTGGTTTGGGGGTAGGGCGTTTTCGTCGCCGGATGGTGGTTGGGGGTAGAGTTGCTCAATGCCTTGGTCTTGAAGGGAGGGAAGGTTTATGGAAACCTATAGGCAAGCCACATGGTCATTAGTTCAGTTGCGGAATGATGGATGAAACTAGTAGTCAAAATAGCCTCGGATGAAGAAGCAATACCGATTGCCACTCTCCAAATAACGAGTATGAACCTGATGTTGGGGCCTTGGGTGGAACCATGAATCGCAGCTCCGCAGGAAGCTCGAGAAGGCGAAGAGTTTCAGGGGTCCATGTTTGCTTTGAGTCGATATTCTCCTCGTGCTGTTTCTTGCATTCCTCGAGCTTCTTCAGGTTCTGAGTCGTGAAGTGCTTCCAGAACGGAGGGGGAGGGGGAAATGCGGCTGTGACCTTCTGTTGGCCGGTTTCGGCCATGCCTGCGTACGTGGATCTCCTGGTGGTTATCGATTTGAGACCGAGAGTAGAAAGCTGGCCGTGGCTGAAGTGAAAAGGGGAACTGTAGCAATGACTTGAATGCTGAATGGCGCTTCATTTATTGCGCGCGTCTATCGATTCTAAAAATAGCGCGGTTAATTTAAACTCTCTGGGGCTGGACGTCTTTGACTAGGCCTAGACTTCTCCCCAACGTCGGACTATTTGAGCACTTCAACAAGCATCAAACAGAAACTATAAACCAACTACAGTTGCGAGCACCAAAACGGACAAATTCGCTTGCCCAACACCTTCATTACCAAATTATACATTTCTGTTATATTAGTTTATAGATAGATCTTGGCAAAGCGTGGACATCCTTATGTTCCCTGAGACATGGTTGAATAAACCTTGTATAGAAGTGACGTTGCCTGTCCACCAAAAATGCCGCACGATGATGAATTCCAAAATAAACCATCCCTTGCAGCTCTCTCTAGTCGCCCTGGGGCCTTCGGTGCCCTTGCTCGTTTTTGGAAACGTTCGTATGCTGCGGACTATGTGAGCTTGATAGTGATCGTGGTGGGGTGGATGCTGGTCCGTTTGTTCCCCTGGGTCTCCCAGCCTAATCGTTTATCATATACCTGGTGCCTCGCTTTCCTTTGGCTTTAATGCTGAGTGAGATGTTTAGATACAAATATTTGTCCTTCCCTTTCATCGCATGTTTACCCTAGACAATGTCTCCATTCAATTCCCTTTCACGGAGGTGGAAAGGGTTCCAGTCTGTGAGTTCCCCAAACATAACTCGTGAAATACTCCTTCAGGGGGGAAGAGATGCTGATGACACTGGCAAAAACGGAAAATAGTATGGTCAATTATATACTCGGAAGTTTTTCCATTAGTTGTTATCGTCTTATGGGCTGTGATAATTCGACCGGAAGTGCATTTCGCCCACGTTTCAGTACTTGGGCTACTCGTCACTCTTGCTCTGACATCTTTTCTAACCAATATAATAAAGAATGCGGTTGGAAGGCCAAGGCCTGATCTTCTCTCGCGCTGTAGTCCGAAAAAGGGGACACCGGATCATTTGCTGGTTACCCTTGATGTTTGCGGAGAGCCCGACTCGCACAAACTACATGAGGGATGGAGGAGTTTTCCGAGCGGGCATAGCAGTATTGCTTTTGGGGGGTTGGGATATCTCGCCATGTAAGTTCTCTTATTGCCTATGTAAGCGCTCCAGCCCCTTGTAATGCTGATATCTGCCCCAAGGTTTCTTTCTGGCCAATTACGTGTCTTCCGGCCTCGAACCGGTCTGGCAAAATTCCTTTTCTCTCTATCTCCACTACTGGGCGCTCTGATGATCGCCATGTCTCGATTGGAAGATTATCGACATGATGTATATGACGTAACAGCTGGCTCACTCCTGGGACTGTCAGCTGCATACTTTACATACCGACGCTATTATCCACCTTTGCGATCGGTTGATTGTGAAAATCCCTACAGTAGAGCGGATATTCCCCCTGAAGGATTCCATAAGGTTGCAAGAGATGAGGAAGAGCGTCTATATGACGGCACTCCTGCTCGAGGCGTATCTGAGGGGTATGGTGCTCGATATCAGAGGCGGGAGATAGGCTCAGGCAGTCGGAATTAGATTAGAGGGTTTATGTTTATCGAAGTGACAGATTTCTTTGCTTGATACTCTGCTTTATGTATTTTACAACTGACGGCGGAACCCGTAGGCCGTCGAAATACTTTTGGGAATTTATTTTTCGTAACAATGGATTTTCTCTTGGAGATTGATATCATCTATTTTATCGTATAAAATGTACGTTGTGCAAGAATGACAGGTTCGGTGCGTCGATATCTCTTGGAACCTGTGTTTATATCTCCCAAAATTCGACAATTCATTGTTCAGCACTTCATCCCTCTGACCTATATACAAAAAGCTGGAATTGCACTCTTTACACAACTCTCCATCTTCTTGCATACATTTCAATTGCTCAGCTTTACTCAAAATACCCTGTAGGTTTCTTCATTCCCTACCTCTCTTCTTTCCTCATCACTGTCCCCCCTTCCCTCCAAATTATTGCATAATTTGAACCGCAAACAGAACGCAATACACATCCAGAACCGCCATCGAGACGACATTTGGCCATACGCGTACACCAGTTCCACTCACTGTCATGTGCATATTACTATATATAATATACCCCTCACCAAAAACACCAACCACAAGCTGCAAAGCCCCCGTGAATGGCAGGATGGGTCTAAATATTGCTACGCCGCCGAAATATGAATACATGAAGGCGTGGTGGAGAGTATGTAGACAGGCAATTACCTTCCAGCCTGTACGGTTGTGCAGGACGCGTATGTGTAAGTTGGGTATGGAGTCTTTTCTTTCCTCCTTCCAATTTTTTCTCAATATTGAGGAGTCTGGTTAGAAGGTATAATATCTTTTTGCATGGAGTCGGATTAACGATTTTTGGGAGTAAGGGATTCACATACTGTCAAATGATAAAAGGCAAAGTGGCGGCATATCTTGCCCCCTGTGGATAGGACAAGGAAGGATCTTTGAGAGCTGGTATTTAAGTCTCATCTTCTCGTCGTGGGTACGCACGCATATGTACCAAGGAGGTACACATAGGGATGTCTAGAAAGAAATAATTGTGTGGCATGGTCAAAGGAGCAGACGATGGCTACGCAGAATGCCAGGGAGGCAAGGGCGTAAACATAGTTGTTGGAGTTTGATGAGGGTGGAAGCGTAGGGGAAGGGTCCGTTTTTGTGGAGGTGGAGGTGGAGGTGGAGGAGGGTGATGCTGGATGCTATTAGGGATGGGATAGAATCCACGTCTACTTGAGAAGATGTGTTTTTATGCTATTAATGGGCATTTATTGAATTAGATATGATTTTGGTTAGGTTATTTAGATCTACTGGATTCTATCAATTTACCTGGTCAACTATGTCAATGCGCATTTCGTGACTCATCTAAGAGCGAGGCCTGGGATGGAACATGAGCAACAGCAAATTGCAGGGTGCAGTACATTGTAGGTACAGTAAGTGGAGTGTTGGATACATAGGTACCTAATGTTGCATCAAGCTGAGTTGTATCTATCTATCTTCTTAACTAACTGCTAATAAAGTAAGTGGTAGATAGTTAACAGAGAGAGAATGTGCAGGGCTGACTAAGCGAATATAGAGACTAACTAACTATAGTTAGTTAATTAACTAGTTAAACCAGAAATTCTGATTCTGGCCACTTAGAAAAAGATTCATGCGGCAAGGATTTGCTCGGTGGCCCATTCCCAACATCCGTGTTCTGCATCTGACGTCATAACTTCCTAACAATTCTGCATTTTTGTTCCCATGTTTGCTTTCATTCACCACATAAAATTAACATAACCAACCTTAACTTTTCTCTCTTTACAACTCCTAGTTAACCTCACACCAACTCAGTGGTCTTTGATACCATCAAAATGGCGGGACTTTCACAAGAAGAACTCAACATTATCAAGAACCATCCTCTAACTGACTCAGTCAATAGATTTACAATGCATGCTTTCAGGAAGCTGAAAAATTATATGAGTTGCACCTAATTTCCCATGATGGCTCTGTTGGTAGCCTTGACCAGCTCTATCAAGGAGTGATTTCAACACTCCTCTCTGCTTTACAGAGAGAGAATGCAGCTCACAGCCTTCACTCACAGATGAGTGATGGAAATATGGCGTCTGATCTAGCACACTTAGTCAATCGCCTCCAAAAGACAAAAGGAAACTTCATGTACGATGAGTATCGCCTGCTGATATGCCTTGTCATCCAAAGACCACCGGACATTGAACTCCAGAGTATTGAAAAATGGAACATTGATATCTGGACAGCTGTTTTTAGTCTCATTAACAACTTCTCTCAAACAACTCCTCCAATGAGCATCCCCCCCTCCTTTGACAGCACACCAGTCAAATCCAACTCCTCATCACAGAAAGGTTCTGAGCAGACACATGAGTTGGTAAATCCAAGAATCTTTGAGGAGATACATGACTGTACATTTCAAGATGTTAAGGGCTTCTTTGACATATACTTTGAGGAGAAGGACTGGAGTGGCAAAGCAGATGCCATCTGTCAACATGTACTGGCCCCAGACAGTGATGGTAATTGGGCCCAGTTTCCTAATCTTCCTATACAGGATCATGTCCTCACCTGGTTGTTTCATCTTTAAGAAGACCTTCTCTCAGAATCACACAGCATCTACTGCACCACAATGAGCAAAGCAGATCTTACTGGTTCAAAGGCAGAACAGCAAGTCGACCTTCTTTTGCAAGCTAGGGGTGGGAGCCTCTCACAAAACAAACACAACTGGAGAGACATCCTGGTGATTGGTGAGCTCAAAAAATCTAAGAAGGAGATCAGGATCAAAGCCACACTGCTGCAGATCAGCTGCTGTGTGCATGAGGTTTTTGCTGCACAGCCCACCCGGCGGTTTGTCCACGCATTCACTGTCTGTGGAACCAAGATGGAGGCGTGGGTGTTTGACCGCTCAGGCCCCTACAGCTCAGGCATCATTGATGTCTACACGGACTCAAAACGGTTCTCTCAAGTGCTTGTGGGCTACACCATGATGAGTGATGAGGAGCTGGGACTGGACATCTTTATTGCTAGAAATAAAGACAAATCAATAGTCATCAAAGAGCCTGGGAACTCAGAGGAAAAGAAGGTGTTGCTGGGTAAAATGCTTTCCTATCAGAGTGCCATTGTGTGCCGTGGAACCACATGTTTTCTCGCAAATGATGGACAAGTGGAGGGTGTAGCCAAATTCTCATGGGTGTCAGACAAGAGGCGGCCAGAGGCGGAACTCCTCAAGCTGGCAGATCAGAAGAATGTCTGGGGGTCGCCAGGATCATTGGCCATGTTGCCATCACTAGTATCGCTGATATGCGCTGCGGCCTGACCTTCAACGGCAAGCAGCGCCATGACTTAAAAAGCTCAGCCCCCAGCACAACCTCCTGATTTCATCGATCCCAGCCGCTCACTGAGCCCTGTTGCTCCGATATCCGTCGAAAGTTGTCATCCAGTAAGCACAGATTTTCAGACAAAGGACTGCAGACATTTAAGCAATTGCATTCCATCAATAAATCATCAAGCCACACTCAGGAGGAGAACAGACTAGCTTTCTCCATTCAGTCAGCACACAAGCCAAGCCTCTGACAGGAATGATGAGGAACTCTATGACAACTGTGTTCTCCAGTGTCTTGTGATCTCACCTGCTGGCCGGCCAATCTATGACTACAGATCACCCTTGGAGCTTCTCACAGCACTTCGCGATGCAATAAAGGCGCACCGGTCTCTTTACCTGGATGGGAACATTCTTCATCTGGATATTTCAGAGAACAACATAATAATCACTGATCCAGACAAGGCAGATGGCCACTCAGGCATGCTAATTGATCTGGATCTTGCCAAAGAAGTTGGGAGTGAGCGAAGTGGTGCACGGCACCGCACTGGTACAATGGAGTTCATGGCAATTGAGGTGCTGCTTAATATCGACCATACCTATCGGCATGATCTTGAATCATTTTTCTACGTGCTTATCTGGCAGTGCGTCCGTAATGGCTGGGGGAAGAATAATCATTCTAGGGATAGTAAACTTTGTGCCTAGTATACTGGTAACTATGAGGACATTGCAAATGCCAAGTATGTCCATATGAACAGAGCTGAAAACCTTGGATTTGGATTCATTTTGAGGGAGTTCCCTGCAAAATTTCATGGCATTGTACCGCTTTGCCAGGCCCTACGAGACATTCTCTTTCCTTACAATGACAAAGGAATTATCATTGGTACCCCACAAGACCCAAACCGCTAATACGACCCAATTATCAAGGCATACGATGACGCGATATCTTTGATTGGATGTCGAAATGATTAGATACGTGAATGACCACCCAACGATTTCCGCTACACTACGGCTCTGCTGAATCGCGAATTTTGAAACAACCATGAATTGAATTACTACTAGCTATTACATATTAAATGAGTGTATTATAGATTACATATAAATTTGTATGATTAAGAAAATAAATGAGAGTTTGGCTTAATAGCATGGCTGGAACTGCTGACTTTGCTTTTCATAAGAAAGAGAGGTAAAGAAGTGCTGGATAGTGGTTCTGATACTGGATTTGGTGGATTTCCTAATGAGGCAGTCTGTGTCACGGCTTCAATCTAGGCGCAGGTAAACAGGTGTTTGATTGCCAACTAGGTAAGCTACATCAACGAAATAACTAAGATGGTTCCTAAAAGACGGGTTCCGGGGAAGGCTCGGTTTATATACACCCTAGCGCCTTTACCCCTTTCCTTAGCGCGGTTGCTAGGTTGTTGCTAGGCAGTTTCTCTGGGGTAATTGTGGGGTAATTGTGGGGTGGTTGCTATGCCGATGCTAGGACGGAGCCTGTTCTATCCGGTGGACTTATGAAGTCGGGTGGTCTGGACGGAGTCCGTCCTACGCCATCACAGCCGTAGCTTCATCTGAAATGATTGAGTTATGCTGCTAAGTTTGATTTGCAGGAGCTCATTCTCAAGAACAAGCTTCTCACCAGCATGAATGATTTGTTCAACATAAGCATTTAATAAATAATGATTGCTGTGCATGAATCTGTTTAACAGCTCTGCAGAATTCACAGACAGTAGTAGATGCAGCAGACTGAACAGTGTCAGAAGAAGTAATTGCTAATTTAGTAAATATCTTAAGCATCTGCTCAGAATTGAGCAGATGAACCTTCATAGCTTCAAATCCTGCTTGTATATTTGCAGGTGTAAGTGCTGTATTCCAAGCTGCATAAAAGAGTTTTTCAAAAATTGTGTTTAGTGATGTGCAAATAGTCAAATCCTTGATGTAGCAGTGAATCCAATTCCCTCACATAGATAGGCCTTTGCAAGTGGTGCAAATCGAATATGGTTTGAGGTCGGAGCGGATCAACCTTAATCCATATTACCAGCGACTGCGCCGTAACAGAATTTATGAAATCATTGGGTGGCGGAAATCGTTGGGTATCACATTAATGGGGTGCTATTACTTTGTTGTTAAAATTCACACATTGTGATGGAATATTTCACAGCTGCCATAGTATTCCAACCACTCGATGAGCACCCCAACTACAAATCGCTTTTCCTACTAGTTCAATGAATTTCTCAACAACCATGAATAGAAATTGTATTAGCTATTAAATATTAAAGAATATAGTTCCTAAGAGTATAGATATTAGAAATAATGAAGAAAAATAACAAGTGTTGAGCTGGATGATACAGCGGAGTGGTGAGAATATGATTGAGATAGAAAATTTGATAAAAGAGTGATAGAAGGACCAGTGGAAGTTGAATCCATTACATTTTCTAATAAGAAGGGTTGTATGAGATTTAGTGAGAGAAGTTCTGATTTCACTGACACTTAGAGAGTGAGCAGGGCTGTTCAGCAGTCTTTCACTTCTTCACAGTCTTCTGCTCTGTCTCCACGATACTCAGGCTACGCCTTCGCGCTATCGAGACAACTATCAACGCATGCGTCTTGCTCTGGGGTTATTATGAGCCCCTGACATAGATCGAAGCCTTCAACTAAATAAATTGAAGCCTAAAGGGATGGCCCATGATGGGGGGCGCTGTGATTGGCTGAGATACTGTGAGGTTTGCCCCAAGGTTCTGTTTGCTCTGTTTGCTGAATCATGTGATCTGAAGTTTCGTTACGTCATTACCTTATCGCCAAGTCCCGTCTTCTTCCACCCGTTCTTCATCAACCAACCGTTGAACCTTCATCAACGTCCGTCAACTTTCCCCGCCCGTATCCGTGAGCGCGATTTTTTCTTGACGTCCCCAACCCCTTCGATTCTGATTGCCATTGCTTCCAGTGGTCTACTTCACGTACGGTGGATGGGAAACACTGAAAATGAATTTTCACGTTGCAGTTTACTCCTGTTAACCATGGCCGTCAAACGTCGAAACTTAGCCTGATAACCTCCTTTCCGCTAGCATAGGGACAATTCTTATACTCGATCCTCCAACAGCTTTTCCTCGCGTCATATCTCAAAAACTACGCAATTTGGGCGCGACTCCAGGGATTACTCTCCTCCCCACGCCAATTTTATCATATTCAACGGAAATATAATCAGCATAGCTTCGGCGCTAACTACTATCCTGCCTCCGCCACACCATCTGGGAGCCATTTAACAGAGCAACTAAGACCAAAATTAACTGGCTTGGAGGGCAAACGAGAATTGTTGGAGCCTGGAATGTCGACTCCAACTACCAGTCGCTCTCCCGTAAAACCTCGCTCTCTTTCGGATGGATCTACACGAACTCCTTCCTCCGCATCGCCAAACCCGTTAAATGTCCAAAGGACCAAGGATGACAGCGCAGTCACAGCTAAGGGTCCAGCAACTCCCCAGAGATCCGATTATCCTCCACATGGCTTGTCACTTCAGATGCCTGCGAGAATATCTGGGAGCCCTATAGCTGGAGGAAGCCGAGTTCCCCTCTCCCCGAAACTCGATTCGTCACACATTTATGGCTCCCCAGCTTCTGTTTTACCTCGACGATCGAGGGGACTGGATTTTTCACGTGCATGTACTAACCTCCACCACTCAACTCTAGCGGAATCATCTCCTGACTCCTCTCCAGTTGTTGTTGGTCGTGGGGTTGCGATACCTCTTCGTCGGGGTACGGTCAATTCAACTGGGATGGGTTCCCCAAACATGTCTGGTGGCCTCTGGCAACCGATCACCCATGGCGACAGACCCGCCATATCCAGCTCCGTGAGCAGCGTCAACATGTTTGAGTCAGATACTTCCACCAGTAGCGAAGACGATGACGATGAATCCATCCATATGGCTGATAGGGAAGACCCCATCCTGATGACCCCGCAAGGTGCTCGTGCGGGAAATGCATTCTCGAACCCATTTTCTCCCAGCACAGCTCAAAATTCCAGTGCTGATTGGATTGGTGGGCTTTCTGCTGCTAAAGCCAGTCTCCTGAGCTTTCAACGCGCGAGATTTCGCAGAAGCAGACATAGTTCATCCAGCACTAGTGGGAACAGTGCGAAACCCAGTCCCGGACCCATCTCACCACCGGTCTTAAAGAGCATCGAAAGTTCGGCCACTTGCTACTTCTCCAGGGAAATGTCAATGAGTGAAGTCAAATCGCGACGGGAAAGTCTAAGCCTTGGCACCAGCGATCTTCGCTTATCAGACGTAAGCGATGATGATAATCGGCAAGGAGGAATTAGTAGCCCATCCAGCTCCTTAGCCGGTTGTTCCAACATAGATGGCGGACGACATGGTGTAATTCGGCGTCCGGTAACGAGAGGAGGGAATTTACTGGTAAATCTGTCTTGATATATAGAAAAAATTGATTTTACGCAGAGCCATCCACTAACTGTGCTGCCAACAGCCAAAACCGAAGAACTTTGACCGCATCCGGGCAGCTTTGCTTGAGGAAGTTGCTCCCATTGATTTTGAGGCACAGCGTGAAGCTGAAGTTATCCGCCAAGTTCGCGAAAGCGACAGTGACTTACCACCTCTATCCCCATCATTAACAACCCCAGTGGTCTCTGAACAAAAGGAACTGTCCATTGCGGCCAGCAAAGACGGTCTTCTTGCCAGCTCGGCCGCCGCAGGGCAATCATCGACTAGCTTCGACCGTCAACCAACACACACTTCCCGCGGGATAGGCCTTCTGGATACGTATAGTGGCCGCTTCCAGACTCCACCAGCAGCAGCACAACAGCTTACCGCTACCGAAGACACGTTGATGCGGACGCCACCATCTGCATTTCCCTCTTTCCCAGTTGACCAACAAAGTAATAATATGCAGACCACCTCACAACCCGTTCTCGTCCCTTTACGTGTCGAAGCTGAGGTCTCCCGCCCAAACAACAAGCGCAGGCGCGATGAGACGCTTAATCTTACCATGTTGAAGAGGCGTGCTGTTTCACCTGGTGTGAGTTTGCAGAATGGTCCAGTTGCATCTCAGTCAGGCTCTTTGCAGAGGGAACAGCAGCCATCAAAGGCTGGAAACTCGGCTCCGTCTGCTGCTGCTCCTGGGAAGGCAGGGCGGGGAAATGAGTCTGGGATAATGAAACGGATTGGGATGCAGGGGATGAATGAGACGAACGATGGGTTGATGAATATGAGCATTGATTGATTGATTGAATGAATGAATGAATTGGGTGCCAGCTTTTGTGTCTCTTTAGCTCTCCATTTTCTTTTTCCTTTGTGCTATCCTTTTCATCATCATCATCTTCTTCTTCTTCTTCTTCTTCTTTTTTTTTTGAAACTCTTTTCAATGTATCTATGGATTTCCTTTAGCGGAGGTGTGACATAGGTTTTTCTCTTTTCCCTTCTTATGTTGCATGTCATGGTTTCTCGTTCTCTCAGCGTGTTTATTCCTGGACAATTGTTTCAATGAATGAATCTTTACTGAATTGCTGTTTAACTCTTTATTTCCACGACTAAATAACTACGAGAATCCTTTTATTTAACCCGCAGATATAGAGAGACAAACAATTTTCGTTGTCTAAGAAGGACCTCAGATCAAGATTTTCCCTGGAAAAGGACTCTCAGAGGGCAACAGAGAAGACCAGTTATAAATAGCGCCTATCGCGTTTATTAATCGGCGGCAATTTTAGCGTTCCACGCGCACAACTTCCAGACAAAGCGGGGACTTCGCAATCTGTCAACTCTCTCCGCGCATTTTTTTCTTCCAACCATTTGAATGCAGAGCTAGCTAGTCAATCTTTTCAGTCAACAATTTTGTGATTGTTGTATTTAAGCCCCCGCTTACTATACCAGGAGTATTTTCTTCTTTCAATTGGACCATTCTGCCCCACCGCCGCCCTAATCGCGGAGCGCCGCAATGCCGTCCAGCATGGAGATTGCATCCTCGTTCATTAGAGGTGCTCCTCCGGGAGAGGTATGAATGATAATAGCAAATATTGTCAGCTTTTATTCGTATTGTATTCTAATGTTCGAGATAGCTCTCAGATGTTGTTGCAGGTATCTAGCTCTATCGCATTCTTACCCCTATGTCCCCATACCTTTTACCTTGAACCTCTCGCCCAATCTCCCGGCTTTTCAGACCACTGATCCGGCTATATTTTGCCGAAACTTGCAGCTATCAAAAATTTAACCCCTGAAGGGCCCGGGCTGATCTCGTCCCTTGCGCCTGCTTTCGAGAAATACAACGAGGAACAACTCGCGACTGTGAAGCTACCCGGTAGTAGCGAAGAGGTACATACATATACCGCAAACTCACCTGGGGAATCGGAATCACTGCTTTCCGCGCGGCGAGTTTCTTGTTTGAATGGCTACTGATAGTCTGCCGATTATAGGTCATAGTTAGTGGGTATAATAAACTTGGCGACGACAGATACTACGACGTACAGAGCCAGACGTCATTTACATTCGATCACGTCACGCAGGTATATCTAGTGTATACCCCTACCTTAATGCTGTTACGGAGGCTTTGGATTTCTGAACGTCCATTTGACTAACTGTCTCATGTCGTGTAAAGACCGCGTCCTCACCACAATCATATGTCCTTGACTCGCAGCATGCCGATTTTATGTACGATTCCTTATTTCAATTACATTTGGTGTAATTTGCTCTGGATATATTAACTTCTAACGATTGTTTAGTAAGTCCCTCTTTAGATCACTTTCCGCTCATGCGAAAGAGCATTATCCAAGCTGCTCGTACGGCGTGTACCCTACGGACAATGACACTGCTGTTGCCATCCTGTTGGTTGCAAATAAATACTCCCCGAACAATTTCTGGTATGCACCTTTCCAGTCCCTGTTAAGCAGCGTATCCCGCCAACGTGGATGACAATGTATCAAAGTATTGGGGCATATACAGTTCACCAAAAGTAACCAGCAGCTTACACCATTACTAGGAATGGCCGCTATCGAGCCATTTATACCATTCCTATGCCCTCTGCAAACTCCGTAACGGGCACCATTCACATAAACGTCCATTATTACGAAGACGGGAACGTATCCCTCAACACCGAGAAACCCGTATCCATATCACTCTCTCCAAACTCTTCAGCGGAAACGATTATCAAACACATCACAGCTGCCGAACGGGCGCAGCAGCTCGAACTTAGCGATGCTTTTAGCAGATTATCTGAGGGCGCGTTTAAGGGTTTGCGCAGGCAATTGCCTATAACGAGACAGAAGGTTGAATGGGAGAAAGTGGGTGGATACAGGCTGGGACAGGATATTTCTGGTGGAAAGGGGCGGTAGAGCTTTTGATGCCGGGTGTTTTAGAGAACTTTGGAAGATTTGTTAGACTATGTAGTATTTGCTTTCGTCTTTTCATGACACCGCCACGTTGTATTGTAATTTTTTCTTCTTTTTTTCCCCAAAATTCCATTTCTGATGGAGAAGGGCGCAAAACTTAAACATTTATAACCCAGGAACCTGGATATGGAATGTTAGTTCCCTGTTTGCTTGTTGGTACGAACAACGGAAGCCTAGCAGAGCAGTAAGTCCTTTATAACACGACACCCAACCCTCTCCAATGAAGAAAAATTCCTACGGAGAATGCTGCGACATCAAATATTCCCGACCATATCTCGTTTACTGTAAAGTTACGCCGTTCCCTTTGCCGCGCCGAAAATGCGGAGGTTGTTGCCCTGTCATTTAGCTCTTCAGATAAATATCAAACACAACGAACAAAACCGCACCATTACTTCAGTTTACCCAAATCCACTTCTTATTCATAGTCTGCTTCTTTCTTTCTTTCTTTATTTTGCTTTTTATTTCACATATCCAAGTCTTATCACAGACCTGAAAATACAAGCATGGCCAAAACTCCCTCTTCTTCCCCTTCTCTCTTAAAGCAATTCAGCAACTACACAAACTCCGGTCTCGGCCTAGAGAATTTCTTACGTCTGATCCAGTCGATATGCCAGGTGGTCTCAGTTACCATAGCGTCAGCAGCTGAATCGGAGCCATGGACGATTGCTTGGAAGAATTTAGCGCTGAGTGTGTTTTCCATTCTCTTCTGGCTTTTGTGGGACATATCTGTTTAGGTGGTCATCCCGAATATCTCTGCTAGGGTTCTCTGTTGAGGACATGTGGGATCTATTTTGAATTGCGTTTTTGTGATGTCTTTGTGCGAAGAAGAGAAATATATATATATATATATATATATATATATATGTATGTATCTACCAGTTGGTGTTCACGAGGGTTTCTGCCTCTAATATGCTCTTGACTTTGCGAAATATACAATTTTTTTCTAACATTCAGGGCATTGTTCAACCCCATGCATTAAACTCTGTTATTTCATATTTATTATACAAGAGAAATATTTCCCCAACTGCCTCACCGGCAATCTAATAAACAATTCTTCATCATCGCAGGCCGCCGCTACTTCCGTTACTTCCAATTCATCGACTGTTTTGAACGAGCCTGGGCTGTGCTATGGGGCCAAGATGCATCACCTGCTGGCGGGTACATGCTACGGACAATTGCGGTGGGAGAATGGAGCTGTTTAGGCGGTTACTGTTGGAGGCGTTTACGATTGTAAGTCGGCATGACAGGTTCCTTTCTGAGGGGTTTTTGTTGATATATATCACTTGTGTCTGTAATTCCTTTTGTGAAGTAACTAGTTACCTCAAGATGTCCTTTGAATTCATATAATTTGAAACTCTCCCCTTATGCATATAATACAAGGGTAAGATGATAAACCATGGGCCTATGACCACTAACCAAACTGTCACCAGCTCGACGCACTAAATATATATCCCTGCCCTTGGGCCGAACGAGTTCTTCTTGAAAGCTATAAGCTCTGGTTCTACTCCATGGTCTTCGGCATTGCGGGGATTACCTGGCAGTTATTCGGGCCGGCATCTTCGTCCACAAATCAAGATACGAAGCCAAATAGCACCAATCAAGAGATTGAGAAAAATGGTTCCAAGAAGGGACGCGAAGGGACTTCTGGTGGGAGTAATGTGAATGCGGATGCCTGTCGTTTGGTAATGGTCGCTCTAGGATGTGACATTTTATTTCCTGGACAAGCGCTAGGTGGATTGATGTTAGTGACTTGACAGTTAGCAGCGCAGCGATTCTCAGCACCTTGCTGATGGGTAAGGGTAAGTGGGCCAGGGTACAAGCGCATGGGGCCCTGTGAAGCGGTTGGCCTAATTAGATTGAGCTAGATTGGGGTTGGTCCGCTGATTTGGCAAATTGTTTAGATGAAGATTTGAGGGAAATCCGCCGAAGTTGGATAGGAAGTGGGGAACGGAGGGAATAGCAATGTCATTTAGAAATTGGTGGTGAGAGAAGATGTTGGGTTTCGTGGTAACGAATAGACAGACGAGGGTATAGTTAATAACCATAACTAGATGTTTGTATATATAATACTTAGATCATGCGCACCCCTTTAAAAATAAGCTCGAAACACCATCCAATATTTATATGCTGCCCAGAAACCAATGTTCCGATCATCAAGATTCTGTCATTATACTCCTTTCCGACCAAAACTCGCATTCCTCCTGACTCCAATCATCGTCGACCACCTGCGCCATTATCCCCACCCCATTCCCCCCAGCTCTCTCATCATTTCCGTCTCCAAACAACATGAGAGTCCTGTTCTTCTTCCACCATCCCCCACCAAATGCCTTCCACACAGGCCGATTCGGAAATCTACCTGGAACTGCATTAGGGTCACCAGTGGTGATGAAGGACGTGAAATACGCATGCAGCGTCCCGGCCATTTCATCCTGCGCATCAGAAATCTCCCGCACGGCGGGGCTATAGGTTTCGTACTCGACCTGATCTCCATGGCTTGCACCACCCTTGACAGTCTTGATCAGAGCCCAGTGATACAAAAAGACAGGCGCCTCCTGGCCGCCAGATGCGTGGTGGGCTGTTTGTCGTATGGGACATATGTATGCGAAATGGCCGTAGGCGGCCTCTGCTCGTTTGAACTGAGAACCAACTTCAATATTTCGCATCTCTACATAGGGAGAGGATGGATCTTTTAGTGGATCTGGATAGAGTTTGTCGAGTCTCTGCAGGTCCGATTCGGGCATCGCGGGGATAAGCGTGCTAAAGAATTCGATGAATTCTTCTGACTTGGACATTCCAGAGGGCACGAAAGGGGCTCCTTCGTTCGTGTTGTAACCGGTCAGAATGGGGACTTCATTCCACTTGCCGGTTTCCCAGCCGCGGATTGGAGCTTGTTGAATGATATCGCCGTCGATGACTGGTTGGAATGCCCAGCGGTTTGAAGGTTCGTAGCGAGAGAATATCCTGGATGAGGCCCCGGCGATGGTTAACGCGGGCTTGCCACGTAGGCATGGGAAGGTCTCTTGTTCTGTGAGGTTAGAGCAGCCGGCTTCGACGAGGAATTCTGTGAATTGGTTTTCATGGAGTTTGTTGTTGTAGGGGTAAACGGCGCGGGAAGTTGCGGCACCTGATTCTATCATCACACGGTGGAAAATGGGTGGTGCTGATTCGTTGTGAAGCATGACAAGATGGCCGATCTGGTGACGTTAGCGGAGGGCAGGGTTTGAATACGTTGATTTCTTACAGAATGTGCTCCAGCGGACAATCCAAATAGGGTGACTTGATTCGGATCTCCTCCAAACGCTCCGATGTTCTCTTGAACCCACTTCAACAGGAGGATCTGGTCACGCAGGCCCACATTGAGGGCCCCGTCCTTTGCTGCAAGCTCCGATGACAGAAAGCCAAATGCCCCAAGTCTTTACATGTTTCAGCTCACAGCAGAATACAGAAGTCGAGAAGGAGCCTCACCTGTAATTAAAATTCACTGCAATGTAAGGCTTTTCGGACCATGCCATCATGGATGCAGAGTTGTGGCTCCCCCCTATTTTGACGTTAGCCTGATTCGAGTTCCGGACGGTTTAAGTGTGCTGAATGAAGTGCATAAACCTACCACTGCCAAGGTTAAAAGCACCACCATGGAAATATACTGCGACCGGTAGTTTCTTAGTCGCATCTCGTGTTTGTGGACGGAATATATTCACGTTCAAACAATCTTCAGACCATCCATCGAGCGGCATTAGAGGGGAAGATGGGCACCTAGCATCTCAGTTAGAACCTAGCCAAGATTTCGAGTTTGCGCTTCCGAAACTCAAAACAGCTAGGGTCAAACTATTACTTACCTATTCCCACAGCTAGTGGCATCAATAACATCATCCGATGAATTGACAGGAACTGGTGGCATGAATCTTCTTTCGCCGGTTGGAGGAAGAGCATATGGAACCCCAAGAAACGCTTCCACCGACTGTGGAATGTTGTGTTGTAGAACCCTACCAATGATGGTGCCTTGACGAATAGTCACAGATGGTACTTTGGCACCTCCCAGAATAACTGCCATTTGCGCCCATGGTGGGAAAACTGCCTGCAGGTGGGAGAAACGGGACCAGTAAGAGCGGCAGTGTTCAATGTCGTATGATATATTTGGTAGGAACTGCCGTAGGGCAAAAAGAACTAGAAGAAAGATAAAAAGTATGCGCACCAACCTCAAAGGGGACTTGAGCAACGCCATTGAACACACAGCTGCCTTGGTGGTTTCGAATTTTTGTTGTTTTAACGATACTAACTGAATAGCGGCATGCCGGGCTCAAGGACAGCAACCTCGACAACTATCCACTAATCTTTAGGGTCTAGCACTCAAGCTGACAGCTCGCAATTGGCAAGATATTCAACGACTGTTTCAGCACTATCAAAAACCGACACCAATATAATGTTCGAGCTAATTCAACAACCTGGTCGCATCCCGACGCGGTGTAAATCGGATGGTAGTTGGCGCGTACAGCGCCCTTCTCCTCATGGAATTCGGTAGATTATTGAAGTTCACGGCTTGCTCCGCTTCTTTCGCCTTCAAATGTGAGACCAGAGACCAATTACCAGGGTTAATGGCGCAAAATACTCTCGCAACACGCTCGACACCTGTGGAAGAGCCACAGACGAAGTGATTATATCATCCGCTTCCCCACACTTTTTTAAGGTTTGGGATCCGTTACGAGCTCTTTCCCTATTTGGAAATAGCTTAATTCATCGACGTGCTGATGTAATTAACTAGTTTGTCTGGTTTGACTGGTTTGACTGGTTTGCTAGGGAATTAGCGGCCGAAATGCGATTTGCCTATACGAGATACGACAAATTTCCTCACACGATTATTCCTGCGCCTCAGACCACAGCCCCATGTAGACGTGGAGGGAGTGCTACGGAGATGTCCGCCTGGTCAGGACGGCGAGGCTGACCAGCATGTCATGTTAGGCGCTACATTGACCTTCTGAAGATTTTTTGTCGGCGTGGTTGACATGGACTGGTATTTAAGATCCCTCATGCTTCGCCAGAAGATGGGTTTCGGAATTGCTCTTCATTTCTGGTCCTCATAATCACCTCACGCATAACCAGCTATCAGCTATCTCTCTAGTAATAAATATACTAGGTATTCTTCTATCAGAGACCGACTCTTCACAGAGCTAGCTACCTTCTTCCATTTTCCTACGATGGCATCAGATCACTCCGTTGCAGACAAGAGCTTTTCAGAGAAGGAAAACGAAATCCTCAAGGGTTCTGCCGCAACCTCAATCCACTCAGTTAACACTGCCGAGACTCTTCTTAACACATCATCGTCCTTCACACCGGGGCCCTCACTTTTCATTGACGCCCGTGGAAAAGAACTTTTCCGCCTACCCACACCGACTTCACAGCTAGAAATCCACATCAGTAACCCAGACGGATCACTCGCATACCTTTCCACGCGTGAGAAGCGCTGGTCAGGGAATTGCACTCTTTCATCGCCCCAGGGCGGCAACCTTATCTCCACAGAGTATTTTTTTGGACCAAATAAGGCGCCCATCATTCGTCGTTCCGCCGAGTCTGAAAAGGTGTCTTCAGAGATCAAAGTCACCGGGAAGTGGATTTCACGAACAACAAACTTCGCCACGCCTGATGGATCTGCGTTCGAATGGAGATATGTCAAGGAACGCGGTCCGGATGGAAAGAAGCAACAGCTCATGGTGCTGGAAAAAATTGAAATTGCGGGCCGCAGGAGAGTCGCGCACCTTCTACGAAATGAACAAACAATGCCAGCGAAGACGTCGACGTGCACAGCGGGGAACGGCGGGGAGCTGGTGTTTGATCGGAATGCATTCGAAGTCATGGATGAGGCGCTGGTCGTGACTACTTGTCTCTTGATGCTGAAGAAGGAGATCGATCGCCGGAGGACTTTGCAGACGCTTGTTATAATGGGTGCTGCTGGTGGTAATTGAAGACTTTACTGTCTTCCTCTCCTTTTTATTTACTTCCCCTCTTTTTTTTTCGCGTCTGTGTCATTCTGGAAGGGCTTGGGTTCCGATTTAGCTTAGCATTTAGATTGTTATTTTGTTTAGTCTAATTCTCTTAAGCGCTTTTTTTTTGTGAATACGGTGGGATGCAGCTGAAGTGGAAAATACAATTCATATATTATTAGACTGGAGATTCATGTCATATATCACATCTTAGGCCGCAATCACCTCATAATCTTTTAGACACCCCCAACTTAAGCAGACGCCCATCCTCGCCTGCTTGAGTAATGCACAAAATAAACAAAAAAACACAATAACCGCTAGACATAAACAGAGGTGGAAGTAAACAAAATGACACAACCCTTTCTGCGAATCCTTTCCGCTGAACCGGGGCTAATCTCGCTTCATCGGGGAGGAAAAGAGACAGGAAAATTCAGCCTAACGCCTTATCCAGCGTCAAGAAGTCATCAAAATTTGAATCACCATCTCCCGCAGCGACGCCATAAAAGTCGTATAAAGAGCGCCAAATTCATCTTCACATAACCACACAGACAAAACAGTCGCAGTCTTCGTCACCGCACCCGCAGCTCAAGCACGGCTTGGTCGCTCCCTTAATGGGTTTGCTCACAGTTGATGACGCGGAGGAGCCAGAGGAGGGAAGGGTGTAGTTGACGAGGTGAGATCCAGCGGAGAAAACCATGTTGATGCTGGAGGAGAAGCTTGGCCGTCGTGAGGGTTCCGTAGATTGATGAAGTAACTTTGGTCTGAGAAATTCGCGTCAGCGAGAGTTTAAGTGATGCGTGGACGCGCGGGGTTGCTGATGATTCCTCCTAGAGTGAGGGAGGCGGGAGGGATATGGGTATGAGATCTCTGTAAGAGAGGGGCTAGATGTCTGCATATGTATACTTACATTTTGGTTCCAGAATTGGGTTGAGTGAGCAAATTCTAGCTTGTAGCTTGTTGAACAACATATACGCTGTGAACTGGAGCTTTACCAAGATCGCGCGTGTCAGATGTTTGATCTATAAATAGTTAGTTAATCTGCCTCTGATGACGTCACCAGTAAGTTAACCCCTTGGGCATTGTTTGACTTTTATTTACCACCTTGAGTTTGGTAAAAGTTTTACTTTATTTACCGGGATATTGCCAAGAGGCACTATTTGCAGCATAGAGGGTCTCAGTCTTTACAAAATAGGTCAGGCTAGCATTGTTATTATAAGATCCCCTTGAGACAATGGAAACAAGAAAAAGGGGCAAGGATGCGTCCGAGAAAATATATAATGACGGGGAACAGCTAGTTACATGATCAATACTAGAGCCAGGCCCCATATTAATCAAACATCATACGCTTTCCAGCCACGATAGAACTGCCCGCATCATATATCCCTCATAGTATTTCACAGCAAGGTCAAGCGCAGGTTGGACATGGACCTCACCCTCACACTCTGCAAAAACGAAATCTTTTCCATGGAAGACGCTCCAGTCAGTTTCCCGCTGAGCGACAACCATCTCTGCCTTCACGCAGTCTTTAGCAAATACCCGGCAACTGTCCAGCAAAACTTCCGCTGTGCCAACTGTGACCATCGCCTTCTTAACCAGGCCCTGTGACTCCCCGGAGGATGGAAACACCCCATTCCAAACATCCCTGGCACCCTCCCATTCACATAGATTTGCCCATACCTCTTCCTCATTGGCAATTCCATTAGCATTCCACTGCGCCTTAAACCAATTCTCCTGTGCCAGGGTAAGAAAATCCTTCCTATGATTCGTATGATAGCTGCCTTGATTGGTTCCCATCATAACCCAGGGACTCACCAACAACACAGCTTCTAGTTGGCGGCCAGCAAGGTCTAGTGGTGCCGCATAGGGTGACGGCTTAGCTATGTGCGTCAGTAACGACCCTGTCAAGTTGCCACCCGCGCTGTCGCCCGCGATTATAATATCGTCAGCCCGAAGGGAGAGCTCGTTTAGTAAATATCGAAGATCAGCCACGGCTTGAACGAGTTGCGACGGATACGGATGTTCCGGAGCCAGAGAGTACTCGAGAAAGACTACTTCTTTGGCTTTACATGCTGCGGCACACCGTAGTGCGAAAGGCATGTGACCGGGTGCTTGAAGGGGGTTGACGTATCCCCCTCCATGAAAGTACAGCAGTATCGGCCCAGTTTCAGAGGCTGACGGGGGAGTGACAAAGTGCAAGGTTGGCTGTGGGACATGCAGACATGGCTCAATTTTGGGCCTTGGTGGAGCTATCCTTCAGTGCGACCTCTCTGTAGGCGATGTTGAACTTAGAACAATAAATTTTGATTGCTTTTCCAGTTGAGATCTTACGAAGCTTTCTAGTAGCTGTTCTGCGGGAAATGTAGACCTTCTGCTTCGGACAATGACGACTGCGAGTCTTTGACGCCAATGGAGGCCATTGTTTGTTTGGCGCGTAAAACCCAGGAGCAATTGGAACACTGCGATTTGACGTCAGCACATATTTAATCATGGATGAAAAAACACCATGAGGGAATAGATAGGGAGTTGGACGGCGGGGGGTATAGAGTGATTACCAAAGATCGGGGAAAGGAAACAAAAGAGAGCCTGATCCCAGATTACCTGGAGGATGTTTCTTTCAGTTTCTCCAGATCCTCCCATATTTTGCACGGATGAGGAATGGTGATGGGGATGTAAACAGCAAAACCCCCACGATTTCTCTGCACAGGAGATATATTTTGTATCAACAAGTAACAGAACCTGGATATCCTGAACTTTTCTAAAAACAGAACCACACAAATCTTTCAACGAAGAGAGACAGGAAGAGGGCCCGACCTACCGAGGTTTAAGCAGAATGAGATAGTTTAACTATCTAAGCACCCAAATGACTTTGTAGCTCCCTAGGTAGTTGGCGAATGCCATTTCCATCTTGTTGTTTGTTAGAATCCCTGTTAGAACCCTTGTGCGGGCCCTTTTATTTCATCTTCTGTAAGAAATTCTGTGAGATTTCAAATTTCAAGAAGACCCGGCTAAGGATGCTCCCGTTTGTAGTTACTAAACAAGTTTTTGGCCCCTGGTCACTGGAATATGGGCGCCTGAAAACGATGCCTGCTATCTGCGGTCTTCTTCGGATGGTTTATTTTCTCTGCGATCAGAGTAAATTCCGATGCTTCTCAAAATTCTGGTCCTTTCCTCGATGAATCGAAATCACCCAATTGAGGTAAACCAGGGGCTGCCATGCATCACGGAAGACCTCTCGCATGGAAGCAGCATATTCCGCTGTTTGTCATAGGGATGCTGGGAGCGCTTCGGCTAGGGGCCTGATGCGCCGGATCCTGCAGGCGTAACTAAGGCTGAGGCAGATAGAATTGCATGGGACAGAAGAAGACCAGGCTCATGAGCCGTCCTGGCTATCCTTCGGTGCGTGCCCTAGCAAGAGATATTCTTGACGGGCTGGTTAGCCCCAGCGGCGGGTGATGGCATCGTGGTAACCGAACGGATCACGCATCAAATACGTAACAGGTAGCTAGTTGTGGTAGATGTGTAGTAGAGCCTGTGATAGATCGCTGCCTCGCATCCGGTGCTATGGATAACTGCGGGAGGAATTACATCATTTATTCATCAAAACGTTGACTTTCTATCCCCAACCTCAACTCTGCTGACTCTGACTGTCTGCCGCGCAATAACGTAAGGAATGTCCGTAACTTAGCACAAAAGAGCTCTTTTTCAAAATTGGACATCGTCTGCATATTCGATGTCCACAGACAATCCATTTCACTGAACGGAGCAATTATATCCCCGAGCACCATATATATATATATATATATATATTGGGTCTTCTCACTACATATGAAGAACGAACGGGAGCATGGTTCAATGATATGAGCAAACTTCTCGCTAAAAACGTTTCCATCAGGACTGGTGTCGGTTATGAATATGAATTGGAAACTGAGCAAACGATGAAAATTGTGATGAGAGTAGCTCGAAATTCATTAAACTTCGTATTCTGTTGGATATATTCATAGTTCACTCTGCCTTTTCCGGCCCGTCACGATTTTTTGCAGGGGGTATACAATTAATTTCTCCTTCCTTCCGGCCGCCGTCGGCACACCAATGCTATATCTTTTTACCCAATACCATCACTATCACAACCCATTCCATGCCAGACCATGCCAAGCCATTCTTCATACTCCCGTCATCCGGTTCGTGCGAACGTGCAGGTTAAGGGAGTATTTGCTATCCACATTCATCATAATGCATATCTTGAAATAAAAGAAGAAAAAAATAGTAATTGCTGTGTCGTAATTCGTCCCCTTCCGCTGCTTCATTACTGGGAATGGCAAAAGGAAAGGAGGGAGGTTTGTGGGGGCAACCAAATTATTGATACAACTGTTCTATCCAACTAGCCACCCCTGGTTGCATCTTATTCAGCCAAGAGACGAGCTCGATCAGCTCTGCGCGTCGCTCCTTGTCGAGCTGGTTTGGTTCTCCAGTAAGTACAGATTGGAAGATGGGGATAAGTCGTGGGGTTAGGCTGGTGACAGTGGCATCTTCCCATTTATCTGATCATTGTGTTAGTGAATATGTTACAATGTAATTCTTGTAAACTGCGGGGAATGGAAAGGGAAATCATACACAACTGGCAAATCATGCGGAAAACGGGTTCGTTCTCCTCGAAGTCATTCTTAAGAGGGAGGACATCGATGAGGGCGGAAAGGACATCAGCCACGGGGACGTTATTACGGTGCTTCAGAATCATGCGGCTAAGGCAGCCAGAAGCATTGTCTTTAAGTCTAGCATCGGCGATGTGCAGACAGGGCTCCAATATCTCTAAGATGGTAGGATAGGTTTTGGTGATCTCCGCATCGTCGTTCGATTTCTCAACAAGTCGTCCAATGGCGTAGGCAGCGTTGCTCTTTGTCTGGAGATCCTCGTCGCCAAGACGGTGCAGGAGTAGTTGAAGAAACTTGGATGTGAATGGTGTGATGGCGTCGTCTAAACCAAATATGATATCTGCAATAACTCCAGTGGCGGTGGATCTTTCAAGAGGCTCACTGCTGGCAGCATACTGGAGAACAGACTGTTCAAAGTGAGGCCATAGTCCGAGGAAGCTGCTACCTAGTGCAATGGCAAGGCCGGAGATAACGTCTAGAGCGGTATCGATGACAACCCAGTCAAACTCACAGAGTTCTTCCAGGGCAGCGCGGTCGTCATCATCCACACTAAAATCTTGCTGAGAGGGATGTTGCTTGGTAATGATTGTGGTGACCATGGTAACGATATTGTTGAGGACAGAGGCATCTGCGACAAGGTACGGTCCGCAATATTTGAGATTTTCGGCAACATTGCGGTTGATATCAGCAACGGTCGAACTAGACAAATTGACAATGTTAGCGATTGAAAGGCAGTCTGCAAATGCGTAAATATCCAACAAAATAAAACAGCAGAATGCTCAAAGAGCAGTTGAAGTGGTTAGATATTTTCTCAGCTTCACAATGGAAGAATTCGTATTTACATCAATCACACATTTTGTGTGTATGAGTGAGCTGGGATTACGAAGGTGTGTCATCATAGAAAAAGATAAAGGCAATAAAAACCCGAAAACGAGGCGAAAATTCATGGACATAAAACAGGTCTTTTCCACGTACCTGTCTTCTTCGTCAGTCCACATCTTAATCGTAGAAGTCATCAGTATTTCAGTGAACTTCTTCAGTTCATTGGGAGGCTCAACCATCCTCATCCCCTTACCAGGGACCCATCGTTCCATCTGACCAGACTCCTCACAAACTTGCCATAGAGCAGCATATGAGCGGTGAAGGGTGCTGATGGTGCTCTTTCGGACGCCTTCGTATGGATGCTCGCAGAGGGGAAGGATCTGCTCGATTGTTTTTTCGAAGTATGGAAGGAAGGCCTTCTTGGCATGGGTGATAATTTCACCAAGAACTTCGACCGCAATCTCCTTCTCAAGGGCGAGAGGAGTCACGGTGGTGAGATCTTCCCAGTCATCCTCCTCCTCATCGATATCAAGATCTTCAATGTTGGACTCATCGAGGACGGACACGTCTTGCTCATGGTCGCCAGCGGCAGCGACGCGAACCTTGCGACCAGCAATGGTAACCTCTTGACCAACAAGGTCACGCGCGGCATCGCTAAGCTCAACCTCAAGATCAGTTTCTTCCTGTACAAGGCATGTAAAGAGCCCCTTTACTATTCCCTCCAAGAATGGAGTGAAGTCTTCGCCATAAACTTTTGACATGGAGCCCCAGAAGATATATGTGCTTTCCTTCAAGCCGGAGTGGCCAAGTTGGAGAGCTTCCTCGCTGGCGCGCATTAAAGGCTGAACGTAGTTCTTGAAGTGTTCTGGTCCAGCAGAGGTAGACATTTCTCCCATGGCGTCAGTGACACTAGCACGAAGTTCCAGTTCATCCTCGCTATCCTTAATGGTGACGTAATCCTGCATGAGATGCATCGACTCATCGAAGAATGGGAGGAAAGCCTTGCCAGCAGATGATGCAATGGATCCTAAAGCGCTGGCAGTAAGAGCCTTGATCTTGAAGTCTGGGTGTTTGACCAACTTGTGCAAAACTGGCACCAACTCTCCCAAGTATTGTGCAACATCACTCTCATCCAAGCTGCCAACGACAGAGTCTACGGCGCTAATAGCAGCCTTCATAATGTCGACGACCGGCCCGTTTTCCTCCCCTTTCCACTCCTGCATTGTGCTGGCAAGGTTCTTCATGAGGAGGGGCATGAGCTGCTGGTGTTGGTTGCTGACGTCTTCGGCAAGGTCATCTGCGATTCTCGAAACACCGTGCAGGGTTGCCTGACGGACCTTGGGCTCAGGGTCGTTCAACAATTGAAAGATGACAGGAAAGATCTCCTTCATCTGAGTGCTGATGAAATCGGGAGCGCCCTCGACACACATGCCAAGAGCCATGATTCCTGCACGGCGATAATTGGGGTCCTTGTTGTTGAAGAATGGCCCCAGAGCGTTGAGGAGAGGCACGACAACCTGGCTTGGTGGGAGGCTCTGTGCAAGCAAGTCTAAAAGATCTAATGCGGACCTGACTGGAGTGATGTCACCATCATCATAAACGGTAGCATTATCCAGCTCAGTTGCGATTTGAAGAGCAGCAAGAGTAAGCTGTTTGCCAATCTGCATGCCTTGAATTTTCAATTTTCGGTATTTGACGCATTCCATGAGGAAGCTGATGGCCAGGGCTCTGGTATCCTCGGCCAAGTCGGTGTTGGCAGCAAGTTGGTTCATGAAGAGAACGAGCTCTTTCAAATGGGGATTCATCAATTGGGGATCGCAGCCAAGAAGTGACTGGAAAACCTCGAAAGCTTGGATGATCCGGTCCTCATCGCCCTGATCAATCGAGTCTCTCAAGACAGCAACCATAGCGGGAAAAATATTCTGGAAAGCCTTGACTGGTGCCTCATGTTCATCCGAGTCCAAGTGCATCGCCAGCTTGCTCAATGACAGAAGGGTGTTGATGCGAACCTCAGAGCTCTCAGGATCGCGAATGGTTTTCTCGAACAGAGCAAAAAGGTCGCTGAATATTTCTTGGAAACCCTCGCCCAGGGTTTCCAAAATGGTAAAGAGAATGTAGATTCCAGTAGCACGCTCATCAGCCTTGGGGCTTACGGCGGCCTGGAGCAGGAAAGCGGGAAGATCCGCCCATTGCCCGTCCTCGAGATCAATCTTGGCAATGGCGGAAATGATACGGGCACAGGAGTGGCGGACTAATGGACCACCCTCTCCTAGAGCCGCACGGAGCAGCTGCTCTCTAATATGTGGTTTCTGTTCCCCGGCAATCTTGAGCCAATGCTTGTTCACGAGGGATCGCGATTCAACAGCGGCAAGCTGTCTCAGGTTTTGGTCACCATGGGAGGTGGCGACTTGGATAAGGAAGAGGAGTGATTCTGGTTGGGTATAAAATTCTTTCTTCAGGGTACCAGTGGCTTCCTTGACGCTGCCCAAATTTGCTGCGGATCGTAACGAATTCATCAAGTCAGCAAATGTTTATTCCTGACGGCTCTACGAGGATAGGCACATGCAGGCTGGGTACTCACGATCAAGGACAATTCGCAGCTGTTGCAAGAATCGCTGCTGGTCCATGATGGACTATTCTTGAGGTCCTGATACTCGAAACAGGTGGGAGGGAATTGGGCTGACGGTTGAGTTAGATACGTGGATTCCCTTGGCAGCCGATGCGGAAGCCCAGCCAGTCTGAAAAAAGACACTACCTTAACAAGTAAGAGAAAGATGGTGTATCTTATGAGGAGGGAAAGGAAAGTCGGGAGAAGATAGTGGGAGAAAGGTTGGGAAATATATAAGAAAAGGAAAAGGAAGAAAAATTGATGTTAAAATGTGATGTTTTAATATTTTTCTTCGGCGGGCACTAGTCTTGTTTTGGTGGGATGGTTGGTTGAGATCCCAAGTTTGCATTGTTTACATCAGCAACCTCAATTGAAGAAAATTGGGTCAGAATGTTTTAAAATAGAAAAAAGAGGGGAATGTCGCAGTTATTTAATTTGATTTATATCGAATTGGCATTGTTGCATATATCGCCCAATGGGATAGCTGCGTATACCACTATATAGTCTACCGTGGATAATCATCAAATTAAATATAGCTAATACTCATTCGGCTTTCAGGCCTAATATCCAAAATATCGTAACGCAGCAAGTGAACAACATGGGGAGCAAGAGAAGATTCAGGTCATCGAATGCAAACCATAAGACTATGCGCATATACAGTACAGGTATAAGAAATCTCACATATCAATAGCTACCCTTTCCTTCCCTCATACGAAACTCCGCCCAGATTCTCCAGCCGACATATATTGTTGATTCCCCGTTGCGTGTCTATAAAGTGTGATCGGGTTTCCAAACAAGGCTGTGCCAACGGCTACCTGGAAAGGCAAAGAAAGGAACAATCATTTCAAAAACGAGCAACGAGATAAAAGCATCTTCGGGGATATAAAGGTAAATAATTCACGAGTCGTCCTCAGAATCGTAGTCGTCGTCCGGCAGTAATGATCGGTACCTTCTGGAAGCAAGATCATCCTCCAGGCCCCCGTCAGTTTGGGGATCGGAATATCCTATCAAGACAAAATGAAAGTCGTATCAGTATATCTGGGCATACACACCCTATATATAGGTAAAATGCGTCAGAAAATCAACGTGTTAGGAGGACTCACCGTCACCTCCAAAGAAGCTCAAAGCTACCGGCAAGAATATCAACGCATGAGAGGCAGCAAATATTACCAGCGCCAGCCATATTCTAAAATAGTAGATTTCAAATATTTTGCTTCTCGTAAATGCAAGGACACACACGCCTAGAAGTTTAGTAACTGTGATACCGGTGAAGACGCTGCCGCCAACATTCACCAACGCCGCCCATGCCCGTGCTGTCCGATGGCGGAATTTACCCCGAGCCTGTTCCAGGAGTGGACTGGAAGGAAACATGAACGCACGCGCAACATGTGCACAGAATTCGAACCCAATTCCAACGCAGATAATCAGGTTGACCAGCGACACGGCGTTCAGAGAAACGTTGGCAACAGCCATGGTTCCGATGATATCGACAACCGTCATGATAACTGTTGCAGTCACGACTGCTCCAGTTGCTATAGAGCCCAAGAGAATTGAAGTGACAACGAAGATGATGGCGATTGCGGATCCAAGAAGCGTTCCCGTAAGGCGAACGATGGATGCGTATTGGTCAAAAAATATGTAGAATTTGGAATAAGGGAAGACATCGATTTTATGCGTTTCCGAAATGTCGTTTGCAATCCGACGTGCAGAGGCATAGGCATTGATAAAATCTTTCTGGCTGCGAAGCGGAGTGTGACTCGTGCGGAAATGGCTTGCGTTTGTTGTTATAGATTTTGAATCAAGAACCAGGGCATTGGAGTAAGGTGCTAAGCCGCCTAGGGGGCAGGATTCGTCTGTGGGTGACTTTACCCATTTTTCTGCATAGTGAATAAACTCGAATCCCTCAGGCATTCCGTGAAGGGAGATATTCCATGGCGGATTCCTCTCATCAAAGCATGTCTTGCCATTCTCTTTGCAGCAGTTTTGTTGAGGATTCAGCCAGTAGAAGAAGTCGTCAATCCAACTAGCAGTCGAGCCCGAGATATAGGAAATATTGGGACGCTTGGATTCTTGCTCAAGAACGAAACCTAACGAAAATTCGTCGCATGTCGAGAACCTTCCACAGAGCTGCTGCTGGTGATGTCTCGCTGTAACATTGACATCCCGTGTCACGAAGTAGACAGGAGGTCCGCTCCCAAAGTAAGCATACAGATCATTAAAGAAATCGATAAGATATGAATCGTTGGGGATGGCGATACGTTGATCCAGGCCCAAGGCGACAGTTGGAAGGAGAGCAAGACCAGCAGTGAATATTCCAAGAAAAACAACCATGACTAAAACTTTCGTGTGATTTTTAAGAAGGCGAGAAGCATATGTTTTTCGGATGAAGCGTTGCAGGATACCTTCCTCCGCATGGTCATACGACTGACCGCTAGGGATTCCTGACGAATTTGCTTTTCGCACAGTTAGACAGGGAAAGCAATCGGCACGGAGACTCTCAACCCGTCTCTGATTCAAGGCCAGCACGGATACGAACATTGTGACCTGTAATATCGCGTTGATGAGGACAGCGCCGGCTGCATAAGCTGCGAAATTCTTCACAGCAGGCATCCCCACGAAGGCTCCCATCGCAAATGCAATTGTTTCTGTTGCTGCAGAGAGAAGTATACTAGGACCCATCCTGCCCAAGGCTCGGGCAATGCGCCCATCAATTTCTTCTTCTTGGTGGCTCAGGTTCACCCTTTCAAATTCGTGAACGATGAGGAAAATATTGTCGACGCCAATTGCGAGAACGAGGAACGGGATCACCTCGGCAATGATTAACGTCACCTTGATACCAGCTGCTGAGAAAAGGCCAACGGAAGCGGAGACAGACATCAGGACGATTAGGATGCCAACGATACCGAGTGTAAATTTCGACTGCACAAGACTGTTGGCTGGGTTGCTGAAGATACTTTTCCACGTCAGGGTTGTCGAACCAAGGGCCAAAGAAGCGTAAATAAACATAATGACATAGCTAATAACAACTATTTTCGCATCAGTGTTTGTAGATTTATTCAGTTCCTGTTCAAGGCTGATTTCCGTATTGAAAGAAACTCGTAGACCATGTTCACCTGCTTCCTCTTGCACGACTTCGAGCACTCTTTTCAAACTATCCTCCCAATCTACTGCCCCAGCTTCATTTTCGCTGCCCGGGGCATGGTTATTGACTACCCATGTAACAACAAGCGCAGTGGCATCCAACACATTCTTAGTCTGTCCATAACCCCCAAGTATCATTTCCGGCTTCAGGGGTTGTTGGAAGTCGGGGAGACATTCAATGGATCCAGGAGACTGGGCGCAGTATTTCAAATGAGATTTCCAATTATTAGGGTCGACATTGGAGAAAGACCCTCCGAAGTATCCAGTTAATGACTGAACAACACAAGCACGTCCGGTGGGTTTAAAGCACACATCCTCCAGAGCAAGGCCCTTTTCTAGGGAAATCATGCGACGCACTCGATTCTCAACATCAAACCACCAACTGAGCGTTTCGTAGCTTAATACAGGGCCTGGTCCATCCGGGTGAGTGTCGTTAATAAGGAACGCTTGCTCCGCTCTATAGAACGGTCCGAAATTCTCATCGAAGAAAGCTTTTTCTTGAGCAGCGGCCGAGGTGGGGCTCACCCAGAGCTTGACAGGGTCCCTTTCGACAGTGAATCGTAGCCAACCCAGACTCAGCAACCCACATATAATAATACTTGTCGTTATGGTTAATGCCGGAAATCGAGCACACACGCCACCCAGACGGCTGAACGCCGCATCGAAAACCGAGTTCAGCTTATAGCTCACTTGGGGGCGGTCAAGTAATCCGGCATCGTCAATGAGATCTCCTTCGTCCTCATCATCGCTTGGGCTGGTATCTTGGAGGAGCCTAGCCCGTTCCAACTTGCGCTGTTGACGTTTCCGGAAAACTACATGAACGAGCGTGACGGCGACCATGAGCAATAGAAAAACCGAATAGACGATTATGACAGAGAAGGATAAGCAAGGTAGGTGCCTAACATGGCAGTAGCTTTCCTCTGGTAACGCAGGCAATTGGGGGCAAACAGCGGGACAATCAATGCAGGAACAACGATACTTCTGGTCTGCATCACTGCATGATTTTGGAGTCGTCGGCAGGGGCCGCATACCAGCATCCATGGGTCCCTTAGGTTGGGTCATAAAATTGATTTGAAACGGGCTTCCTAGAAGCTTCTTGTCGCCCAAAAATTTCAAGAACTGGGTAAAATTCCTAGCTCCTCCGCCGATGAAATCCATCGCCCTGCCGCCAGAAGCACCGTTCTTGACGTCCTTACAGCTATCGTAAAAGCCCACTTGGTACACTTCGGACCACAGATTATCCAATTCGGTCACTACTTTTTTGTCTTTGACGGTATCTGTTTGCGTGACGTTGATGAAAAGCGACTGGTCGGGGGAGCATGTAAAGGAGCAGAAGAGGTTGAAAAAGTTCTCTTTACAAGCTGGACATGACGCAATTATGCCTTCAGCAATCTTTAAGTGCGAGGATAAAGCATCAATCTATCAAGAATACGGGCGCAAAAGTCAGCATACGCTACATCTCCAGCTCCCTACATCCTAAGCAACGCGCCAACCTCCAAACAAAGAAGGTTCATACCTGAGGATCCTCACAGCAAACATTCCCCGTCTTCCATTTATCTCCACATAACGATACCAGCTTCTTCCGCGTATCTGCTGTTGGTGCTTTCGCAAGTCCATTGTCGGGACACGGCAGTTGTCCACCGAAAAACGATAGTTTTCCGCAATGGCCACGCATGGCGCATCGACCTTCTTCATGGATTTTTGTCTCTCCTTGAGCAAAGACAGAGCTGCTCTGGGCAACTACCAGTCCTGCTAGGAGCGGTAAACACGCAAAATGCATGACGATAAACTTGGTCAGGCAGAGGCTGTCAGGGAACCTCCGACCAATCCAGCACACCGACTAAAGTTCCCCCTTTGTGCAGTGGACTTCACCCACACAAGGGCCAGATCATCAAGACAAAGCCAATATTTCTAACCCTGTAATCCGAATAACATTCGCTTCAGAGCCGGCAGCTACCAGAAGCCTTAGATGTGCTGGAGGGAGAGTCGATGGAGGTTGCTGTACTCACGACCTGTAGCTACAACCGACACGCAACCGGGGGGAGGGAAAGGGCGGTCAATGATATCAGACGCCGACGGAAACAAGATTCTAATACGGAGACGGACGGAGCAGCTGTGAAAACGGTCGGGTCGTACGAGAGGATAAGAATATATGGTATGCAAGCAGAGGTGCCCACCTGTTTATGTATTTTAGTGTCGAGGTTGCTGGGAGGCTGGCATGGAGTGATGTGGTGACAAGAGAATGGCTGGAAATCAGCTTATGTCAGCCTATGACATCAACTGTGGAGCAGATCTGCCGAGGCTTGGCGGTAGAGCTACCATGGGAACGTTTTTATGTCACGGAGCACAGAAGTACCAACTGCAGACACAAAAGTAACAACGAACGGAATCTCCTGAAGTTTCCAGTTAAAAAAGTATGTGAGAGAATTTTCTGCTGGGATTGTAACCCCTTGAAAGCATTATACCCCTGCTAAGGAATAGAGAGAGAACTTGAAATGGATCCCCAGATACCAGCCTACGTCATATCAGCCCTCGCATCCAGAGAAGGCATTGGAAGGTCTAGCAAAAGAACCCCGTAATAATGTGGTATTATTTCTGCCAGGTTGATTATTTGGTATACCCAATAATTTTACAAGCATCCACGTTCAAAAAGGGATGCTGGACTAATAACATCCCTAAACGTTGTATGCGTCTTACTATCATTCAGGGGTTTATACTCGGTACCGTGAACATTGTTTAGTCGGGAGTCTGTAGCCATGATCCCAACGGGTGATAGATGGGACCTCGGGAATCTTTGTCTCTGTGCCCCCCTTTTCCACATCGCAACTATGGTGTTGCTAGGTCGTCGCATTTGCAGCAAGCTAAGCCAGGAAACCCCCCCGCATGTTTGATAACTAGCCGGCAGGAGATATCAGCGAATGGAACCACCACCGGGTAGTTATTAGCGAATTTCCAGATTCTTCTTTTCCATATAGACTGACTGCTCTTAAGTTACTGATAACTGATGCAGCTGAAATTCTTCCTATTTCCTTGTATTCTATCCATGGGGCATCAAAAGTCCTGAACCCGCGCCAAAAATAATATAAATCCAAATTAAAAGAGTGAAAACCACTCCCAGCACGCTAGGCGTGACTCTAGGGACTCCCAGGCCTGTTTATCGCTTGGTGCTTTAGCCGGGGACGTCTTAATCATTAAAGCTTTAATAATCAACAACTATTAACTAGTTACTAGTTAGTTAGTTAAGTTAGTTGGTGCTAGTTATCCTAATGAGGCCCCGTGTTTAGTGCTTTGGGTATACTTTTGATAGCGACCCTGCACATGGAAAAAGTTCCACCTTTAAAATTCATATTGTTTGTCTTAACCCTTCTCTAATATCCCTGTTTTCTTCCCTATTTATGTGCAGATTGCCTGTTCTTGTATATTTAATTTTCCGTGTCCAAGGAGTGATTGAAGGGTTCAAGGTCCTGTGAAAGAACCGCCTTGGTTGGGTGGGCGAGAATCCGGCTCCCCCCCATGACCCAAGTATTTAGCCGGTAAATGTATGAAAAACGGGAATCGAATCTAACTCTAAAAGCCAGGAAAGGTTACGTAAATTCATTGAGCAATAGAAAATAAACACCTGTATTTTTGTGCGCCTGGCTTCTATGCGACAGGATGAGGTATGAAGATGTAGTAAGAATAAAGTTGGTAAGTTGGTAGACGGGTGGTAGAGTAGGCAAGGTAGGTAGGATAATGGTAGCAGTACTGGTTAGTGGTATGGCAGTTGTGGTATGATATGATAACGAATCTTGGGAAAAAGGCTTTCGAACATAAAAAAGAAAAGAGAAAGAAAAAGAGAACTGAGATAAACGGACAAAAAGGAAAGCTAGAAGAAAACAAGAAGACAGAAGGATGGAAAGAAAAGAAAAGACACAAGTACAGCCAAACAACAGAAGAGAAAATGACCAAGCACAACCCAACCCAAATCCATCACATCATATCACCAACTCTACTCCCCACCAGCTCCCCCTTTATTTTCCCCGGCAGGCACAGGCGTCGACGTAGAAGACGCTGGAGAGTCTGTCCCCGCGCCTCCAGCAGCACCCTTCCCAGGCCCACCGGCACCACCATACCCTCCAGTCCGCGCCCCTCTTCCACCGCCGCTACCACCCCGTCCACCTCTATCACCTCCTCTCCCGCCTCGGCCCCTCCCACCATACCCACCACCTCTCCCCCGTCCACTCTCACCATCGCTCGTCGCACTACCGCTCTGATACCCGCTCCGCTGCCCAATTCCCCCGGCCGGGCCACCACGATTACTAGCCTGCCACGTCCCTGCGTTTCCGCCTTGCCCATCGCGATCCCGCCGACTTCCCCGATCCTCGAACATTTTCACGTTCGGCTTACGATTGGGGCCTGGTGGGCTTGGTTTCTTGTGTTCAGGCGGCTGGCGTTCGAGAGCCACACGTGCTTCCTCGGGTGTTGAGAAGGTGACGACGTGGTTGAATTTACCCCATTTCTCCACCTTTAGGATCTTGGACTTGTCTTCCTCGGGGAATAGGTCACGGATCGCTTGTTCAGAGTCGACGTTGGAAATAAATAGGCCACTGCTTGGCTTGCGCTCAGTAGGTCCGGTGCTAGTTCTTGAATCCGTCCGCTCGCCGAGGACGGTGCCGTTGGACTCGTTGGCCTTGTCTGTCGCGCTGGGAACGTTGACCTGAGCACCCACGGGCTGAGGCGTGGCGGGTTTAGCTTTGTTGTTTGGAATTACCGGGGCCGGTGATATGGTGGTTTTAGGAGGAAGTGGTCCCGCGGGCTTGTTTTGAGATGGAGCCTGGTTTTGCTGTTGATACGTGGGTGCTGTGGTGCGGTTTGGGACTGGAGCTTGACCAAATTGGGAAACTCCGCCAGCGGATCTCGGTTGGGCCCCAGATGGAGCACTAGGGGCAGCGCCAGACGCACCGGGGCCGCCTGGAAGACCCGACATAGCGACAGGTTGTTGAGTTATAGGTGCAGAGCTCGTTGATGGCTTCCCAGCACGATGAGCGAAGTTGAAGCCCTGAGCACGCATTTCTGTTCCGATTCGTCCACCCTCGATTTCCAGAACAAGGTATCCGAAAGCGGCATCTGCCAGATTGAAATTCCACATATTTTTGAACGCGCTCTCGTCTACTTGGCCACCAGCGTTGCTTGCCGCAACAGGACCTCCAAAAGGATTGCCACCATTTGCAATTGTTGGCATCTTCTCGACGATACTTAACGCATTGTCTAGTAGGGTTCTCTGAGCCTCGTTGGCATTAATAGCGGTCTCGACTTCACCCTTAACCGTGTCCCACACATCATTAAAGGAGGCCTTGGAAGCCGCCAGCTTGCCACGATAATGGTCCAGAGTAGGGTTGACGCTGAACTCGTTATATGAACTCCCGTATCTAAAATGCAGCCCGGCCGAAATCGAAAAATCAGCCTTGAGAGTAACAGAGAGTTGGTTCAACATGCCCTCACGAGCCGGGGAAGCGTGCGTGACGAAAACGCGTGTCTCTGACGGATCATAGACGCGATTAGCAGTATCGACCAATTCACCCATCTGCAATAGCGTAGTCCACATCGTTCCCTGCCCGCCTGCAATCGTCGTCTTTCCTTCTCCATTGTCGAACAGTTTATGCATAACAACCGCACCCCCAAGACCCAGCAGGCGCAGTTTCACTCCGCCAATATCTAGTAGTCTCGAGCTAGATTCATCGATAATATGTAGCTTGTCCACTTTATATTCACCAGATCGGAACTTCTCCAGCACCCGAACATCCTCACAAGCACCCCAGACTGTATATACGGGAACATCGAGGGTCAATTGCTTGTTAAGCAGTAGAGGGAGTTCGGAGAGGGGGAGCTGTTCAGGGCTGAAACGTTGTTTGATGGATTGCTGGGGGGGGACTTGGGCGATGCTTCTCTTGATTGCCTCTGGGAGAAGGGGAGAGTATTGCACGACGTGTTTCAAGGTCCTGTAGGAAAGAAGTACCAGTGGCGAGAGCCATAGCATTAGATATAATGCTCATATAGCGTAGTCTGGAACTTTCCGGCGTAGTAAAATGAGTGGGAATCAAAGCGAATGACATACTTATCAGCAATTCTCTCTAGAGAGCTATCATCATAAAAGCCAAAGTCACCTGTATGGATAATATGATCCGCGCGAGCATGCCTAGCAAGTTCATTGAGAGACTTCAAGTTTCCTGTTCATTGTTTAAAGGCAGATCAATCAGCACATGTTGCCAACACAACACATTGCATATTGAAGCGCACCGCCTCACAGCAGCAAACAAACGTAATATATCCCATACCTCTTACATCTGCAACGCAAAGCACTCGCACACCGCCAGTCTGGATAACTCTGCCATTATTCGGGAGCAACGCAGTGGCTCCTGGGGTCGGGCCGCTCGTGGAGCCGTTGGAAAGATTATAACCAGGGTTGTTAAATGCGTGGGCGGGACGTGGCTATAGGGCGTCGAAGTAAGATGGTTAGGTGAGGCTGCGAATGATGGTTTGTTCTATGAGTGAGTCCGGGCAAACTTACTGAAGCCATGGATGGAGGGAGGGGTTTGTAAATAGAAAGACCTTGTTAAACTGGAGGAGGAAAAATCAAGCCTTTTTATATCTGAGGTTTTTCGGTATTGCTTCTTTGATTGTCAGATGATCTACCGTTCAAAGAGATGTGGCGTTTTTTTACCGTGTTGTGGATGTTCATCAAACTTACACGTAGGAAATGAATAAATTAAACAAAAAAAAAAAAAAAAAAAAAAAAAAAAAAAAAAAAGGGAACACACGTCAAAGATAAAAAGCTCGACAGGTATAGTTTGGAGAATGTGGTAGGATTTGGGTTTTGGTCAGAATACAACCAAATATAAAACGTGAAAGCTTTTTTTTTTTTTTTTTTTGGGCTGGGAATGGGGTATTTTGGAAAAGTTGAGATTTAAAATAAAATCAGAAGAACAGGGGATATTGTGGCACAAAGTGAGGCAGACAACAAAACCAGGGTGGGGAGGGGAATTTTTATAAGTATGGAATGGGATATTAGAGATGGAGATGTGAGGCGGAACCGGAACCGGAACCGGAGAGTAAAGGAACGAGGAAGTGTGTTAGGGGTATAATCCGGAGAAGAGTTGCGGGGGTTGAGATGCAGCGAGAGAGGAGAGAAAGAGATGGCGGAGGCGTAGAGAGAGTTAAGCTGGGATGAGTTGGGGGAGAGCTGGATGAAACTTTGTGAAGTCGAGATGGAGGTCGAAAGAAAGCAGAGAGGACGGTTGGTATTGGCGATGAGGATGCACCTGAGCACCCCAGGGCGGCTGCTTCGGGGAAAGCGCAGAGTCACGTGGCGTACTCGGGGTTATGTCAGCAGTTGTGCTTGGGCGGGACTCGCTTGGCCCCTTTTTTGCGCAGAGAACATCGCTAGTAGGAATCTCTAACATAGCTTGAAGTGTAGTCCTACGATTGGATCGCTCTAATTCGCCGTTCGACAGAACCCTAGCCAAGCCTGGACTGATAGCTGGGAGCCCCCATACCTGCTTTAGGGCTGCATCTCGACGGATCCTTAGATCGATGATTTCACTTTGCATGCAGCTGCTGGGATGTTAGAGAGACCAGCAACTGGTATGACTACACTTCTGCTATAATAGGATATATCTACAAGGAGAGATCTGGATAAATATTAATAGAACAAAAATAGATATGATTCCCATAGACACAATTTTTTTTAAGGTAGCATATACATACCTAGGTACCTCAATGACTTATATAAACATAAACCCCCTCCATCAAATCAACACCCAACCCAGATATCAATAACATCCCCTCAGAGTCGCCACGGCACAAAATTGACTCTTGCATCCCAATATCAAAGATTGTCCCACAGATAAAAAAATAACACAAAACAATCCCACGTGTGTCAATGAAAAACGACTTGTGTCCTATTTTGCCCCTTGTTTTGCTCCTTTCCTTTTTCCCTGGCGTTGAATAACTATACAATCATGACAATGAAAAATAACATAATCAGCTAGTCAATCAGCCAGAATGCAATGGCCACAAAAATTAGACTGAATCAAGCAGCCACAGAAAATGATATCAGGCCAACACAAAAAAACGTCCGGGGAATCGCCACAGCAGATGTTGCCACATATAATAAAAAGTAAATGAAGAAAGATAAAAACTGTGAAGAATATAGATCATAAATGGAAATACAAAATAAAACACTAGGAAATATATCAAGAGAGGAATGTCTAGACGAATTGATATTTTATTTTTATTTTTATATTTTTTTAATTTCAATTTTTAAAATGGGGATTTTTTTTTTTTTTGGCTCTCTTTCTTTCATGATTTTATCTTTTTCAATTTTCATTTTTTTTTTCTTGGGATTATTTGTTGACAGATAGTAGCTAGAACTATGAAATCATGTCAAAGTCTCTACTCCGCCCGCGACATAATCGCCTCCACATCAACCTGCTTAACCACAACGCCACCTTCAGAGCAGCGAGCTTTCGTCCGCAGCTCGCTACACAGGCTATCCACGTCGATTTCACCGTTGCGGAATTTCTCCATGGATTGTAGTCGGTCCCTATAATAATAATTAAGTTAGCAGGTTGAAACGGATTGTTTCCCTTTTTACATTAGTAACTTAGCAAAAAAAACTCAAAACATAGCGTACCATATCTTCGTACACGAGAGCATCTGCGAGCGGTCCTCGCCAGGAACTACCTCCTCGTCATCATCAGCTTCGAGAGCGCTGTCAATTTGCTTGAGGATATCGGGCTTTGGCGGCGCGTTGTTGACGTAATTGTTGTTGGCATGGTTGTTACTCAGCTCACTAAATGCAAGCAGCGGACTTCCCAGGTCAGGAAGCGGCAAGGCCTCGTTGAAAAAGGTCCCGAAGTCTTGCGAGAGCACGGCATCCTGTGGATCGCGATAGTCACCGAACAACACAGGGTCGAATTGTCCGCCGTTTTGCTGCACGAGCCAGTCAAATCCTAGCAGGGTGTCTGAAGCATTGATGGTGGTATCGCTATAATTGTTGCTGTTATTGCCGTTGCTGTTGTTATTGCTGTTGTTTTTATTGTGATCTGGAAAATTGTAAGGAGGATTAGAATCAGTCATGGAAGCCGGAAGTGGGTTCTCCGCGCAACCACAAGCCCAGCCTAGTTTTTCGTAGAAGGATTTCTCACCTTCTCCCGTGCTGCGTGCAGAGTGTAGTTCATTAGCGATCGTGTTTGTTAGTCCGGATTCACTCAATTTGCCACTTGGAGGTGAGTGCAGACTCGGTTCTGGTGATGTGCCCATCGAAGAAACGTGGCAGGGTTGTGATTCTGAAGAGGCAGCTGGTGAGGCGGAATTGGAAACGTTGGAACTTCCATAGTGGTGTTGCGACTGATAATTTGAATAGATTGAGTTTTGACCAGATCCGGAGCCGGAATAAGGTATGCCTGGGTTCTGTATTGGTGAGCGACCTGATAAATTGTCATAGTATCTGAAACTATCTATGCTAGGGCGGTGGTGGTTTCTACCATTGGATTTTTGGTTATCATTTGGAGGCATACTGTTTAGCACCGGTGAAGATTGTGAGGGGCTGCCAAGGATAAATTGCCTTCGTTGTGAGACGGCAGTTGTGCCTTTGAACGAATTTCCGTGGTTGATATTGGGTGCTCTGTAGTTAAATCCAGCGCAAGGGGGTAACTTGGCAGCCTTAGAATGGTTAGAGATTGGCTGTGAGGGGGAATTATATGAGCGAGCGCCGGGGAGATCACTGAATTTTGGGAACTCGAAGGAGAAATTGTTGCCGTTGTCGCGGGAATTATGTTTGGATCCTGCGCCGCGCATGGTAAAGCCTGATGTTGGCGATACACCATTTCCACTGCTCACCCAGGACAGACGTTTGCGATATCCCTTCAGTTCTATCTGGAGCTTTTCGACCTGAGCGCGCAGAAGCTTATTTTCGATATTTGTCGACTGGGATACCTTCTCGAGTTCGTCGACTTTATTTTCCAGATCCTTTAGGTGCTTCTCCTTGCGTTCCCGAAAGGCTCTTTGGGCAGCCCGATTTTGCGCCTTACGTTTCTATAACAAGGACACAAACAATGGTTAACAAAAATGAAAACTTACATGAACCCTCGTAAAGGAACATATGGGACAAGGAATCGCTGTGGTAATAGCATCAAGAATCAAAGACATACCGTCGTAGGTTCCGATGTCAACGGCTTTCGTCCAGGCTTCTTAGCCGTCTTGTCATCGGTCTCTCTTCGTTTCTTGCCGTTTTCCTCCTCATCGTCGTTTCCGTCGATGCTTTTTCTCTTCTCTCTGGGTTCAGCGTCGTCACCTGGAGAGGTTCCTTGAAGATCTCCAATTAGATCTCCGACGCCACTAGAGTCGAAATCTACATCGAAATCGAAATCCAGGAAAGGGCTCCCGTCAAAGCCCAATTGCCCGGAATCAAGAGGTTCCTCTGTTGGCGATTCAAACAAGTCTTGGGCAGAGGTAGTGGCAGTAACTTGCTGAGAAAAAGAGTCGGGGTGAGAGTCCAGCATCTTGGTGGCAGATTGAGAGTTGTGACGAGACGCTTCTTTGGGGACTTTTATTGTCTTCCTTGTGGATGAAAGTGCCGCAAGAAGAAGGTCCTGTTGATCTGGAGAAAGATAAAGGCTTCGTTGGTAGAGAGAACCGAAATCAGACATCGTTAACGTAATCGTACAAAATCCAGGGGTCAAGTATGGACGTAAGAAGGGTTCTCTCGACCAAATAGATGGGCAAAAATGAAAGGAATAGAAAAATCCACCAACGAATTTTAGTATCAGTGGGATGCTAATATTTTAAAACAAAAACCAAGAGAGTTGGTGAACAATATATCTCGGATACCTATGCACCGACCATTCAACGCGGCCCACAGAAAACTGATACTGGTACAGGCAACGGAGTGGTTGGAACGTAATTCGGTAGGCGATGTTAAGGAAGGTTTGAGACGAGGAGATCTAGGAGTTCAACGTTTAGATTGGTTGATAGAGAAACCCAAACAACTTCCGGAGAGCTGTAAAATAATAAGAAAACCTTGTTGAATCGGTTTGCTGGCAAATCAAACAAATACTGTTGCAACTCCACCCCGCTTTTAGTATGTGGACCCGAAGCCTGCACTACAACCGATATGTGTATGTTGACAGCGCAGGAGTAACCACAGAGGAAATGTAGAGCTGTTGGGGGAGTAGTTGCGGAAGGTTCTCGTGCAAAAGCTGGGACTGTTGGCTGTTTCTTGTCCGATGGGATCTACCAGACAGGAATAGCCACGAAACGAACCCGGCGTGGAGAATAATTCTAGAGGCAAAAAACAACATAAGACAATCCTCAATGGCAGAGGATTGAAGGTGCAAAATACGATACGTCTTAAGGATCCTTCTTATGCAGCACACACAGACCAAGATGTGGGTATGACGCAAGTGGCAAGAGCAAGAAGAGAATGGGGGTAGCCAAAGGGATGAATGAATAACTAATTGACTGAGCTGATAGCAGCTTGCCTGTCAAAAAACAAAGAGGTGAATCTGAGGTCAGAGTAAAGCTACCTAGCCTACGAATAACAATGAGGAGCAGAAGATGAATCAACTAGGGGAAGAAGAGGTATATGAGTGGGATGGAGGTGGAGAGGGAGAGGGAGAGGGGAGTGACAGAAGAGAGGAATGGGAATGGGAAGTGCAAGACAGGTAGATATTCTGGGATTGGCGGAGTAGTTAGTGTGGCTTAAGGGAGAAACAGCTTACATCAACCAATAACTGGTCTTTGATGTAAGGTATCTAAGGGACTAAGAGTGAGAAGAAGGGCGTAGTCAGAGAGTGTGAAACAGCGAGGAAGAGTTGGAAGGGTTTGTGAGAGGGGAGATTGAGAAACCAAAGGGAAGCGGAGGCGGACGAAAATTGACATGCTGACTGATATCTGACTGATGGAGCATTCCTTTGAGAAAGACACAGTAAAGCAGCCTCGTATATTAGGAGTCCAGACCGCGACTCAGGGTATGCGGGTGGTTGGGTTCAATAGACGAATCCGTGGGGGATTTGGGGGATTTGGCTTGTTCATTAGTTGAAGCCTCGCTGTTAGAGCGGGGGAATGAATGAGCCTTAGGCTGCAAGGGTGAATGGCCGGCGCTGGTTTAGAGGTACAGCATGCTTGATTATAAATCCACCGTGCAAGCCCACAGGCTGATGCAAGGATGTGATCGCATGCAGGCCGCTGTTATCAGATCAATATTAAAGGTTCATGCAGAGTCTGGAGTTAAACTATCTGAGTTCAAAATGCAAAGATTCTACTGTTGGAAATGGATGATTGTTCCGATTGGCTTATTCAAAAGGGGCGGGAATCGCCCACACATCCCCCACATAAAAATATTGCCCACAAGTCTCTCTCTCAAATTAGGAGTCATGTCATTACGGAGTACTCCCCGTGGAGTCCTTATCCTTCAGGAGTCCCAATCTCCCTGCTGCACACGGAGCCAACTTCCAATATCTTCCCTGTGCCATGGAATCCCGTGGTTGGTTCACAGGAATCCACCTACGTCAGCATACGGCAGCAGCACGCACTGTCAGCGTCTGACTCAACGGCAGTTTTCAATGTGCCCGCGCTAGAAAGTGGAACTAGCTCCAAATGCCGCAAAAAAAAATTCCCCCGAGTCGCCGACCCCAACTCTGATTCAAGCCGGAGAAAAAAAGAAAAAAAAAGAAAAGTAACAATCGGACGGTGAGTACGCGGCCGCATGCGACCCTCCCCCTCTCGCGTTTCCCGAACGGGCCTTGGCCTGACCTCGCGGACCCCAACCATTGGCCGCGTCGGTCGTGCCGTCAACCCTTCGGGTTTGACGCGCCTCCACCTCGCCGCTTGGAGTTACATCATCAACGCGGTCTGAAAATCTATATAAGATCGCTCCTCTTCCCCTCTCGCCCACACACCTTCCCTCTTCCCAATTTCCCACCTCGTCTCACTCTTCCCCATCCCCCATCCCCCATCCCCCATCCCCCCCCAGCTTAGGCTCAGCCTGCCGCACTACCAAAGATATCTGCCAATCTCCCTTGCCAAACTTGTTTTGCCATTGCATTTCATGTGTTGCATTGTGATCCATCCCTTCTTTGCAGGTAGTTCCCAGGTTAGAGTAAAAGAAGTGAAGCATTTTTTGAAAATACTGAGATCTATTCACAGCATATAGGAAAAGTTTTTCATAGACTTTGAGCACTTTGTCAAAGAAGGAGCATTTCTAGTTGTCACTCTATAAAAGTATCAGTTTTTTCTCTTTTTAAAAGCATTGCTTGCAGAATGAGAATCACAGCTTTCCCAAATCTCAATCTCAAAAACATACATGTATGTGTTGAGCAAAACTTGACTGCAGTCACAATAAACAAGATTCAGTTCTATCAACTCTCAAATCTCATGAATTCTTTCAAACTACTATAGAGTCTCAAACTTTCTGCAATCTCTGCACAGTTATAGCTTCTCAATAATATGTCAGCACAGAGACTCATTTTCACTGCTAACACATCTTCTTCTCTATCTTGTCTTTTACAGTAACTCAGACACTTATTGCCTTCTCCTCCTCCCTCTCATCTGTCTCTCTTGATTACATTTTTCATTTCTTCTTCATCTGCAAGTCAATGGTCTTAGTCATCTGAAACTTCAGAAAATAACTTTGACAGAATTTTGAAGGAGATTTTGTCAGATGATGAAAGTCAATCTCTTTGCAGAAGTCAAAGAAACATCAATGATCATGCTGCTATCCTTCTCATTAAGTTAGATTTTAGTAATTTTTCTAACAACTGCTTTGATATAACTATTGAGATGAATACAGTCAAAGAAAGTGTCTCTGAAGCCTACTTTCATACATACCAGTCAGGTGCAAGTAGAGGTTGATTTTGAGATTTTTTCATAATGTTTCTTACTGACTTTACTGACTAGCTATTTCAGATGATCTCATCATCATCAATAACTCAATGAAGATTTATCATGACGATGAATTCACAACAGAGTCTGTAGATGTGTAGACATCTTAGCTATTATCATCTGCCAATAAGGCATTCATCAAAAAAGATGATGAATTAGATCTGATGGCAAATGGTAGTACTGCATTGACTTCACGAGAAGTTTTAGGTAAAGCTCATTTTATTATAGTTTTGATTTTCACTGATCTGCAACAGAAATATCTCTGCTTATCATGAGTGAATTGACCTCTTCTTACAATGCCCACATTCATATCTTTTCACATTTATAAAGTGAAATTTCTTCAATTTCAGTTGAATACATAACTAAGAAGAAGTGGTTGATAAAAATGATATTGAACTTTCAGATCTATATGAAAGGAGGAAAGAAAAAAGAGAGAGAAATAATAAGACAATACTGAAGTACCTTGTCACATGAAAGACTACTTAGCAAACTAGACAGATACATCAATTGTGTTTCAGATATATTAAGCTTTCTGCAATCCTAGCTGTATGTAACAGAATGAGGAAGAGATGATCAGTAAAGAAGATACTATATTTTCAGATCTGAGTATGAGAAGATAAGGAATTTTTGAAGAATCATGTTTTATAAAAGTCCATCTGATAATCATGAAGTGATTTGATTACAAGTTATAAGAAATTGATTAGAAAATTTCATGCAGAATAGAAGAACAAATAGTCTTTATTTGACTACTCTGATAGATTATAGATATTTCAAACAAAGACAGATTGCTTAGAGATAGTAAATGCAAAATTGTAAAGTCAATTGAATAGAATCTTCATTAGTATAACTATATAATGTCATTCTTGACATATTTCATTCCAGTCTAGGAGCTCTATTGATATTATATATCAGATTAGAGTTCAGAGTTTATCTTGCCTACAGCTATGATATGATATTTCTTTGTTTATTTTTCTTTGTTCATATCTTATGTAGAGTAGGAGATCACAGAGAGACTGTGAATATAAGATTGTAAAGTTGATTGAATAGAATCTTCATTAGTGTAATTAAAATTTTTGATTTCAATTTGTTCTATATTATATCTGTTTTATTTGTTTGCTTTTTGTTTTTTGTTTGCTTTTCATATTTCATTCTGATCTAGAAAGCACTATTGAGATTATTTATTATATTCTAGACTGAGGTCTATCTTTACTACAACTATAATATAATATTTTTTTGGTTCATGTTCATTTGTTTATATCTTGTTTGTTTGCTCTGCTATCTCTTTTCTTTTCTTTGTTTCTTCCGTCTTTGTTTTTCTGTTTCATTTTATTTGCATATTTTTCTAGCTTTGAAGAGGAGTTTTAGGATTTAACACTAGAGTCTGAATAGTTTCATTCTTAGAATGAGGTCTAAAATATATTAAAAAAATGAATCAACAACAACAGATTATAAAGAATATTAAAGATTATTTCATATCATAGTACAAAATATGATTGCTAAAAAGACAAAGAAAAGTATAAAAGGTCTATTATATTTCTGTACTATCTGCACAATCCTCTGATTTTTGAGGACTTCTTCTTCAGCTTACTCAGCACTTTCTGTTGAACATCTTTGTACTGCACCACATCTAGGACAGCTGGGAATAAGGTTTCAGAAGGAGATGGACACCATGTTTCTGTTGGCACAAATGGGCCATCTGCTGAGTCAGGCTCAAGAACAATTTCATCATCCTGCATATCATCCGGATCGCCAAATCCGTTTGTATTCAGCCAAATTCTTGAGAAAACACTTCCAGAAGGCTGGTATGAATCGGCAAGAAGAATAAAACAAAAGAAAAAAGAGACCACGATGGTCACAGGAGTCCAATACCTTTTCTAAAGATGACTGATGCCGATGTAAAGCCATGATTGATAAAATCGATAAAGAGATTGTGGTAGGCTCTGCGTGAAGAAAGCGGAATGGAAAACTGTTGGCTTCGTCCGTATTTAATAGATACATGTAGCTTGTCATAAGATAACCCTTTTGACACGGCGGTTGATCATCGTCTCGGTGTATGAACAACTCACATTCGTGACTATATAAAAAGTTATTAGATAGCAATACTTATCTACACCACGTACGATCGTAGTTTGTAACAGGGCCCGGGCATTTGCCTGTTTTCGCCAATCCGTGGGGGAACAAAATAGAACTCTTTTCGATTTCTCTCTCAGAATTGATACCATAATACATACATAGGAAGTCATGGACAAAGAAGACGTATGGACCTAAAGAAACAAAAGTAGCCGACACACTGGCTTCGTGAGTACACGGGGATGGCTCACATCCGCCAATTGTTGACTCCCTGATCATGCGATGCAAGCATACCAATGTACCACAAAGCAAGCATAACAGTCAATCGCGGTTGGGTGGCAGTTCCTCCTGTGGTCCAAAGGATTGGTTGAGCGAGCTCAAGATTTCCATTTTCGACCAGCTTCCGGATTGCGACTAGTTCTTGGTTGGTGACAAGGAACCCATAGCGACTGTTGTGCTGGTTCATATAAAAATTAACCTGGCTTAACGCTTGGTGATACTCATTTCGTTGACTGACAATTTGGCTCCCTCCCATGTCGGTTCTCCATTTCCACGAGGGCTTGACATCTCCTGGAGCACGGTTGGGTGCAGTTGCTGGAGCCGCATGAATGTCGAAATATGCAGTATCAGGTTTATAATTTTCAATTGCTCGTGCTGCTTTGCCAACATCAAAACACAGTTCTGTGCGACCCTGCATTCCTCCATTGTTTGCTAAAAAAGAAAATCCAACTCGCAATGAGCGTCGAATGCGTGGTCTCAAAATCTCGCAGATTTGCGCTTGGAGAACATTTTCAGCGGTAATGGGTCGTGGTGGAGAGACTGGCATAGGGTCAGCCGCGATCACCGCGCCGTTCAAGACATATGGTACTGCTGGAGAATTGTCTCGAGATTAAAGCCCTGCCAGATCTGGAGCCCTCGGATGTTGAGATAACTGTATGCTTGATTCGTAGTGTTGCGGCCTATCTGGGGTGGGGGGTGGACCGGAACTGCTGCCAGTGGCTGCTGCAAGAACGTGATAAGCGTGACCTGAGCCATAAGATGAAAAGAGAGATTCAAGCCTGGAACTTTTTAATAACGGCACACATCCTAAGTTGATTCTTCTAGGACACGTTTCGGCTATATATATTTGAGTTGAAACCAAGAAAAACAAATTATGTCTCCCCAATAAGGCGATGCCGCAGGATATGGGGTGTTTGTTGAAGCATCACAAACCGAATTCAATTGGCTAACTGAAGGGACCAAGTTTCGTACTTGTTGCTGAGCGTTGACACATCCAAAACCACTCAACGTGTCTAGCATTTGTATCGAATGACAACCAATCGCTCCTCCACAAGATTTACGTGCTTGACATAGACTCGTTAAAATCGCAACTCAGTGGAGCCATAAGGTCGAGTCCATTGGGGTAGACTCAAAATTTCTGGAAGCCATGTACTGATTGAAATTGAGCAAACAAATCAAACTATTCCCTGCTCTCTTCTCTCTTAAGGCTCAACGTTTCCCCGCAAACCTCGAATTTTGAAGGGGACAAAGCAAACTCGAAGATCGAAACACAACATCTCATGGATTTTACTGACGTTGACCCCTCTGAGATAACATTTAAGTGAAAGCTTTTCAGCTCAGAATTCTCAGAAATATTCCTTGTTCATATTCGCAACAAGGTATGTGTAATGAAAGTGGTCTGTGTACCCTTAGGCTTTTCAAAACAACAGTTCATTCTAACATTTGGGACAGCATCATGACAACGGGCCACTCCAGCCCGCACCTCCTGAGCGCGAAACAAACATTCACATCTGCGAATCGACTGCCTACAGACGACTAAATGAAGCACGGCCTTTGCGACCGCGGAATCGTGCCTCGGTTCTATGGGACAATGGAACGGATGGACTTATCACACTATCAACCTCATCTGAAGATGTTTCTTAATGACAAGAATCCTCCTAGCGCCATCCCCTTGGAGTACATTCCACAAATGGAGATGATCTATCCGCACAATTTTACAAAGGAGCGGGGAGAGGCTTTGATCCGTGGCATCCGAGAGATTCACAGAGCGTTGGTTCTGCATTGCGACGCCAAACCGAGGAACATGATGATTGTCAGGAATGACCCCGAAAGAGTGGTCTGGTTAGACTTCGACAGAGCCCAGACCTATCACGCAGATAGCCTTACCGAGAGACAACGAGGATTTATTGAGGATGAAGAGCTAATGGTGTCTCAACTCGCAGATTCACTAGTGAGTGTCTACTGTTTACAGCAACTTAGGTCATAGTCAAACACTAACCAGGACCATAACTTTCTTCTTACAGGAAGCTGATCATGCACGAGGCGAGATTGCTGAGACTTATCTCTACTATTGCACCTAGCCAATTTTCTCTGCATTGGGATAGGAATGCACTTGCGGAGATGGTGCGATAACCTTTCGGTACTGCAGCGTGAGGAATAGCATTCAATGATCGATGAAAATATTGGTAGATCGTTGAAGGGGCCATAGTTTTTAAAAGTCCAAACCATGAACATAGGGTCTGGTGGCTCAGGATGGCGACTCTGTAAATTTAAAAAAAAAAAAACTTGGACCTCGTTCCTATCAATATTTTCAACAATTTTGTGGCAGATCGTCTCCGTCGACATCGCTGAACATTGCCCTGGTGTGGCGGTTATCGTTTTAGTCTTTGACTTGGCATCCAAACTCCGGGATGTGCTATAGAATCTGGTGAGGAGGGAAATTCGTTTGGGGACAGCATTCCGTTAGGATGCTGGGTATTTCCACCGCATCCGCTTGCATCACCCATACAAATGACCGGAATTCCCGCCCAAACACCCAATTAGCCCGAAATTTTTTTTGCGATTACCGGTCTCAGAGGGTCCATAACGTCCATTAAAAAGCTCCTGAAAACCAACATACCTTTGGACTGCGGCCACCTCCAGATATTTATTAGTGTTCAACTTGTTCCCATCTTTTTTCATGAAATATTTGCTGGGGCTTATATATCCTTGTGATCATCTAGCGATTTAGTAAGCCGTCTAAGTGGAGTGGACATAATTCGCCACGAACAAGAGCAATCATTAATTCTATTTAGTAACGTGATTTACCACTAAATGAGCCGCTCTCAGCAAAACTGCCTCAACTTGCTAGAATCTAATTAATTCCACAACAACAAAATAAATATTAATTAGATTATTAAATAGTAATGAGAGTATTCTCTAGTTTCATACAAAAAAGGTGGTTTAATAAAATAGATATGTGCTTGACTGAAGAACACAGCCATGGCAGGAGATCTAGCATAGAGTAAGAAGATTGATCAAAGAAGTGTTAATTTCTGAATTAGTAGTAGAAACAACAGTAAGCTGCTCTGAGAGATTGAGATTGACCTCATTTCCTAGACTGGAAAGTCAGATAGGGTTTAAAGAATTAGAATCTGTTGTAGATGCCTGCTTCTGCTATTACTTTGAAGCAGCTGTAGTTGAACTGACTGATTTTTACTTTGCAGCATGAGTATGAGTTTGTTCTTGCTTCTCAGCTTTAAGTTGAGTCTTTTTAGCCTTTCTAGCAAGCTGCTAAGCTTTGCACTACTCTGTCTTTCTAGTTTTCTCTTCCTTATGAGCTTTGTGAGCTGTTGTCTGGGCTGTTTGTTGTTCAATTTGTTTTTGCTGGGCCTCTTCAGCTTCTTATGTTATTCAGAGATCATATTGAAGTTGCTTTTGAGCTTGTTGAGCAGCTTTCTTCTCTTTTTTATAATCTACTTTTTGAATCCTCTCATGAGCTTGTTGAATCTTAAATGATGAGAAGAATTGAGTCTGATCAGACTGCTGCTCTGAATTCAATAGATCTAAGAGCTTTCCACATTGTCATCATTTCTTTTCATTGTATAAAGCTTTAATTAGAGCTTTATTCTCATGTGCAAGCATCTTCTTTTCAAAGACAAACTTTTCACTAGCATATATAATCTTTTCCATGTCTTTAAAGAGCAGACTTTACAAAATTTGAATTCTCTTAATATCATGTTAATGTTAGGGAGCGGATGTGAGCTGCCTAAGATAGAATCTCTCTGCGTTGCTAACTGCTATATAACGAAATACTAAGCTTGATGGGATGAAAGGGGCGTCCACGGTGCGTGGAGCGTGGCAGTATTGGACAATGGCCAGCGTAAAGCAGCCGTCGAGCTAGTCGACATCCGGCCTTCTGCTCACCGTTTGAACGTTTAAACTAGAAAAATCTCTAAGTGCTCGAAGCTTGATATTTGCGCCAGTTACAATTATCTCCTTCTGCTCCCATTCCCGATTCTTGGGTAGTCTGGGGAAAGGCTGATCTTTACCTTGGCCTGATTTTCGGGGGAAATGATTCTGGCCCTTAGTTCTAGCCTCCTTATCCCAAGTTACGACCTTTGCAGATGCAACAGTGCAAGCGATATCTCCGGCCCCCATGCACCTGTTTCCTGGTCATACTATAGAGAAGGCCATGTTCTGTTGCCTTAGGGTGGTTTTTGCCTCTTCCACAATGGATGATGGTCTCGATATCATCATGGTTATGAAGTTTACCCGCATCCTGTTTCTTGTGATCGATTCCCTTTAAACTCATCAACAGTCGTCGTATTCGCATAAATACAGCGCAAACAACGAAACAAGCGTTCAACCCGCAGAAACTAGGTATTTCCGAAGTCGGCAGTTGGTGTGGAGTCAACGAATTTGAAACCATGTGGGTTTGTGTGACTCAGGCTACACCGTCATATTCTTCAAAATACGAGATTGTTTGATGCTTTTTTAGGATTTGTTCAAAAAGAACTGAAATCTTTTTCATCATTTCTTTGCTAGTGCTTGTGCGAGAGCCAGTTAAATTTATTGACAGTGTGGTCTAGGTCCTTTGTCTAGAACTCCTGCTTCATAGTCATTGAGTGGGAATTATGCATGCTTGCATGGCATATTGGTGAGGAAGAGTTGAAACCCTACCTACCAACCAACCATCCAACCATAATTCCGCGGACGCGCCTCACCTCATGAACCCGATTGATAAATGAGAATAAAAAGCGAGATCTGATAAATATAAGCCCAGCTTGGTTGCATCTGCATCTCCTTCTCTCTTCCTCGCGAATGTAGCGCGCTTAAATACATGTTATTAATTGAGAAAAAAAAAAAAGAGTAAGAAAGGAGATGTTGATGCGGGAAGTAGTGTAAATAGGGGAAGAAAGCATAGAGCAAGAATAGAATCTCGTGCGAATGAACCATTTCAATTCCGCTTTATCTTCAATATACGTGATGATTTGTTCTTCTGTGCTTGCATTCTGTCTGCTCTGACAAGAATATGGTTCAGTTACATGCTGCTTGGTTGTTGTGAATTTTGCCAATTTCTGGGGCATTCTCATTCTTCCCCAAATAGTAGTAATGACCATCTTTAGCATATGGCTGGTGTTCTCATGAGGGAAATCCCGCGAAACAATTACCAGGAGGTGCTGGAACAAATATGCCGCTGTATGTTGTTTATGCGCAATAAGGCCCGCATTTATGTTTTGCCTTTCCCAAGTCATGACAGTCATGACAAATAAGACGTTCAACAAGTGAATTTCTACCGATTGAAACAGAAACAAACGTAGACAAAATGGAGCGTGTGATGCTGTTTAATGCATTGTGGTGTATTGGCTGCTTCAACATGTGTGAGACCGTTCAGAAGTTGAGAAGTTGAGAGTTTGTCGTTTTCGGCATGCCGAAAAGGCTAGTTAACCCTCGGGCCGGATGGCACCTATAAGCAGTTTGCATCACGTGATACAGAGCTTAACCTTCCCCAGCCTAACCGCCTTCAACTAAATCCGAATCAACTTTTTCCTACCTCACCGTCAGTTTCCCTATAATTTGCAGAGCCTTGCAGCCCATTTTATTTTGTATAATTATTACAGTGCATCTAACCACCTACCCACTGCGAACCTCACGAGAAAAATGAACGCAGAAGTTGTCGCCTTGGAGGCGGAAGTGAAGGAATTCAAAATACAGGTATATCCTGATCAGTATTTTCCTCACTCCATTTGTCTTGAATTTCCGTGTCGGCATTTCGGAGATATACTCCGCACATAAGTCTAACGATCTTATAGCTTGAAGCTGTACAATCGAGCTTGCAGGTAGATCCAGACAATTCGGAACTGCAGGGCCTGAAGACTGAACTTGAAGAATTCATATCCCTCACGGAGCAATCCATCTCGGAATTGCGGCCTACGCAACCGAAGTCGAAACCCTCCCCTCCTCCTGTCAAAGAGAAATGGTCAAAAGAGAACCACCCAGCATACCAAGCGGGCTACAAAAAGCCTACCGTCGAACCTGCGCCACTCGAGGAATCTCAGCCATCACCTCCCGTATCCTTCTCCGTAAACGATAATGTCCTGGCACGGTGGGCATCGGGAGATAATTCATTCTACCCGGCCCGCATTACATCTATTACTGGCTCATCCACGAACCCCATATATATAGTTTCCTTCAAGTCATACGGAACTACTGAAACTTTGACGGCAAAGGACATCAAACCTATTTCTGACACGCGAAAACGCAAGGCTGATGGCATGCCAGGCACCTCATCTCCGCAGACTGTCCCTGCCAATTCCAGTGTGATTTCTGCAGCGGCTGATATCAATCCTGCCCTGGCCAACCAGGCGCGCAAAGAGCCAAATAAAGTCAGCGACGGCCCCCCGCGCCCAGCTAAGATGCCCCGGAAAGTCAAAGCCACAAGGGAGCTCGAGGCCGGGAAGTCGAAATGGCAGGACTTTGCGGCCAAGAGTAAGATGGGGAAGGCTGGGAAGAAGGAGAGCATGTTTCGCACACCTGAAGGCATCAACGCACGAGGTATGATCCGCTCCCCTATATCCCCCCCACCCCAAAAATTGGCACTTTACATATACACTGCCGTGATGTTCCTTGTAAGGGTAGCGTATGTGCTAACTCCGATTTTGTTGCAGTTGGTTTTACCGGTTCTGGTCAACAAATGCGCAAGGATCCTGCGAGAAGTCGACATATCTATCAACAAGCCGAAGACGATTATTGATGAAACCTTTTCTCCACGTACTAACTTCAAAAGGTGTTCGGCAACGCTAGAGGGGAAACTTTTTTTTTCTTTTCTCTTTTCTTTTGGGCTCTGATTAACTCTTCCTTTTCCCTTCCCTTCCGTGCTTTGCGGCTAGAACTTCCTTTTCATCCTTTATTTTTCTTTTCTTCTTTTCTTTTTCTTTTCTTTTCTTTTCTTTTTTTTTTTGGAAAATTCTCGTCGCTAACTTCGCATCATGGTCCCGAGCAGATTGTTTACTTTTGTTACCAAATATCCAGGGGCAAGGGAGTTACATAAACACACTTTTTTCGGCAGCTTCTTTGTTATTCGAGGGCATTGTATAAAGGGTATTATTCATTCGTGCGTCTGAGATAGATGCACTCTCTCTTTTCTCACTTTCTTCAATTATCATACTTTATTTTAATGAATCTATCTGATAAAACGAAGCGGGGCATGTTATTCTAACCAACTTACACGTTGGAGACTCGCATACTTGGGTGTACCATACACACACCGGAGCTGCCCGACAGGAGCGGAAATAAGGAGCAGCCGATCAGGATGAGTAGGTAATATTTGTCGTTCAAACAAAATCTAAATAGATTAAAGAAATGCTTATATCAGCAATCTCGACCTTTTTATTTCGGAAATATGAGCTTATTTGGTGGGTGGCCTGGTGAGATATTTAGCCCCTTCATAACATGGGGAAGAAACAATGTCAGCGACACGATCTTCTCCGTAGATCAGAGATTCAGTTTGCAAAATATTCCCTATTAGATCTCACACCCTAAAAAGATTCTCCACACGTGTGTCCATGATATATAGTCAACCATTTCCTGACCTCCTCTTCCTGCAATTTGATACCGTTTTCATTCTTCCACTTTCAATTCGCATCCCCCTCCTTACCCCGCGCGCTCTACATACAGCAATCACCATGGATCAATCTGACCCGAGCCACAAATCATTCACCGAGACCCAGGACTGCGGTATACCCCTTGACGTAAGCTCTGCTGAACCGTCAAAAGATACCGTAGAGGAGAAGAAAGCAGAGAGGAAGGTTCCTTGGATGCATCTAGGCAATCCCAACACACTATCAAACGGATTGTCTGAGTCTTTTACGATGATTGTGACTCCATCCGAGCGTGCGAAATTGAGGTTTAGTATCAGGGGTTCTGCAATATGTAGGTGGTTTCTTTTCAAATTTATAGTTTTCTGTGGTTCTTATTTTATGGACAATTCATTTATGATGTATTAGGAATTTCCTTGCTTTGCGTCGATTTCGGATATCATCTACCCCTACCCCATGGATATAGTTCCTACATAGATACATCGGTGGTAGCACTCAACAATGTTCTCCTTTTGTATATTGTTTTATGCAACATCTCTCTCAAATCAGATAGCCTAACATTTATGGCTGATTGGCCGGCAATTCCTACACAGGATTTTATTGCGCTTGTTGTATGGATGATAATATGAGTATGGGGAATGCACTACCACCCCAAATAAGTATGCTAACAAGTTTCAAGTGACCGGCGGAGCTGGAGCTCTCGCCCTCGCCTCTGCCCGTGCTCTCCTTGAACATGGTCTTTCAGGCCTAGGCCTCCTGGATCTTCCAGATTCTTTCAAGAAAGCTGACATCTCCGATGCGATTCATGCTCTCCGCAAAGATTTCCCTTCAGCGACAATCCTCAGCGCAGGCATCGATGTTACAGACGCGGAGAGTGTGCCGAGGGTCGTTGAAAACATGCGATCTCAGCTCGGTCCCCTGAACATCCTGTGCTGCTTTGCGGGCATAGTAAATTGTGTACTTGCGGAGGACATGCCCGCAGACCAGTGGAGGAAGGTCCTCGATGTTAACACAACTGGGACATGGCTGGTTACGCAGGCTGTTGGAAAGTAGGTGATAGAAAAAACATTGATAACGCCCCTTTACAACTAAGGTCCATTTTGGTTAACCACCCAGACACATGATATCTGACTCCGCCGCCGGCCGTATTGTCCTAATATCCTCCATCAGCGGTCATCGTGTAAACTTCCCGCAGCCCCAAGTTGCCTATAACGTCTCCAAAGCTGGAATATTGCACATGCGCGCCTCTCTTGCAGCCGAATGGGGCCGGTATGGAATCCATGTTAACTCCATCTCGCCCGGATACATGGACACGGTGCTCAATGCCGGTGATTCGCTGGCGCCGTTCCGCCAGGTCTGGGCGGATAGGAACCCGATGGGTAGAATGGGAGACCCGCAAGAGTTGACGGGAGCTGTGGTGTTTTTGTGTAGTGAGGTTGCGGGTAGTTATGTGAATGGAGCAGATATTGTCGTTGATGGTGAGTTCAGATGAGTTTTCGAGCCACTCTTATTTTATTTTCTTCCATTTTTCTTTTATGATCCCTTCACACTTGTTGAAATCTGAAAAAGGCAGGGGGCTGGTTGAATATGGGAATTCTTTCTTTTTTGCTAATAAATATTTTGTATTAACTAGGTGGAGGTTTGGTCTTCTAAGTTTCGATAGGGAGCATTGTTAAATATCGGGTAAGATAACCTCATGAGGGACTTATTGTCATCCTCAGGTCCCATCTTTCCACCACCCTTCGAGGTCGAAAGAATCACGCGAAGAAAAATGGATATGGTTGGATATGGATTGCTCTGTTATATAAACTTATATAGTTCTCATTATATTGGCAGCAGATCTGCCTTCAGAGCTGGCAGTGGGCGACAAAACCATGACACAGGAAGGAAAAGAAGAATATATCATTTCCCACTTCTAAACTCCTAATTCCTAAATAGCTTGAGGCCATTCTCCTCAAGATGATCATCTTCATCCTCCATAACCTTATCCTCATCGTCATCATCACCCAGAATCTCCTGTGCATTTCTTCCCAACAACGAAGCGAAGAACTCCTCTCGGGCTTGATCACCCCAAGAACCACGATACTCCGGAGCCATGAAATTCTGTAATTTTTCATGGACCGTATACCGCATCTTACGGCCTTTGGAAGCCTTGGTATCCACGACTCTTTTAACCTTATCTTTGCGCATTCCGGTTGTAGGATGTATATTAAGACGCGTAGGAAGTTCTATCTGCAAATCTTCAACGCCATTGTTGGTAGCTGACATGCGCTCCTCAACAAGGTCGCGAAGCAGAGTTTGGTAGAACATAGTATCATGATAGATTTCGTTAGAGGTGTGAGGGTCGGATGAACCATTTGTTTGAGATTGTCCGGAATTTTCCGTCATGGCACGTTTGGATTGACGACTTTCAATCTCCGCTGCTACATGTGCATCCAACACAGCGGTTATTGTTTGTTGGTCGGCCGCTCCATGATTTAATAGTTTGCCTCTGGCATTTGGTAATGTCGCTCGCGAGCCACGCGTCTTGAGAGCCCATTTATCAAGGACGGCACGACGGTGAGGGCGCGCTTCAGCTTCAAGCTCCTCCATGCAATTCCATATATCTGCAGAAGAAGTGGAAGGGGTTGGAGGCGGGCCACGTTTTCTTTTTGTCGAAAAGGTAGCGTTGTGAGTCTGGGCGTCTGCGAGTGTATGACGAAGATCTTCGATTGTTCTCCAAAGGGTTAGAGCAGCAGCCTCAGCGGCTTTGATAGAGGCTTGGTCCGTTGCATTGTCATGTTCGTTTGAAGGAGCTAGGCTGTTAAGAGCCGTAATGCCTCTTTGAAGTTTAATCCGGGAATTTAACATGGCTTCGAAAGTCAAACGTTGTCGCTTGATGGCGCTTCCCTTTGCTGCATCTGCCTTGGCGGCATGGGATAGAGACACGGCAACAGTTTTGTGGTCTGAAGCCATTAGTCGTCTTATTTCTGCTCTGTCATCTGTTGGGACAATCGGTTCTCTATCATCGTCATATACATCCCCATCTTCGGAATTATCGCTCCCGGAATCATCTTCGTCGCTATCCTCCTCTTCACCCTCGTCAAAACCTCTGAATTCTCCATCTTCTTCAGGATCAGTCCGTCCATCTAACTCTTCCTCAGACCCCAGCTCATTAGACAGATCGTCAGAATGAGTCCCCAAGTCTAAGTGCTTCGTCGTTTTGCTGCAACGGGAAGTGGCATCCTTGAAATGATCAACGTGGTTTTCCCCAAGAGCCTCATCGCTATCATTTTCTCCATCGGAACCATCTTCCCCGGTTTCCAGACCATTTTCCAATTCGTCTAGCTCCTCGGATATCTCGTCCGAATCGTCTTCACTTGAAGCTTTGCGGAATGGATCGTCTTCGCCGTCATCGCACTCAAGCGCCCCTCGGCTAACTCGGGATCCTGCGTATTCACGTCCGAGGGATGGCTTTTCCGGTTTACGGAGCTTACTCTTCCTGTTGGAGAGTTAGACAGATTTATTCGTGCGAACATTATGGATGTAAAAAGAGATACGCACCCAACAGCTACATAGTGCTCTCGGGCAGCAGCGGCATTATCATCCTCCGCCCCAGAAGACTGATCTTCGCTGCTTTCCCCATCGTCATTCAAATCCTCAGGATCAAAATCTATATAACTCAGTTAGTTGCAACCGGAGATCGTAGGTAGCTGTGCATCGGATTGTAGGTTCACCTCTGGAAGTTGGGTTTTCTAGCTCAGCAATCTGCTCTGCTAAGGATTTGACTTGTCCATGCTTCTTCAACATGGTGGCTGCCTTTCGTTGCAAGCTTCCACAGCGTGGCAGCAGAGCAGGAGTTTGGTGCTTTATGTATATTTTTGTAGTTTTGTCTTTTGATGTTAAATTTTCCTTTGTCAGGTAAAATTTGCCTTTCTCCGCTTCTCATTGCCAAGTCACATGACCAAACATCGAATTGCGACCTCTTCAGCTCTAAAGGGATCAGCTAGACTCTAACATATCTTAACAACGTTGATGACAGAAAGCTGAGTTGGGTGATATTTCGCAATGTAAACACCAGTGTTTACCATATATTGGGATCAGTTCTCCTGCGCCAATATGCGGCGCAGCTTGTTTTCTACCCTGCGGCCGCTTCACCACGATAATCCACTGGTACATATATCAATCCTTCCGCGACTCACTACACAGAACTAAGACGGTGATTCCAGGGCCTGCCCCGTTCTGGAACGCCACCACCATTCCCTCGTCGACGAGGTCTTCCCGAGAAAAGGAAAATTCAAGATGTCAATAAAGTGGTTGCTGTCTCTTCGGCCAAGGGCGGGGTTGGGAAATCTACAATTGCTGGTATACGCCTCCGACTTCCTTACCGTTGGGTGGAGATGATGGCCTTTCTCGCATGAGTGGCCATTGGCTAACTATGTTAATTCACAGTGAACCTTGCCCTTGCAATGGCCCGTCGAGGTATTCGAGCCGGAATTCTCGACACAGACATTTTTGGTCCTTCCATACCAACTCTCCTAAACCTCTCTGGAGAACCTCGCCTTGACCAAAGTATGGGATATGAGCCATCACTTTTGTTACAATTGAAAATCTGGCCTAAGATCGATTATCTAATTTCTTTCCCAACGTAGATAACTGCCTCATACCTTTGACAAACTACGGCCTTAAATCCATGTCCATGGGATACCTCCTCCCAGCTCCACCTGCCGATTCCAAACACCTTACCGATGATCCAACCTCACCTATAATGGATACAACACCCATATCCTGGCGTGGCTTAATGGTTACGAAAGCAATGCACCAACTATTACACTCGGTATCATGGGGGCCCCTCGATATTCTTATCCTAGACCTACCTCCAGGAACGGGTGACGTACAACTCACAATCGGCCAGGAAATAATTCTTGACGGAGCGGTGATTGTGTCAACGCCCCAAGATATCGCTCTGCGTGATGCAGTCCGAGGTTTTGGTTTGTTCGAAAAATTAAATGTCCCAGTGCTCGGCATGGTGAGAAATATGGCATATTTTGCCTGTCCACATTGCGGCAAGGAAACGAAAATATTTTCTGGGAAAGGCTCTCAGCCATCTGAAATTGAGTTGGAGGCTGGACATCCTGAGTCACACAACGGTGGGGGCGTTTTATCAGCGTGTAAACGACTAGGTATAGATTTCCTGGGCGACATCCCTCTTGATGCACGCGTGTGTGAAGATGCGGACAGGGGGGTTCCAACCGTTGTGGCAGAGGAAAGTGATGAGTGCAGTACGAGGAGAAATGCTTTTATGAAAGTTGCCGAGCAAGTTGTGCGCAAGGTCGGATTAGAATGGCGGTAACGCAAGCCAACGATTCTAGATTAAAGAATCTTTGGTAATCTTTATTATACCTTGATGTGGCACTCTGAATGCAGTGTCAAAAGGAGTTCCTGGTCAACGCCTATTATAAGCCAAATTCTCGTTTTATATATAAATTTGGATATGCAGGTACCCGTCCAATTGTCCCACCCAATTGAGAGTATAAGTCTAATCAATCATCAAAAGCAATCCTAACGACACATACGAAAAAAAATTGAATGAAATTGGTGGACTAAAAGTACCATTCGGAACATGAAGTCTAGCAGCTTCCCAACCTCCACAGCTTGGGGGAAAACTGAACCCAAAAAATACAATGTCTCCCCAATTGCTAATCAATTATTGAGCCTGGTCTCCCGAGTAACTGTACTCCGTTCTATACAATTGAATAAATTTTTGCGTTATTGAGCTGAACCCTGTGAGGGGAATTTTCCATAATTGAAGGGGGAACTCGGTAAGATATTCAAAATCATACATTAGGTTTTCCATTCTCTTCCAAAAAAAGCCGTACCTTTGGTTCACTCGCACTTGCAACGCGATCAATCCCTTCCTTGCGTTTTGCAAGAAGCTGGCTATGATCAACGACTTGTGGAAAGGCATGACCTTCCCCGCTGGTTTGACTGCCGCCGCTATCCTGTATGCCATTCTGGATGGGGATAATTGAGGCAGTGGATGCGGTACCATTTGGGGACTTCTGTTCAAGCGGACTTTTGGAATTCGTATCCGGTCGTGCAGCAGTGGGGATGGGAGAGATGAACCCTTTCCCATCCTTTACGGCGCTTGCGTCATCTGTGTATTCTGGTGAAGACTGTCCGGAAGCTCCAGAGTCGTCCATAAACCCAGTATAGTCAGCGAGTTCTGGCTGAGATTCAATGGGCTGTATCGCCGGTGGCTGGCCAGAAGGCTCAGTGTTGGCATCTGGTAACCCTGTTGATGAGAAGTCCCGGCGTTCTGAGCCTAGGTGAAGCACAAGGACTGGAATAGATTCAGTAGCTTGGCCAAGATCCATTACGGTTTGCTGGAGGATGGTGTTTCTCCGTTTCTGTTTCATATGTGGTAGTAGTTTCTTGCGGAGAGAAGACCTAACAGAAGGTCGTTTGCCCTCCTGGTACTCCATCCCCATCATAATTCTTTCATTCTCCATGGTCTTCGTGTCATATTTGGATGCTAGAAGACTCCAGAACCACATCGCGTGGTTCTTATGTTCCTGTTCTTCATATGCTACAGAAATATCCTTCCTTGATGCCAATGCGCATGGTGGGGGGAATTCTCCAAGCCGAAATACACCAATCCCCCGCATAATCTCCTCGAGCCTCTGTTGCTGACAGGCTGATTTTTCCTTTGAAAAGGCGCTATCCCACGCCTCCTTGGCTCTCAGCCATTTCCGGACTGGTCCCGGTTTAGGGATGCCAATTTCTTCAGGAGTTATATGCAATGCGGTAAGATAAGCTCTTGCTGCCAAGGGATATATATTGCCATCTATATCAACTCGTTGACGGATCATGTAGTCCTGGAAAGGCGGGAGAGGATCGCCAGCCTTTCCAATCTTGGTGAAACCCGAGTATGGACTGGGTGACATGCGGTCTTGTGTCGCTGAATGTGGAGTGTCAACATCTCTGGACGAAATTTCCGACACCTGGTTAGGGATTTCAACGCCGGTCTGCTGGGCTCGAGCCAATGCCCAAGCGCCGAATTGGGCTATTGATCGAAACATATATTTGGCTGGCTGTGTGAAACTGAGCGTAGGGGCCACATGGCAAACATCATCCCATACTTGGAGCTGAACGAATGTTGGTGGATATCCATTGACAGCATTGCGGTGTGGGTCGTGAACGTTAAGGTATTCCTCGCTTGGTAGGTAGGAATGTGGATCGGTAGCTTTGTGAGCCAGGTAAATCTGTTCATCACGAAGCAGCTCCGAGCCTCCTGAAAGGACAAACATTGGCGGTAAGCCACCCAGGGAAGGTTGGAGAACAGGGGAAACAAGTGGATGGGATAGCAACTCGTTTGTGGTGTACATGTGGATCTGGTCTTTTATTTCAACGACTTTCCCGTCGATCTCGATCTCCAAGCAGTTGGCTCGATTAGGGAATATATCATAACTCTCGATAACTGAAGAGAACGATCGACGTCCCATTGAACTTTTCCAGCTACGTACAGATGGCACGTATCCAGGGGACCGCCGGACAGAAGTTTGGCTGTCCTCTGTCCTATTTGGAGGTAAGTGCCCTTCTGCTCGGGCAGTCCGTCCAACTCTCACGATTTCATCCAGCTCATCCGCGCTAGGGGGAGGCCATGACTTAGATGGGCGGTGCATGAAACCGTAAGGGGGGATGTAGTCCCCGTCCCCATTCCCGGACACCGATGGGAAGGAGTGTGTTAAGTCAACCCAAGGAGAGATTAGTATTGCTCCGGCGGGTAACGGCAGTCTTTGGTCGCGTATTGTAACCAAAACGCTAGATGAGATATCAGTCATTCAATGTTCCGAATCGCATATGATATGATAGGATACTTACGACAGGGCCATTCCAGCCCCTGCAGAGTCACCAGCTATTATAATTTCTGAAGACTTGTATCTGCTTAGCAGATAAAGATATGCTGCGAGGCAATCGTGCAGCCCGCAAGGGAAAGGGAACTGTGGAGCTAACCGGTATGCCGCTATTCACGGTTATAATTTGCTGGATTATGTTGACTTTGTTACAGCTTAGGTATAAGGTGGTAATAGACTTACTGCACACTACTGATTAGACCTTCATTGCCGTCTTGAAGGACAAAATATGAAAGCACGGAAATGCAAAGACTTACCGAGCAAAAACTCTAGCTTTCAGTTTCCTTGCATGTCTCTGTATCTGATATCGATGGGAATTCAAGCTGCCAAAATAGTATGCTCCTCCATGAATGTAGAGCATTATTCGATTGCAATGAGTACCCTGCCGCTGCCGGGCTGCTAAATCACGCACCGTCTCTATCCACTCCCCTTGGAGAGCGCGTTTACTTCCGCGCCACTGCCACCACTTGCTGCCCCCAACCCGCGACAGGCCATCTGGTCCCAATTGGATAATAAGGAGGTCGGCTGCCGCTGCGACGTGATCCTCGGGAATTACAACTGCATCAACGTTTATCCATCTGGGGTAAGGAACCCTCTGCGATGTAAACGACTGCAGGTCTTCAACCGTATGGAGAGAAGAGTAATAGAGAAAGCGACGAACGATATCCAGGCCTTCGTGATAAGAAATGCGTGCGGCATGTTTCTTTCGGTAGGCTTTGCGATTTGTATACTAGTTTGGGCTTTAGTTCCAAAGTTCGGGTAAAAACTATGTTCGGGGGTTCGTATTTACATGAGAGAGTAGTGTCGAAAGGACAGTGGGTGCCACCGCAACGCCAACAGTCAACGCATTGAAAGGCATCCTTTCTGCCTCCAATGGAAACTCTATGGAGTATTGATGTAGTTTCAATCGAGACTTGCGATAAAGGTTATCTAGGTACGAAGAACCAACCACTATGTTCCATTGTCGATGATGTCAACCCTTACTTAACCGAGCGAGGAAGCACTAACTAGTTTTAATCCGAGAGATGGGTGGCACGTGATAACTAACTATGGGCAAGGGCTGACATAATCCAGATATCTTCATTGGGACTTGAATAGTTTTCATGCTACCTTCGAATAATGCAGTGGATTCATTATCTTGCCAATTGTGTATACCTTACTCTGTACTCTGTTCTGGTATTCTCTTTGCCTGATCAACGATGAGAAGAAGACATCTAGTGAAACAAGCTGGGTTCAGTGGGCCGAATGATAGAGATTTTGCCCGAAGGCTGAGAGAATGGGAACCGACTCTTCATTGAACACCGCTCAATGATTGAGGCCGCGCGATATCAAGAACATGGCAAATTGTTACTGGGTTGGCCCGCAAAATACGAGTCCAGTCTTGTGGAATTGCGACTTTGGAGATGCATGGTCACGGAGCCCGTAACACAAGCAGATTTGATAGTAGCTATGTTTCGGCTATCAAGTTGTTGAACACGAAGGTTTTGAGGTCTGTTAGTTACATGAAGGATGTGAGGTAGATTCTTGAATTGACGGTTTGTTTACAAATTCTTTTGATCATAACCCGTTCCCTTTTTAACTCCAACCACATTTCATGGGACAGTAAAAATTTGCCCGTGTCCTTGAAAGTATCCCATCCCGACACGTCATAAAAGTAGAGCTGCTTGGCTGGGCCAACTAACTATCAGTAAATCAAGTCCCTCCGAGCGATCGTGCCGATGTGAGATCGATAATAACCTTGAAGCAACTCACCTTGCTTGCCAGAAACCTTGGCTGTTCATCAGGTCCATCCCAACCTTGTGCTCCGTAGAAAGCCCTCTTTCGTGGCGTTCCACTTGATTCTATTCACCAAGCCTGGACCTTAACTAGTTACCAAGATGCCGCCCCTCGGTTGTGAAAACTTAAGCAGTTCCTGATTTCCAATCCCCCATCAGATTGCCTGCTTCCAACTTCCTCCAACCTTATCTGCACAGCGAGACTTGTGTCCGATCGAAATCTTGAACTTTCACTCTAGTTTCCTGCACCATACGTTGATACCACAAGTTTGTTAGCTAATCAAGGCGGAACATTTTTAGCGTGGGTTGGATCTCAGCTATCTTAACGACTGTTAAAACGAACGGAGTTTTATTTTTTTTTGTTGGCACTTCATCGTGAAGGCCAACGCTGCCGGGCTGGGGTTGGCCCTCATGGGTGTCAATGCATCTTCGATGATCGAATCATCAATCAGAACAACCGCCACTTACACAGAGACATGGAAACTTTGCAAGCTGTGGCTGACTATGCTGTACAAACTCCGCCGACGCGACGCCACTTAAACTTGATGTCTGAGACTTCATGGATTGCGTCGGAAACAACGAATTGCACTTCATCTGGTTACTCTTGAATGATGACCATATGCCTTTCCAAGGGTGCCACTTTCTAGGTTTCTTTTTCTCCTGGAACCCAATAATTGAAAACCATGTGTTTTCTCTCGCTTGATCATTGTCGCCGATTTGCCTGCTCCCGAGTTGCTTTTTGCGCTATCTTTTAAATGCGTGGATGGAATTTTGGGGCAGTAACGGTTAAATAATCAATGTTAGCTGAGCGAATGGCCAAGCACGTATCTTTAATTTCCCTAATATCAAAAAAGGCTTCTTTCTCAGACGCAAAACTCAATATACCATCCACGTCGAATTCTGCTCTACAATGGCTGAGCTTTGGGATTGAGCTGAATGCAATGCAAGTGCTTGCTTGAGCAAAGCTCAATTGGGCGACTTTCTACGCCGCTTCTCGTTGTAGGATAAAAAGAGCAATTCCGGCAACCAAGCAGAATTCTCGCTACCAGTCATATCAGATCAAGGTGTTGGGGGCGGGAACACTGGGCAGCGGCAGCTACCTAACCAAGAGTACGAAGTGCGATGCCTCCAGTTCATCCAATCCAATTTTCCATTCCCTGTGCTTGTTCGTTCCATTGGCGAAACGGCTGCTCAAAACTGATTAGGGAAACGAGGCAGGGCAGGAAAAAGCCACGTTCCTGGGTGCAGCTAGCCTCCATCGTAAACTCGTAACTGAAGAGCATAAAAGAAGGCAGTTCACCCATTTCTCTGCTCTCGTAGTAGACTGCAGTGTTTTGTGCAAGATCTAAGCATTGAATACACCCAGGGCTCAGAATTCTACAAAAGACCTCACTTCGTTATTGTGAAAGCATCATGAAGTTACTTTTTCTGGCCGGGCTACTGAGCCTAGGGGCTCTCTCCACCCAGCAAACCCCGGAGTCAATCAATATTCAAAACAGTCCAAATTTCGTACCAAAGAACATCCTTCCAATCCCGATACCAAGGCCACGCATCCCAAAAGTCTTGAATGGGAAATGTGAAGATGGTATCTGTCATCCCGGCTATAAATGCGCTGGCCTTACTCCCCGTTCCGGAGGTCTCTGTTTGCTAGATCTCAAGGCCCCCAAATGCTACAATATCGGAGGTATGTACAGTACATATAAATACCTGAGCATCCTGAAACAACACAATGTGCGGGCATAGCCAAAGAGCCAGAGAAAAACGAGCTAATGGAATCCTCATATAGCGCGATGCATCGATGCCTCCGATTGCTGTGAATCCTTCGGCTTATGCGCGCCACCCCCTGCTGATCCGACCGGCAAAAAGGTGTGTCAGGAGGACCCGTGTCGCAATCCGACTCTTCTCGTCGAGTCATGGAAATCGTTGGCCTGGAGTGGGGACGGTGCATGGTCCTCTCATGGTGTTACCGACAGGTCAGGCTGCTGCCGAGCTTGTTTCAACACTGAGGGCTGCAACTTGTGGTTCCAGTTTTCTGGAGGCTCTTGTCAATTGCTGTCAAACTATGGTGGGGCCGAGCCGACCGATAAATGCCCGCGTGGATTGTGGGGTCGTATTTCGATCGGTAGTGGTGGTATAGGCGGGCCTGTAGGGGCAGGGCCTTGTCTTAACCCGGGTGAAGTCGTGGTTTCTTAGCAAATCACCTTAGGGTCTGCCATATATTTCCTCAAAAGTTGTTAGCAACGGGGAATTGCACTCTGTGCACTCTGTTCCAACGGCCATAGACAGTCATTTCTTTGGAACCTAATTTTATTCTATGCATGGCGACCTCCAGCCGTCGCAAGGGTGAAAATATCTATATCTATATGTATACATATATATACATATATACGTTTCATGTATTGAGCTCCGGGCTTCGGGATAGTTTCCGTATATTAAACAGAAGAACTAAGTGGAGGCCAAATGCTTGAAGTTACGGGTGAAGTTGTTCGATACACCCGTCAGGTGACTTAGTTAGAGCAGCGATCGCCCTAGTCCCGAATGGGGTCTGTCTCTTGGCAAATTCTCCACCACCAAAATACTTTCAAAAAAAATTGTGTAGTTTGAACTATATAAACTCCCATACCAAAATATTTACTTTCCTCCTGAGACAGGGCACGCTGCAACGATACCCTGCACTCTCTCCTCTTTTTAATGATATCTTGAAGCACTTCTGAATCCTCTTCTGCACTTTCTCCTTTCCATAGTTAGTCATCAAAAACAGCGGCGGAAAACAGTAGAAACTGCACTTAATCACCCTTCCTTATCGGACACTTCTCGTCGACCCCGCACCACACACACAATGGCCACCACTGCCACCCTTTCCACACAACAGCCATCCGAAAAGCAACAAGAGCAAGCAGTGAGCAAAGACGCCTCCGCTCAATTTGACCTCGGTATAACCCTCGTCCTCAACTCCTGGCCAGCCCTCAACCTCGCCGTGCACAATAGCTGGGGCGGCCCCGCATCCGGCGACAAGCGCGACTGGCTCTGCGGTGCTATCTCAGACCTCTTTGTTGACCGGCCAGAGACTGATGCGGAAGATGTGGAGGATGTCCTGATACAAGTTATGAATGATGAGTTTGAGGTTGTGGTTGAGGACGAGAGTGCAGGGGAGGTAGCGAGGAGGATTATAGAGGTTAGAGCTGAGACCGGGAGGGGGGAGTTTGGGCGGGTGACGAGGATGTGGGAGGAGTGGAAGAGGAAAAGAGGTGCAGGTGTGGATGCGGATGCGGATGCGAGTATTGGGGCTTTCAGGAAGGTGGAGGTGAATGGGGATGAAGATGACGACGATGACGACGATGATGGTGATGACGACGACGATATTGTGGATTGGGCAGATGATGTTGAAATGGAGGATGCATCAACGGCGCCAATGGAGGTGTCGAAGATCGAGCCTGCAAAGGAGACAAAGAAGGGAATACATGGGCAATGGGAACGAGGGAAGTTCTTGCCTGAGCCTGTGGTTGATGAGGATGGGTTCACGAAGGTGGTTTCAAAGAGGCGGCGATGATATATGATCCCTCCTGTCTCTTGCTTGTATTCATTTTTGTTAGGATTTAACGATGTGCATGGTTTTCATACAATGATTTGGGATTTCGGAATGGCGTATAGGGTGTTTCCTTAATCTTCTTTTTATTTCTTTTCGGTTTATCAGCGTTTCTACGAAAACCCTTAGAGAAGAGTTACGAAATAGAAAAAGAAATTCTTGGCGCTGTAATCAGGTATGAGTATGTGCGTAGTGATGTAAGGAGCTGTCCTCTAATATAAATTATTTTGTTCAATTTTACCTGTTACCCGCTTTTTGGTGAAAAGAAAAAAAATATGGACAAAAAATTCCGTAGAACGGTCTATTTAGTCATGATATCAAAACGCGCTATAATTCCTCGGGGGACATCTTAAAGCACATCCCCTTCATGACATCGTCCATCCACTTTTGCCGGATACTAAATGCGTTACAGCATCCGTGATCCAAAGAAAGGGGGGGCGAAATTAAGATAGATATCCCTTGGAAATAAAAACGTTACTTTACGCTGCTGTTTTCTGGTCCGTAGTAATCAGCTTAGTGATCATACCGATGGCAATTGTTTGTCCCTGCAAGGAAAAAGTTAGAGCTCATTCAACGGATACATAATTGGTGGGAGATATTCTACCTGATCACGGAGTGTGAAACGACCAAGCTGATTGTAATCCTCAAATCGCTCTACACAAACGGCACCGGCTCCCCCAATGGTCTCTAGCCGAGCAATGATGGTTTGCCCTTTGCTTGCAAATGGAGGTGGTTTTTTACTCTTTCTGCCAGTTTCCTTCTCGAGTTTGTGTAACAGCGCGGCGAAGGTCACTTCTTCAATGGCAGCGTGCACATGAAGAACACAGTTGAATCCAGCCGTGAGAATGCTCTTGAGGTCAAGAATTCTGATCTTCGCTTCAAAAGCAGTAACACAGTGGACGGGTCGTTTGGGAGAGCACAACACAAATCCTGGCATAATATCTTCTTCCTCAACACCCCGAAGTCGAGCCCGAATTTGATCACCACATGTTGCCGTTGCAATCTCATCCTCCGTTTCACCGTACAGCGCCGTAACTGTGACTTCTTCGCGATTGGGCATCATAATATACGAGGAGCCCTTCTTTATAACACCTGATTCGATTCGCCCCTCAACAACAGTCCCCATATCACGGTACTTTGCACTGATTGGCATCATGAAGGGAGCGTTGATTTTACGTTCGGGCATTCTCATGTTGTGGAGGAAATCAAGAAGACTGGGACCATCGAACCAGGGCGCAAGGTCTTTGGGAACGGGCGCACTTACGCCAATAGTCTTCTGCGCGGAGATGGGCATGAAGTGCAGATCCGCCTTGGCATAACCCATGCTTTGAAGGAACTTGCCAATTTTGGTTGTACATTCATCATATCGGGCTTTGCTCCATTCAACAGTAGGGTCATCCATTTTGTTGACGGCCACAATCAGCTTTTTCACACCTGAGTTCCGAGCCAATAGTGCGTGCTCTCGGGTCTGACCGCCTCGCTCAAAACCCGTTTCATATTCGCCTTTTCTAGCGGAGATAACAAGAATACCAACATCAGCCTGCGAGGCACCACCAATCATATTTGGGACGAAGGATTTGTGGCCAGGCGCATCGAGAATAGTATAATGGCGCTCTACTGGACCATCAGGTGTATTTCCAGTGGTCTTGAAAAAGGCCCGTCCAACTTCAACAGTCTTCCCCTTAGCTCTCTCTTCACTTGTCAAGTCTAGTGCCCACGACAGGTACCATGTCTCACGTCCCGCTTCTTTAGCCTCCCTTTTGTACTTATCCATGGTTCGTTCATCCACCATACCGGTTGCATATAAGATGCTTCCACCCAAAGTGGATTTGCCCGCATCAACGTGGCCGATGAAAATTAAATTAATGTGTTCACGTTTTTCGCCATAGATTTCCTTAAGCGTAGCCTCATCGACATCCGCTGCCTGCTCTTTGGCGATAGTGTCGGCATCACGAACTGCAGTTTTGGCTTCGCCGCCCCGAGCGGGAGAAGATCGCCCGGAGGATGGTGTGGGCGATGTCTTGCCACTGGAAACACCCTTTCTGTCGGTCTTTTCAATCGCTTTAGCAGCGGTAACCTTCGAGGCAGCTACGGCTGCCGACGGACCATTCGTATTTTGCGATTCGCCGACAGAAACGCCAGAAGAAGGCGGGGTAGGTGTAACAGCTGCAGATGAAGTTGGGGTTTTGGATTTCATAGCATCTCCACCGATCGACAGGACCTTTGCCTTGGGTGGCTCTGCCGTAGCAGTCATCTTCGGTTTCGAAGCCTCAGGGGCCTGTTTAGGGGCGGTGGGAGCGCCAGCATTAGGTCGTTGAGCAATTGACTGCGGGCGCCATTGTTGCTGCTGCTGCTGCGGTTGTTGTTGTTGTTGCTGCTGATGCTGCTGCTGCGGTTGTTGTTGGAGAACGCCAGTATTCTGGTTGTAGCCCCCATACTGTTGACCATAGGCCTGACCATACCCTCCTTGCTGGCCGTAGCCTTGATTATACTGGCCATACGGCTGTTGCTGATAAAACCCATAGTTTTGTTGTGGGTAGCCTTGGCCGTACTGTTGGTATCCGTATTGCTGGAATTGTTGGCCGGGTTGGAATGAAGCCGCGCCCGGTTGGAATGACGAAACTCCAGGACGGAAGTATGATTGCTGCGGCTGATTGTTCAAGTTCAGGCTCTGCTGAGTCTGTCTGGACAGGTTGTCGTCTTGTGCGGCGGGGTCATCCTCCCACGAGTCTAGCGGCTTGTTCGACATAATGGCAAGGAAAAAGAACTAACACCAGTAGTTATAGCAATACAACGCCAAAGGAAAGAAACAGGAACTACCTGTATGTATCCCCGCGGTTGACAGTAACAATAACCGCAGAGGGTGGAATAAAAGGAGCAGATTTGTCAATGGGTGTAAGTTGGGAGCGGGAACATCGAAGTTGAGGTTGATTTTTAGGCGCAGACCGCTAAGCCTATTTAAGGTCTAGTCTATATCGCGGTAATGTCGTTTGATGATGACATAATTAGCCGCGCATGAGTTTAGCGCTTCCCGTGTTAATTTCACCCAGCTAGACCGACAACAAACATCTTTTCAATTCTAGAGACATCCAATATGAACTGACATTCTTCAGTTGATTGCTGTTTTCTCCCCTGTGCTCGCTATGGTACTGACTAAAGAGGGTATTTAGAAACGTTTTTGTTTATGAGACTTGAGGTATTAGAACTTGTGCTGCCTGCTATAGAACATCTCCATCAGGCCCCAAGTCTCATTCTACTATACCATTATGTGATTATGTTCACCTACTTGTATAAGTGACATAGTGCTATATCAGTTTTCATGATGGATATGTTTCTTGCAAACGTATGAAAATAGTAAAATCCTTTGCTATGAAGTGAGTTTACATCATCAACTGACTGATGTTCCCAGGTAACCCAGCAGGCGATGAACTATGCTATCCGGTAGGAATCCTATTACTTGGCTTTGATCCATACCTATAGCATGCTAATTTATATTAGCTCTGGAATTGCCATTACTGCGGGATATGCCATCCGCCAGTCCTCTAAACTGCTCAAGGTATGTACACCCTAGACGGTTGTCGGAGCTATATTTTGTTAACCCCCTCATTAGAATGTCAGTGTTTCCCAACGAGCTGAGCTACAAATGCTCCAGGACCGTTTGCAGAGCAAAATAAGGGTGTGTTGTCTGCTTCTTCCTGGGATTTCATCTTTTATCAATATACCCATTTGTGCTGTTCCTCATTACAGGCCTCATATATTGACTTAAAAGCGATTAGATAATATCTCCAGCCATCGACATGATTGAATTGATGTAAGCTTCCTTTATAGACCTTTGTATGTTCTATGGTTAACAGAACGCTAGAGCCGCACGTGGCAATACGTCTCTCGAATCTGCTTTGTCACTTACCAAGGCTTTAAGATGGGATATTCAAAGTCTTGGTGAACGACTTGCGAAAGCTGTTTCAGTGGAGGAATTATATCAAGAAGGGGCAATTTCATCTAAGGCCCGTACTGGACTTGATGACGAAATTAGATCCATTATCAAGGACATCCGAAATGTGTTACAGAGGATCGAGGATGCTGTGCCGTTAATTAACCTTGCTATCACCACGTCGGGGGCAAGTCTATCTACCACGCTTCCTGCGTCCGTATCACCCTCACGATTGCTTCAAGCAAGCACCTTTTTGACTACAGGAGATACACAATACTCTATGTCACCCTCACAGCCGGTACAAATAGGTCCGACATTCACATTATCAGTGTACATGTTATTTTCTGGACACATCCGACCGATTGATGAAGTGAGCGTCCGGAATACTACTTGGAAAGAAGTAATCCACAAAGCAAGAGTCAAAGTACGGCGGGTACCTATGGATATGATGTTTTCATCGTACACAAACCTGCATCCTCCGGGTGAATTTTCTAGTGAGAAGCATATCAGCGGCGAAGCCAGAACAGATGAATTTGCATACCAAATACTCATTATCGAAGACCTTGATGATGGTCGTGTACATAATGACGAAGAGAAGCATGGCAGCTTTGAAGATGTTGCTCTTGCGGGAATCAGAGAGATAATTCCTATTCACGAGATTTCAAAGATATTTTACGCTGATACCGGCAAGATTCTCAATATTGGAAATGAAGGGGAAGTTAATAATCCTGTGTTACTTCTCAAAAGAGACGTCAATGCCATCCCTCCTCGACGTATGATAGATCGATGTGAAGCCGAATTCGATAGGCTTCAAGGAGAAACGAGCGACAATTCTGAAGATGAAGAGCAATCCCAACTCGACGCCCAACTCCTAGGAAGAAAGAAACCATCATCCGCTAATCAACATGAACCTCAACAATACAAATTCTCACCCGACCTGGATCTCGAATGGGTAGCCTTCGAAGTCCATGACGAAAGTGACGAACAAGACTCCGAAACTGAAGCAGAATCGGAACCAGAACCCCCCGCCCCTCTATCAGCTTCAACTTCAACCAGCAATCCACTCTCCCAATCCCTGGATGCACAGATATCCGAGAAGCTGACAAGTTTGCATCTCCGCGGGGATCACAGATCACCCTCATTCTCACCAGCGTCTGCCACCACTCAGCAACAGTTTGCCTCACAGACATATACCCAACAGTCCCAGTATCACCAGCCGTATACCATCTCCAACCCCATCTTTAACAACATCCGCACCTCCCTTTCACTCCTCGAGATCCTCCTGCGCCTAACCTCCCTCCAACAATTCCAGCAACAATCCCACCTCTCAATAACCGATGAGCTCCTCAATTTCTTCTTGGAAGAGTCCTCCGCAACTGGCGCGGGTGGCGACGAGCATCACCGCCAGCGTGTCCGTGCCGAAGCCCGCCGCAAAGTAGGCTGGGACCCGTACAACGAAAGTCCCCTGAAACCTCACGGTGAGGATTACCAGTACAATGGCACCAACGGCGAGTTTGACCACGTGATAACTGCGACTCCTAACTCCACAGTATGGAACGCTAACGCAGGTGAATTGACACCACCGCTTAACGACACGTATCCCATATCTCGCCGTGAGAGCCAACAGTCTAGTCAGGTCAGATGGCCTTCACGTCGTTCAATGATGCCCCTGGAGGACCATTTGGATTCCCCAGCGTCACCCTCTGTACGCCCGCCTCGCCCGGGAGGTTGGAAGCCAAAACCACTTAGGGGACAACCACAGCAACGAGAGAGTAGTCCTCTGATCCCTGCGCAGCCAAGCCAAAAAGAAGAAGGGCTAGGAACTAGTCCCGAACCTTTACAGAATATTTCAGGGAAGGAGTCGGATAGTTAGTTAATGCATATGGGGAAATGATTGGGAAACGATAACAAGTTAAGAATTATAAATTCAATTAGAAATTGTTTAAATGGCTACAATGCACAACACTCTTTAGACTCTGGTGAGCATTCTTGTGATTTCCTCACCTTCGTAACCCGCCTGGATTTCTTTTAGACTGTATATACCGCATCATCGACAGGTAGTCAATATACAACATGTGAATTGACAGTTAATGTTGATATTCATAATTGACATTTGTACACCAGAGGAGTGAAGTCCCAGTCTTAATTAAATCAGAATACCTAGACGAATGATTAACAGAAATCATGAAAAGATGAAAAGTAAATTGATAAAATAATGAAGAGAAAATGTTCGAGAGGAAAGAAGCACAGAAAGAAACATAAAACAGAAAGCCAGAATTACAATCAAATTCAAATCTCTGACTATACCAACAAATAATATGCCATAACGAAACATACATCACCGAAATAAAAACAAAGAGGAACGTAAGGAACGCCAATAACCATCACCGGGTGGTTGGAAAAAACACACCACATGGATTTCAAGGGGGAATAGTGAAAGCACAAGCAGAGACTTAAAACAAGAAAATAAAAGAATGGAGAATAAATCTCGGATGGGAGATGTAAGACCAGAAGTGTGCGTATATAATGGAGCAATGGGGATGAAATCCAGTACTGCTATTATCTTGAAACGAAGATAAGATAGTCACAAACACACGAGCTGTCTCGCAAGCCATGCGATGTGAACAGGGACCAGATTCTTATTCACAAAAGCACCAACAACTTCAAAATCGAAATTTAATTACCCTTCTCATCCCTCAAGACGGAATGTTGATTTATTACTCCCAATCCTCTTCGTCACTATCATCGGCTTTCGCAGCGGATGAAGAAGTTGCCGAAGGTTTCCCGATACCCCTGGGACTATCCGAAGCACGGCTTGGAGCACCACTGACAAGATCATAGCTGGCATCGCTGCCGGCCTGTGATTGCTGGTCGTTGGAATGACGAGGTTCAGCAGCCTTTGACGTATCGTTTCCAGTGGAGAGGCGTGAGGCCGACGTTGCTGTCGGAGAAGTTACTGCGGGATAAGGACCAGCATTCTTGTCGATGGTCACATGTGGAGTGGGTGGGGCTTCTGCGTCATCGTCGGAATCTTCGTCCCAGGCTACCTCTTCATCGTTGTTGGCCGTGGCGCCTATTGTGAACGTTGTTAGGAGGAGCAGGAAAATTGTAGAAAATAAACAAAAAAGAAACTAATGAAACAAACCTTTCAACATTTCTTTCCGTCTCTTCTCCTCTGTCTCAATCACCATACGGAGAAAATAATAACGACACCAGAAATCCGCATACTCAACCTTCTCCGGAACAAGCGCTTCCATCGCCCTCCGCAGCTCAGGGTATGTCTCTAGGTCCGTTGTAATGTCACTAGTTTTGCTATCAACCCTGAACTCACTCTTCCATGCGGGCCATTCCCCGCTCACGGGATCGTGCGATAAGCGATCAAAGTTCGAATGGATAGCATGTAGCTGAGCCTCAAATCGAGTTGTATGAATAACCCTCTTCCCATCAATATCCTTACTCTCGAACAAAACCTTATTATTATCATCGGTGCTCTCAGGAGGCGCGATGCTCACGGCATCACGAAGGAAGTTGCGTATATTAGTCCCAAACCGCAACAGCGCCTCATCCGCAGCATCCTCTGCCTTCTCTATATCTTTCAACCGCTTCGCAGCCTCAGAACGGAATCGAGAAATGAAACCCTCCCCATCTCCGTCATCCCCAGCAGCCTTGTCCTGGTACTCACCCGCAGCGGTAGGAGTGACAACATCCCCCTCAAACTCGTTGTCATTTTCATTTCCTTTCCCCCTGTCCTTTGCCCCGCTACCACCATCCTCAGCCCTCGACAATCCTCCCAGTGTCAATCCTCTCGTTCTCCCAACGATACTAGCTCGCAAATCCGTGAAGCCCTTAATTGCCTCTTCGCTCGCAGCCTCATACTCCTGGCGCGCTCCCTGATAGTAGGTCTCTCCCTGTTTGCGAACATTACCCCACAGTCCGCCCAGTCGAGCTCCCCAAGGATTCGAGGAGAAGGCGCGAAATGTTTCTTGAAATTCAGTGGTGAGGCCGAGATTGGGACGCTGAGAAGATTCCGCGGATGTGTCGGTTGCGCTCGAATCTGCCACTAGGTTCGAGGACTGGATATCTTGATTATTTGAGGAGAGAATCTCCTCTTGGATGTGATCATAAGCTACATCCATAACCGCGGTCTCATCGACAAAGGCACCGTGGTTTGGAGTTGGAGTTGATTAATAGTTGGAGATAATGCTTCAGTATTCGCATGCAGGGTTGCTAAACCTCCAATTAATTGAGGCTATGTGTTATTCATTCCGGTCGTGCCACTACATGCAAAATGTAAGTGTTGGTGATGTCTCTCAGACTTGTGCTCCGTAGTTGATGTCGCATGGAGATTCAATGTTCATCCTATGCCATTTTGGTGGTTTGTAGTTGATGCAGGAACTAGTTACGGGAGACGGCAAAGCACGTAGAGTGCCATTCACGTGATATCAGAACCAAACGAACTGGAAGAAATATTTATAGGTATCTTGAAAGATGTAGAGCTTGATGGATAAGTCTATAGAGAAATGAAAATAACAATACTACCACAAAACTCCAAACTTCCCAGTGTATCCCGATCAAAACTATACTCTAGCAGCCATATTCCCTAACTCCTGAGCGTCCGCTAACAGAACTATGCACATGAATAGATTATATCAATGAAACATAAAATCCAAATCCGCTGGATCTAGATTTTACTCTTTAACAGTCGCCTCCTCCTCTTCCTGCGTAAGACACTGACTTGACATCCAGACCGGCAGCCCAGGAACACTTTCCATCATGCTATCCGTCAACAATTGACTGACAGTTACGAGTCCCTGACCATTGGTAACCTGCGACTCAGCACGACCTTGCTGTCCCTCGCCATTGTCGCTTTGCTCTGAGGACGCAACCAAAAGCACTGGAGGCGACGACGGTGGTGGAACATTCTGCTCCGGTGCAACGACCGCGTGCCGATGTGGTGGGGAATCGGGGACGAATAAGAGATGCGGTTCGGTCAGATCCTTGGCTGGCTTTGGCACAGGGGCTTTATGACCCTTCTTCTGAGCCTCTTCCAGTTCTTCCGGGATTGTTGAAAGTGGAGGGGCGAGGCATTCCCGATCTCCCAAGTCAGGATTTGGAAAAAGTTCCGCTAGCTTCTGTGAATCGATATTGTCAAGTTCGGAGCCTGGGTCAAACGCAAAACTCATGGGCTTGCGGTAATAGAGCATGGACGGCTCGGATCCAAGAGTTGCTCCCGGTAGATCATTGAAGGTCTCCTGATTAGCAACTGAACTCCTACGTTGGGTGGGCAGGCCGTGCAGGTCATTTCTGTCTTCGTATTGAGTTTCATCTTGATGAAATTTTTGGCTTTGGGTACGCTGTGAATCGTACTCGTCGGCGGAAACATGAGAAGTTAGTGTGTCATGGAATTCTTCTTCCTCTGATTCTGCGTCTGTCTCGTATATAACCAATTTTCTAGGTTTTTGGGGGACATGGGTATTTGTATCAGCGTTTGTGGGGTCATATTCAGGCAATTGAATTGGCAGAGTATGGGATAACGTAGAGAGCGTCTTGTCGATGTTATCTTCCGGCCCTAATGGTGAGGATGTGGCAGGTACTGTTTTCACTTTCTTCGGTGATTCCACTGCACAACTCCGGGAAGGAGAGCTAGCTGAAGTTGAATTAAAAGGGGATTCGGGGATTTCATACTGTGCGATCAGTGAAGGGCGTACGGGCGTCTTAGGCTCAACCTTCACAATGGGAGAATCTACTTTCTTTGGCGTCACGTTGCAGAATACCTGTGCAAGCGGGAACCTGGGCGGAGTCTCCTTGAACGTCCGTGGACATAACAGGAGACTCGGGCTATCTGGTGACTGTGATGATGGCACCACGAGTCTAATTGATTTCCGTGGTGTCACAGGTATCTTTGAGGTTAAATCACTGTCAACATATCGAGATGAGGGAACTCCTTCTTGCAATGGTTGTTGAATGTCGACCTCGGAAGCTTTCCTTTTCTTGTTTCTTCTGAGCATTTGGTGTGCGGTCTTCGTACCGGGGCTCAGAACATCACCGTCATTGATCTCCACCTCCGGCTCTTCCCCAATAGTCTCCATCTTGACCCCACCTTTCTTCCCACCCGATCTACTGCGCGACAGGTGGATTCTGCCGATATGGCCCTTAAGTCTAGAGGTTGGAACATATCCCATTTGGGTGAGAGTTCGATCATCATTGTCCTCATCGTGCTCAGCCACATTCCTCCTGCTACTTCCTCTTCCTTTCCCCGTACTCTTCCTCGACCTTTTTGGCAAGCTAGCAGACAGCCCATAATCACCATTTCCATCGTCTCTATCAATGTACCCTAGATCACCCTCATTGTCGTCGCCATCAGGGGCCAACAACGCCTGCGCCCGTTTCACAAAGTCAATCTGAGTCAGGGTCTTCTGACTCCGTACATTCCCTTCCAACGCATGTCTACATTGTTGTCGCTGGCGGTTGACTCTTGGATTGGACAGTTGAGCGGGTCTAGTGTGTTGTCGAATGTTGTGTCGAGTTGTCGTTATGGTCGATTCGAGTTGAACGGGTTGGTTGGGTTTGTCGGGTTTGTCGAGTCGGGTTGCGTTTCTCCGAATCTTTTTCTTACTTGGCATTTTTTCCCTTCGTCTTTTTTTTCATATCCCTTTTTGGAAAAAGAGTGTGGAAAAAGTGATCAGTGACAGTCATGTTCTTGTTTTTGATATGGGAACGTTATTGGAACTGGATGCCCTATGTCATGTGATTCAAAGGAACGCGACGAGCGCGTTTATGACGTAAGCAGCTCGCTTCAACCCCGATATCAAAAGGGGTATCATAATTTGGGGTGAGATTTATGTATACAGAGAAATTGTGTAAATATTGCGGTAGTTGATAGAGAAATGATATACAATTATGACCTCCGTGTAACTTAATGGGATTTAGATATGTACGCCTGAACAGGAGAAATACCTCCCCAGACTGCATTGGTTGTTAATTCAAAGTCATGTATCAAACACCCCAACTCGACGGTTATCAAGCCATTGTGACAACATAACATTAAATAATTAGAAACCGCAACGCAGAGGTATCAAATGCAGCAGAGTATATACAAAACAATATAAAGCCGTTCAGTTCCAAAATCCATACTCCAAGGAATATATCTCTATATTCCAATCACCCAGGTAAGAACAAAATCAAAACCGTCATGTTTTCCCTTTGATTGAAAACCACTAGCCGTAAAGACGAATAGACAGCAAATATACAGCTATCTATGTAGCAAATGACGAGAGCGTAAAATAGGAGGAAAAAACTTTAACCAATCAATTATCAGAGAGCAACCAGTCCGGTTCCGCATCGTCGTCTTCGGGGTCACGCGAAAGCATCGAACTCTGATCAATCTCGCTGTCAGTGTCAGTTTCATGCACAAGGTCTGGTAGTTCGCTTTTCTCCTCGACACTCGTGGACAGCTCGTTGCCACTCGAGGAAGGGACTGTGATGGGTGCGGTCGGGGATCCTTCAACTGTGGTTGTGGAGGGTTGAGGGAGTTGAGGTGTTGAGATTGATTGCGGTTGTGGTTGTTGTGTTTGTAGTTGCTGATGCTGATGTTGAAGCGCACACGTCTGTGTTGACGTCATGGGAGAAGAAGTATGAGGCTCGGGGTCGTTCATTTCGATGGTGGGTCGAGTAGGTGCAGGCTGCTGTTGTGAGCTTGTCCCAGCAGGAGTCACTAACAATGTGTATAAAGGCTTGTTTCTTGGTCGAACGCGGGCATTTCCGACGGTTGAAATGGAAGTGGAAGGTCCTGCTTCATGTAGTATTGTAGTCGGAGGCATAAACCCTCCACCTGAGCTTGCCTCTTCCCCTGTTGTTTCGGGAATGAAGCCACCAGCTCCAGACAGGTCGTCAAATCCTGCAAAGCCTCCGTTGGGAGAGGTGATACCACCCCGTCCACTTTCACGTATAAACCCTCCGGCTGCTTCAACATCTTCGTCCCCGTCCTCATCGCCGCCACCACCCTCATTGTCACCATCACTCGAAACATCATCCGGATCTTCTTCCCCCTCAAAAGCATATCTCCTCACACGTTCCGCAACTCTCAACTTCAGCAACAACAGCTTCCACATCCGCAACGCCTCCGCCGCCTTCCGCCCCTGCTCAGCCAGTACCCGCTCATCCTCCAACGCATCTATAACAGCATAAAGAGCCTCACGATATTCAACAGAGGCCACGATCCCTTGCACAACGGCCGTGCCATGTCTGCCCTTGAAATGGAACCCGGTCACCGCGTCTGCGTAGTCAATACCAAGAATCCTAGCTGCGCGTGCGGCTTCTGCGTGACTAAGATGAAAGCCACCTTCCGGGACCATAGTTGGAGTATATACGTCAATATTCCCGTAGGCATTTTTCACTACGCGGTTGTCGACGACGGGGGGTGGCTTGTATAGCTCCGTTTGGTGGATGGCATACATTGGTGTTTCCTGAAGTTCCTCTTCGTAATCTGATGTCTCCTCGCGGCGTTCGAAAGACCATTTCGGTCGAGAAATTGGGAACCTTTTCAGGGGCTGCTCACCCATCTTTACCTCCCTTCCAAGACGATACCACCCATCGGCACTTTTCACGACGTGCACATCACCACGGCGATACACAGATTCCAGCGGCGGATTCTTTTTGTTAATAGATACCTTACTCAGACCAACCTTCCCAACCTCCCTTTTAGGAAATATCACCTCATTTCTCCGCAAATGCCGCTCCAACGCATAGACAGGATGGTCTTTAAAATCTTGCACATTCCTCGGCATCACCTCCGCCACCAATTTCGCAGTCAATTCCCCGATTTCCACCTGATCCCTATCATCCAGAAACGGCTTCTCGAAGAACCCCATCGTACGCGCCCACCACTCCTCGCCGTTCTTGGTGGATTCAACACGCTGTTTTCTCGTCTTGGAATTAAATGATTTCGTGTATCGTTTCGTAACGTCACGGGCGGAGGCATCGTCCTCGAAGGCGATGACGTAACTCATGTTGTTGTAACGGTCGCTGGCGGGGGGTTCGAATTTGGACGTTTTGCCCACGCTGTTTGTCACGAGGGGGTCGACGGATACCCATTTTTGCATGGCTTCGTTGAATACTTCTACCCAAAAGACGGGAAATGGAGATTCAGCAAAACCCCGTGGCAAACCTGTATGTTGAATATGGTGGTTAGTAAATTGATAATATTTGTCTCACAAGACACGGTGAAAATCATGAATACTTAACTTACCGATTGCTCGTTTCGGCTTGGGACTCGCTGCCACAGGGCTTGGTGAAAACCGGGGTTGTCCAATGCGCCGCATTCTTGATTGGGGCTGGGAGTTCCTGGGCTTTGCCTGCATCGGGGAACCTTTCCCAGCATCACTGCTAGACCGCACGTCGTCATCTTCGGAGAGCACAATGTATTCCCGATCCGGTTTCCGGGGCATCGTCCTTTTCGCAACTCCAGTGAACGGCAGGACCTGTAAAGAGCAAACCAATCGCGCGTCCGTGCCTACTGCACGTAAAAGTGCACAAAAGAGCTGCGCACCTAGATCTCTGGATCCCTGTAACGCGACGGCTTGTTTTAGGAAGTCTTGTTTGCACAATAGAATTTCAGCAGTATCTAGTAGGCTCTGTATATTGGTCAGCGGATTATGCACCTGGATGTATTCCTTTTACTGCGAGAAAGGAGGGGTTCATCACACAGTTGGATCTTTAATGTCATTGGGGTGCTCAAGCCAATAGGGCCTCTTCATGCCTGGTGCAGTGACTTTGAACCGCTGCTTGAATGCATCACTAGCCTGCTTGAGACCATCTGCAAATGTAGTCGAGCGCGTAAACTGCGGTAGGTTCGCCTTTGGATTCAGACACATAATCGTATGCTTAGAGAGGATCCGTTTCAATGCGTTCTGGCGAGAACAAAGCAGTCAGTTTATCCGATATGGAAGAGAAAATATCAAACAAAAGAGTAGCTCAGGATCATGCCAGCTCTACACACTTGAACTCCATCGTCATTACACCACAAATTCCTCCGCTGCACATGGCCCAGCAGACACAAAACGTGCATCTTATGGATATCGAGCCGCCACCTTCTCTCCTGCGCCGTGACAGGTTTTCGTCTCATACCAACAGCACGCTGCTTCCCTTTCTCCGTTGGTTTTTCTAGCGTAATTTGCAACGACCCTTCAGACTCCACGGTCTCAACTCCCTGGTGGTGATTAGATTCCTGCCCTACTGCGGCCCCATCATAACCAGGCGCAAAAGAGAGCTCAGCAGCAGAGACCTCAACATCCTCCCATTCCATCTCGGACTCATCGTCCGACGCGTCAGCGTCAAATACAGTCTGGACAGGTCGACTACCATGATGTCCCTCCACGCCTCCCTCCCCTCTTTGAACATCGACTCCCACCCCACTTCTCTCCCTCCCCACGTCAACTTCAGTACCACTTCTTGTCTCCCCCACCCTCCTCCTTTTCAGAGGCCTCTCATCACCTGCATTACTCGCAGATCCAGATCGTGGTGAACCTGCCCCTCCAGCAATCTCAGCCAGCATATCGCGGTAAACTTGAGTAACTCCATTAGACGCCTCAGAAGCCAGACGTGTCGATCTCACTCTCTGTTCCACGCCTAGTCCTCGTGCTCGTCCATGTGCCGAAACGGATTCCGAAACTGTTCTCCGCACAGGAGCTTTCCCCTTCCCCCGTGACTGGGGATATGACTTTCGCATGATTATTGCTATGAGCCGAATACCCCGAGACTTCCACTTTAGTTCCGTGGTTGCATGGTCGTCGTTTGTATGTTTGTCCGTCTGTGCTGTAATTAAATAGTTATGTCTTCAGCTCTCACAAGCTCCTCACTCTCCCTCCCAAACACGGCACCCGAGCCTGAACACCAGCGCGGGCTCGAACACAACAAGCGAACTGCTTCACCTAGACGGTATCCCAGATATTCACAACTGAGAAAAATGTATAGAACTATATATGTAGAACCTGGTTGTGTCTGGATTCCCAGGTTCTCAATCCAATCCCAGGACACAACAGGCGAGCGTCATCATGATCGTGTTATGCAGGTGGCTGCTCCATCACCCAGCAACGCGGTAACCAAGGGAACACGGCCTTGCTCGTCTAGATGGCGGGAGGTAATGCGGAGTACGAAGGAGTGGTATAGTGTTTATTTTCGATATGAGGTAGGATATAAGGTGGGACGGGGGATGCCCAACGAGAAAGGAGGTACTCTGTATATCTGGGATATCAAGGTTCGTTAACCGCGGTCCACACCGAGGATCAGAAAACTATGTCAGGATAGAGTAGCTAAGCTGAAGCCAACCTAATCGGTCAGCCCAGTTAGCTAAAAGATTGGAGCGGTTTCTGGCTGTTTGCAGTTAGTTTAGGCCTTGGATACAAGAGGCGACAAGAAATCGGGAAGTTATCTGTCTGCCTCTGTCCGCCTCTGTCCGCGGCGATCAAGCTCCCTTGGTTAATTTAGTTATTAATTGGACTCCGATACTCCGCACTGGAGATATTTATGCTGGCGATGCAGGGTCGCGAGCTAGCTATGGCGTGTCATTGCATACGCAGCATACACGGGGGAGATTGACCGATGTGATGGGTGTTGTTCCGAGAGTTACAAACGCTGGGCAAATCATATCAATATTGATATAGGTAGTTGGTTGCGAAGTTACAGTGACTATTTCTTAGAAATGAGGAATATTGGGGGAAGAAACTAATGATTCTCCTTTGCTCTTTGCTGAACTAGTTGTAAAACGACTGCCCACCGTAACTGAAAGAGTAGTAGAATAAAAAGCGATGAAACTCCAGAGCTAAGCCGCCAAACGAGAGCGCGCTTTTTAACCATCACCAAAATACGCCTTTCCCAACACAATGAAGTGATCAAACGCGCAAATACGAGTTTGAATTTAAATATTGTAAGGGAAGTTATACAATAGCAAGGTGATAGACTTCGAACAACACATTGAAACAATCAAAACCGTAGTACTCTTCAAGACAGAGGTAATCACATAAACACATCTTTCCACCAATATAATAAGTTATAGTTAGTTGCAAGGGAGAGTGACTTGCGTGGTTCAGTGCGCTCCTACATCTGCAACGTCCCCCTCCCCGTCCTTCCATGTCGCTTTGCTTGACCATCCCTTGCAGTTGGGTGTCTAGGCATAAACCAGCCTTAAATTGTAAGTATACTTTGGAAAATTGGTTCACACAAGCAAAAAAATTGGTTTCAGAGGTGTCCAAAAAGGAAGCCACATGCATATACAAAAGGGAAAAAGAACAAATTAACGGCGTTGAGGAGAGTAAAGGTGAAAAGGAATAAGTGAGATAAAAAAAGGTTTGTTTATTATGAAAACAGATACAGTTAAAGTATAAGCACAAATGAAAAATGGAAATAAGAAAAGTAAATGAGACATAAATAGATAACGATAACAGAAGGTATCTCAACAAAATAGTGACATCTCAGAAAGACGAACAGCACCTGAGCGAAAAGGAGGAGAAACGTCCCACCGGCCACATATTCTGAAAAGCTGAAGGGGGGGGAAGGAGGAACAGGAACAGGGATGGATGTTGACCACGAAGACAAAAAACACTGGACTGAGAACAACACAAATATCATAGCACAGGCAAGGCAAGGCACACCACACACATGTTATATCGTCCAGTTTACCCGTTCCAACACTCTGCAAACTTCAATTCCACATTCAACCATCTCAACCCACATGATACAGCTCAAACATCACGAAGGCCCTGACTGATCAGAGAGGCAGTGGGGCCTCCATGGATAGTCAATCCACACAGCTGTCAAAACCGTGCATAAATGGCTTCTCTCCTCAGCGGTCATTTAGGTGGCGGGATCAAGGGCCTCACTGGACATGTCTGTTGACGACTTGATGTTGTTATTGTTATTGTTGGATGCAGTGGCAGTAGGTGTGCTAGGGGTTGGTGGTGTGTGATCCTGGCCAACTTTGGAAAGCATGTCGACAATTCTATGGGTGGCTTGCGGTTAAACAATGAAGTCGGGGAGAGAGAGGAACGGGAAGAAGAGGACGGACCAAGGAAAGAAAGAAATAAAACAAGGGAAGAAGAAAAGACAAGAGATCGGTGTATATGAGACGGCTAAAGCAAGATATTTATAAACAAGTCTAAAAGGTCTCATACCTAGCGTTTTCATCAAACATGCTCTCATTCACATCCTCAAGCTGGCGGAGCTGTTCCCGAATGCTGGCCATCTGCACTTTTATTAGCGTATGATCAGAAATTTTTATGGTAAAACAGAACACTCGGGAATTGTAAGTGAAAATCTCAAATGAGAGCCAAAAGGAAATGGAAATATCATAAAGCGGAAAATTCAAAATACCCAATTGCAACACGCCACGGAACAATGACAAACACGCGCACCACCCGCAGCGCACCACCAAATTCCAAATACAAAATACGCGATAGCAGAGACGAACAGCAAATAAAGAAATGAAACGAGGCAAGCCCACCGTTCCCTCAATATTAGAGCCAAGGTCCTCACATTCAGCAGCAGCAGGACCAGCGTCTTCTGGAAGTACCTTTGCAGCAGCAGCAGCCGCCTCTTCCTCCCTTCCCTTCTCCTCAGCATCCCCATCCTTAACCGCCCACTTGCTATCCTCCAGTCCGCTGGCAGACTTCACGTTGGACCCGTTCGACCCATTCGAGAGGGACGAGGTGTTGGGTTTCTTGATCCTTGAGTCAGCGAGTTCAAATTCCAATTCGCGGATCCGTCGGTTGCCCTTTGATATGGCTGCTTCGGCGTCATGGAGTTGTTGGATAAGGGTGATATTTTTCTCGGTGAGGGTGTTCATGTCTTGTTCGAGGGCAGCGAATTTGGTTTCGACGGATATTTTCTTTTCGTCTAAAGTGGTAGCGGCGGCTTTCAGGGTGTCAAGGTCAACCAATGCTTGCTCATGAACCTGTTTCTGTGTAGCAAGTTCAGTCTCCGCAACGGATGATTGTTCTCTGACAGCAGCGAGCTGCTCCTTGAGACCTTGGGTTTCAGAGAGGTCATTCTTCGCATCCTGTAGCGCTTTTTGAAGAGATTCATTCTCCGATTGTATCTGCTCCTCCAACTTCCCAATCTGCGCTTTTAACCCCTCAACCTCAACTGCATGCTCCTCAACAGCAACAACCTTCTCCCTTACCGCCTTCTCAAATTCCTCTCTCAAATTCCCCAACTTTTCTTCATGCGCACTGAGAAGCTCCTCAATCGCCCGATTCTGGCTCGCCTCCATCTCAATGAGTTTCTGCACATGCGCGTCCCCCGCATCTTTTGCGGTCTGCGCTCTATTTGTCTCGAATTCCTTGGTTAGTTCTGAGATGGCCTGGTTGTGTGTTTCAGATAGGGCGATGAGTTTTGCTTCGGCTTCCGCTAGGGCGGTGGTATGTGCCACTTCCGCAGCGCTGGTGGAGGCGACGAGGTCGTCGTATTTTGATTTCAGTTCCTTGATGATTGTGTCGTGGGAGCCGAGTAGTTCAGCTTTGAGATTTTCGATTTCCTCGCTGTGGGCTTCTGTGAGCTCCGCAGTTGCGGCGGTATATTTCTCCTCCACAGTAGCGAGTTGTTCGGATTTTTGAGAGAGCGAAATGTTGATATCGTTGACTTCAGCTTCAAGTCTTGAAATCGTTGTCTGGTAGTACTCGTCCTTGGCCTTGGTAGTTTCTTCCAACGTCTCGATGCCCTTCTGCAGTTCTTCGACCTGGGCCGTTTCGGCTTCAAGATCTTGTTGAAGCGAGTTTATTTTATCCTTGGCTGTGGCAAGTTCCTCTTCTGAGCATCGCAATTTACCTTCAAGCAATTGCAGATTAGCGGCGATGGCTTCCTTTTCGGCGGTACTGGCTTCTGCTTGTTGCTTCGCCTCCTCTAGAGCCTTCTCAGTTGCGCCGAGCTTTTCCTGTAGGGATTGTACTGTAGCATCATGAGCCTCGCTAGCTCCCTGTGTAGCAGTCTCAAGTCGGGCCTTGTAGCTGGTAACTTCGGCCTGTGCAGCTTCAAGATCCGCCTCAACAGCGCCAAACCCCTCAGTTAGCAACTTCAGTTCCAATTGCAGTGACTCAGTGGAAGCTTTAGCCTTGTCCTCAGCCTGAGAAAGCTCCTCCGTATGCTCCGCTATTTTGCTAGCCAAGAAAGAATCATGTTCCGCTTGAAGTGCAGCCATTGCCTTCTCATGCGCGGTGGTAAGATAGGTCTGCTTGAGAATTTCATCGGATTTCGCCTGTTCCGCTGCCCGAATATCATCCTGCAGTTGTTCAATGACTTTGCTCAGCTTTGTAATTTCGTCCTCCTTCTCAGCAAGCTTTTCTGTAGTTTGAGTGGCGCCTTGCGCGTTTTCAGACTTCGCTTGTGCGAGTTTGGACTCTAGGGATTCAACCTTTGCCTGAATCTCAGCAGATCCCTTGGCCACTTCATTAGCAGCAGCCAACTCCTTGTCTCTCTTATCTTGTAGACTCTGCATCTCATCTTTGAGGCTCTTGATGACGCCATCGCGGCCATTTAATTCCGTTTCCAGCTTCAGTAATTGATCCTGATGAGCTTCAAGATCCGCCTTTTCCTTCTCGGTAGCAGACTTGGCCGCTGCTTCCAGACTGGCAGTTTGGGCCGCCAGCTCTTCCTTCAACGTATCGATTTCCGCAGTAAGATCTGCCAATGTACTCCGCCGAGCAGCAAGTTCAGCTTCAAGTGCAGCAACTGCCGCTACATGGCTCACCTTTTGCTGTTCAAGCAATTCAGATGTCTTCGAGTCGCCTTCCTGCGCCGCCAGCTGTTTCGCAGCCTCAAGCTCCTGGGTAAACCGAGACTCTGCCTCCAATCTTTGCGATTCGGATTCGCCCAATTTAGCATGGAGGGTCTTGAGATCCTCAGCATGCTTCTTCGTAAGTTCAATAATTTTAGATTCGTGTTCAGAACGAATAAGTTCAATAGCGGTAAAAACTTTAGTATTCGCCTCTTCTTCCATAGTCCTGCTAGACGCTGCTAGTTTCGACTGGAATTCCTCTAGATGTGTCTGTAACTCCGCTACTTTGGCTTCGCTTTTCGCAAGTTGGGATTGGAGATCAAAAAGCTTGCTAGCACTAGAGGACTCATCGCCCTCCTTGACCGTATTCAAGCTGCCTTTAAGCTGAGCAATATCCCCATCTACCGCGCACTGGATCTCGTCCCGTTTTTCCTCATTCCCTGCCTCCTCCGCCGCAATTGCTGCCCGCAGCAGGTCACGGAGGGCCTTGTATTCCTTGACCCGTTCCTGGAGAGCAGCGGACTTGGCAACGAGCTTTTTCTCTGCGGGCTTTCCATGGTCAATGGATTGCTTCTTGGTTGTTGAGCTTGAAGTTGTAGACAAGGAACTCATGCGTCTCTTAGACTCCGTGGTTGTAGATGTAGGCTTTGTGGCAGAAGATGAGGTAGTTGGTTTTGTAGATCGCGAAGTGGTGGTGGATGGAGTTGTTTTGGAGGCAGTGGTAGGAGCCCGCGAGATCGTTGTAGCCTTTGCAGGGCTTTGAGCGGTAGACGGACGTGTTGTAGCGGGCCTCTTTTCAGTGGATGACGGGGTAATTGTGGATCTGCGGTCAGAAGTAGGCTTCGCAGGTACCCTGGAAGAAGCGGTACTGCTAAGAGATGCCCTCTTCACGGTAGC